AGATAGATAGATAGATAGATAGATAGATAGATAGATAGATAGATAGATAGATAGATAGATAGATAGATAGATGGATGGATGGATGGATGGATGGATGGATGGATGGATGGATGGATGGATGGATGGATGAATGGATGGCTTTTCAATAATACTGTAAATGACAGATAGGCGGACGGACGGTCAGACGGATGGATGGATGAATGGATGGATTTTCAATAATGCTTTGAATGATAGACAGGTGGATGGATGGATCGATGGATGGATTTTCAATAATACTGTGCATTATAGATAGATAGATAGATAGATAGATAGATAGATAGATAGATAGATAGATGGATGGATGGATGGATGGATGGATGGATGGATGGATGGATGGATGGATAGATAGATAGATAGATAGATAGATAGATAGATAGATAGATAGATAGATAGATAGATAGATAGATGGATTGATGGATTGATGGATTGATGGATCGATGGATTTTCAATAATACTGTGCATTACAGATAGATAGATAGATAGATAGATAGATAGACAGATAGATAGATAGATAGATAGATAGATAGATAGATAGATAGATAGATAGATAGATAGAAAGATAGACAGATAGACAGATAGATAGATAGATAGATAGATAGATAGATAGATAGATAGATAGATAGATAGATAGATAGATAGATAGATAGATAGATAGATAGATAAATGGATGAATGGATGGATGGATGGATGGATGGATGGATGGATGGATGGATGGATGGATGGATGGATTAATGTATTGCATTTAAAAAATAAAAATATTCTCATATTTGTGGCTAAAGTATAGGACATCAATTTATTTACTTTTTGCAGTTTCAGCCTGCAGCACTATTTATAAAGTCTGCAGTGCTGCATTTACAGTTAGCTAAGAATCTGTGTAAGTTCTGAAGGTCTGGGATTTGTGCTCGGCAGGTCTGGCTGCATTGTTGATTAGCACAGCTTCTGTTGCCATAGCAACAGGCAGCCCGCATGTTCCCAGTCTGGCTCCCGGCGAAAGCGAATATATGACATCATGCTCGGGCACAAAGCATGAAGAGTAGACTGTGGCGCGAAGAGCTGCGTGTGCCAGACTCAACCCAGTGCCTCCTGCAAGAGCTGCTGATGGCATGAACCTGTGTGTGGCAGTCAGTCCTTTACACATCTGCACTATGATATCTCATTCAGTCCCCGTGTGGGGGTCGTAGACTTTCAGAGCATCAGGTTTCTAGAGATTGTCTTCCTCCTCTTTCTCCACGACAGGCATATTTAGACGTTAACTCAATCAGTATTGACGGTTGACTGTTACCTTGGGCTTTTTAGTAGGAGGAACACTCATTGTGCTTGAGTCAGAAAAGCAGCATCACATCCTCCGCTGGTGCGTGCTTCTGACTTAACCTGCTGTCTCACCTTCTGCCTTATTGAATGAATAAATCCACCCGCGGACATCTTCGGCTATGTCAGCGCGGGGCCAAAATTGATTTCTCCGGCCTGCACGCAGAGCTCTTGGCTGGAGTGCTGAGAGCATCCCGGGCCGCCTCACGTGTCCTAAAATCTGCCAGGAGGAGCCGAGTGGTGCTAAGCTCTCCGCTCTGAATCCAAGACAACAAAGAACAACAGAAGAGAACAGAGCTGGATCATCACAGGAGCCATTGATATGAGTCACAGCAGACCGATTGCTGCCGCGTGTGCCTGGAACTCCATATTTTAGCTGTTCTTAATTAGGACTGCACTGACAGAGACTTTTTGGCAGGTATATTGAAAGTCCCTCATGTAATCTGCAGAAATATAAGGCCCACGTGTAATCTGCATAACAGCTCAGTAGAATTTGAAACCATTTGGTTAAATAAAGTATTTTCTGCTCTGCTGAATTATATACATTTCTTTGGTCATAATCTGTGGGAAAAAATTGGGGTCATTCTGAGTTCATTTACCAACTTATTCCTGATGGTGAATCTTCTCCAAAAATTATCAAAATGAAAAAGCAGGGAGCAATTTGTTTACAAAGTAAACTTTTTTTTGCGTCATGTGATTTGCATTCAAATGACAGAGACGGGGAACTATTTAAAGATATTGAGGTCAGGCAGGAAAGACTGTATCTTGAGTTTGTTGCTTCATGAAAAGTAGAAAAAAAAATGATGCATTTGCTGATCTCTGAGAGTTAATTCAGAAAAATAAGATGCATCGGGTAAGATGTTACATATATTAAAATAGATAATTGATGTTGCTGCCAATAGCCTTGTGGTTCAGATGGCAGACATATAACGATAATAAAAATAATTTCTTACATTTATATAGCGCTTTTCTGGACACTCCAAAAAGCCACAAAGCCAGTAGTGGGTAAGCTTAACCGACACTCTAGGCAAACAACAGTCGTGCCGCCTTCATGGTGTTCATGCCGTTCCTGTGCAGACGAAAGTGAAGAGCAGGAGGGCAGAGGAGGTGGTGGACGTGGATGTGGTCTCCAATGTGCCTCTATCACCCTCATTGCCTATGCCTAAATCCATCACCGTTCAAAGCGCTTTACACATTTTTTGGGGAATCTCCTCGTCCACCACCAGTTTACAACATCCACCTGGATGACGTGACAACAATCATATTGCGGCAGACTGCACACCACACATCAGCTGATTGGTGGGGAGGAAAGCAATGAGGCCACGATGGACAGAGGCCAGTGGTCAAATTTGGCCAGGATGCAGAGGTTAAACCCCTACTTTTTTTGAAAGGCATTCTGGGATTTTTAATGACGACAGAGATTCAGGACCTCGGTTTACTGTCTCAGCTGAAAGACGGTGCTCACCAACAGCATAGAGTCACCTTCATTATTCTGGGGCGTTAGGACCACAGACTGCAAGTTGAGCACTTCTGGTCTCACTAACACCACTTCCGGCAGCAAACTAGCTTTCGAGGAACTGACCAGGCACAGCCTTAGCTTAAAAGGGCGACCATGTGAGAGTTGCAGAGAACTAGCTGCTGGCGAAAGTTATAGCACTCATGGCATCCTGTGTTTGATTTCCAGTTTGAGGTTCTTTGCTGATCCTGTTCCCTTCTCCTTGCTCCTATTCACCTTATTCTTCGCCGACGAGCGGGCGGAGCCATTTGAATCTTTTTGGCTCGCGACTTCCGGTCTCATTCACTTCCATTCCTTTTTAGACATTAAAAACGGCTCGTTTCGCTGTTTGATGTTGCAAACTGATATTTTCTATTATATTATTCTACTTGGTCTATAAAGTCATGCAAACATTTGTATGTAGAGCAAGTAGTTTGACCGTTTTCTGCCGTTTATTATTCCTAGTCATTTCTCCCATAGGCGACTGAATCGGAAGTAGAGATCTGCGCGGGACTAAATTTGAATCCCGCTTCCGCCCGCACCCGCCAGGTTTTAGCCGGAATCCGACCGCTCCCGCTTATATTAAGCACTTGATGTCCCGCTGCCCGACCAGCCCCGTTTTCTATCCGCCGCGCCCGATCTCGCTGAAGAGCGGGGGGAGAACAAAACCGAAAATCACCCAGTTATACAGTCCAGACAGCCTATAACAAGCTGTCTGTATAAACACACACACACAGCACCAAGCACACACACACAGACAAAGCTTTCTCTCTCATTCGCGCGCGCGCCCTCTAACACACACTCATAAGCACCAAGCACAAACAAAGGCAAAGCTCTATCTCTCATTCGCGCGCGTGCGCGCACACACACGCACATATCTCTCATTCGCGCGTGCGCATACATACATACACACACACACTGCAACAAACAAGCTAAACACAGCATCGCGCTATTTCATTTACACACATACATACGCGTGCTCACTCGGGAGTCGGGAGCGATATTGCTAGACAGCCCGCTCCCATCCCAAATTAAACCCGTTACCGACCGCTCCCGTGATTTATTCGGAAATTTATACCCGCGCCGTAGAAATCTGGTCGGGTCCCGCGGCGCCCGCGGGACAGCCGCGGGAATGCAGACCTCTAATCGGAAGTTCTAAAACAATTGTAAAAACAGACACACTTCCGGATTTCAGAATAAGGTCGATACAATAAAGGTGAAACCCCCCTAAAAAATGATGATTCTTACATTTGTTTGCTTCCTCTTTGAAGCTGCTCATTTTAGACTTTGATCGAAATTGTGCCATTTTGGTGACTGTCGCTTTAAATTAAAATAAGATTGTACTTTTAGTCCTATTTTGGGAAAAAGGGTGAGGCTAAAAATGCATTGTTATCCCTTATTATCCATCCTACTAGCACAGCAGCATATTCAAAACAACAGCTTTCTCACTCAGGACTGTTTATGCTAATGAGCGAGAGATTGTCACTAATGGGTGGGGCTTGCCCTCTTTGATGACACATACAAATTGAGAATGTCAATCAAAGTGTTTCTGTAGCTTGTTTTTATCAAATATGATTATAAGAAATACAATTAATTATTTTTTTTTACCAAAAATGCTGGCTACATTCACACACTGTTGTCGCACAACCTTATAAAAATGATTTTTGCATGATAGGTCCACTTTAAAGCTATTTTGTTTGGAAAGTTACACATATCCAACATGCTTAGTAGAAAGGTTAAATCATTAGTTGGCATAACTTGTAGTCATAGAAAAAAAAACATAATCAAATGATCTGTTTCTAAGAATAAAACATCACTAATGTTAGCCGATGTCAATGTCTTGTGATTCACTGCTGTGTCAGAGACCAAGAAACTTTTAGTCTGATCAAGAAAAAATATAGAGAATACAAGCCAGAAAGAAAAGCTACACGACTTAGAATGAGACAAAAAGATCTGTTGTCAACGAGAAACTAAAAGAAGGAAACGCTGATTAAAACAAGAAGAAATGCAGGTTTCTCTAAGGCCGTGTGTGTGTGTGTGTGTGTGTGTGTGAGAGTGAGTTACAGGAGGAGATCAATGAGGTGTATGTGTGATGAATGAGTTTCTGGCTGAGATGTGTAATTGTTCCTCCCTTGCTCTCTCTGTCTCTGTCTCTTAGGGCTAGAGGCGTCCATGGCACATGATCGCCGGCCGCCCATGGCGCCTTCCTCCGCTTCACGATACCACCGTCGGCGTTCCTCCGGCACCCGTGACGAACGCTACCGATCAGGTGAGTTATTTCAGCACTGGTCCCTCAGGATTCTTAATCTGAAGATGATCCTAACAGATGAACATCCATTGGGGAAAATTCACTCATGGACTATTTCATATTTACAGGTGAAGTCAGAATTATTAGCCCTCCTGTATTATTTGCTCCCCTGTATATTTTTCCCCAATTATTTTTTCAACACATTTCTAAACATAATAGTTTTAAAAACTAATTTCTAATAACTGATTTCTTTTGTCTTAGCCATGATGACAGTGCACAATATTTCTTAAGATGCTAGAATTAAGCTTAAAGTGTCATTAAAAGACTTAACTAGGTTAATTAGATTCATTTGGCAGGTTAGGGTAATGATTTAGGCGAATCATCGTATAACAGTGATTTGTTCTGTTGACTATAGAAAAAAAATAGCTTAAGGTGGCTAATAGTATTGACCTTAAAATGATTTTAAACAGATTAAAAACTGCATTTATTCTATCTGAAATAAAACAAATAAGACTTTCTCCAGAAGAAAAAATAATATCGGAAATACTGTGAAAAATTCCTTGCGCTGTTTTACATAATTTGTGAAAAAATTCACAGGAGGGCTAATCATTTTGACTTAAACTGTATATTAATAGTTAAAACTGTATAACAAATAATTAAAGTGACCCAGTTGTTGAAATTTAGATACATTTGTGTTATACAACCTCCTGTTGGGTTAAAAACAGGCATTTATACCTATAAATATCAGCAGGTCTGATTTACACAAGCAAATGTTTTGGCGTTTCATATTGCTAAGCAAAATCTTTCATCTGCTTAGATTTTGGCAATCAGTTTTAGGCCCAATCCCAATTTTATTTTTGTTCCTCTACCCCTTCTCTTTGGCCCTTAAAACAGAGTGTGAAGGGGAAGGGCTTCAAAATTTACCCCTAAGAAATGGGACACCTCTACAGCAACTGCACACGTCATCAAGTGTCATCGCAATCTCTTGCTTCATATGAGATCGACGATCGCGACTGCTGCTCTAGTTATTCCAGTTGCGTTATTTTTTGGTATTTATCTTTAGGAAATTACCAAAAACATATATTATGTTGTTATTATAATAATATAAGGTGGCAATAAGATCATAACAGTACTGTGCATTTACACCATGGCCATATTCATCTATGTAAACACATGAGAACAACATTAACATTATACTAGACACAGTAAAAAGGTCATTCCCAGCCACTAGACTTTTCTCACAGGGTATTCCAGTGTCATCGAGTGAAAGTATGTTGTGGGACAGCTATACAGAAGTTATTATTATGGATTATAGATTGTGAAATTTAGCCGTTTTTATTTTTCATGTTTTTTTTAAAGCATGACGGTAAAACACAAACGCCGTTATGAATGTATTAAAACATATGCTTGTTTGTTGTAAAAAATTGTAAAACAACAAAAAGTACTACTTTGTGCATCTCCTATGCTGCCGTTATAGCTAGTGTATTCTGTGAAATGTTCTTACCCTTTGGTTTTGAGTGTGGTCTAAAGGGTAGAATTGGGATTGGGCCTTAGTCACAATTGATAAAAATACAATTTATAATATATAAATCACAATTTATAATTTATAAATCAGGTATTAGAGGCACTTCATTGTAGGTTGATGTCATAGGGTGACTGTTGTATCTTGCACATATTAGTAAGTTGATGACTAAAAATAATAATTTCATAACTAGCTTTTAATTTTTTAGCCATATCAAAGCCCCTAGTTGTTCTAGAGTACTACTATGTAATTAATCATTTGGTACAGTTTACTTATTGTGTACATAAATGTTTTTACATTGTACTTCTTTTAAAAACGAAGAATTACATCAGTATTTCTGTAACTATGATTAGACTCTGTAAACACTCTTAAATCTACTATACTAACAAAACTGTCTATAATCCCACCCTGATGGCACCATAAGTGCTTTGCAATGCAGTATAAACACAAGTACATTGCGTTTGTTTTTTGATGCAAGTACATTGTATTTAAAGCCACTTAATATAAAGTGGGAGAATATAGTGTAGCTGCGCTGAGTTCCAGTGCCACAATAATGATTATAAAGCTAGTAAACAAAAGAAATGAGTGGTTTCTCAACAGAACTCTTTTATTTTGATAAGGAATGAAGGGGATTAATTCTGAATGTAATTAATTCTGGAGAATTTATCACCACTGTAGGGATTGCTGGGATCAGAATATTAGCTTAGTTTCATACTTTTTAAATAATATTTATATGATTTACCTATTTGAACAATGTAAAGTTTCTGAACCTTACATTTAGTGTCTTTTTTTTTTACATAAAAGACTATTAAAATAATAAAAAGAATAAGCGATCTTATTAAATTAGGTACATAAATAAATAAGTATATATGTTATTAATTATTTTGTATATAGTATGGCATTAGCCTTCTCGCTCTGAGCAATTATGCAAATATTGATATGTTATATATCTGTTAGACATAGCTGTACTAACTATGATTATATCTGTCTTTTCTTGTTTTTCTCACTGCCACACATCCAAATTAGAGGGATGAAAGAAAAAATGTAGGGATCTATAGGAATGAGACAGCACTAATTGAACTTTTCGATATGAATGCTTCATGATTTCTAGTAGATTTGAGATGTTTTCCAGCATTTATTTCTCTTTTACTTTTGGTTTATGTGGGAGATTGGAAAAGATTACAGTGTCTTGATCACTATCTAAGTCCATGTGCGCATTGTAAAGTTTCAGGAGTGACAACCACATATAAACACACTAGTAAATTCATTATATTACAGGCCTCAAAACTTTTGATTGACCCCATTCGTTATTTTGACCAAATGAAAGTAACAATGACCAAAAACCCTTGATAGTCATTGATTTTTCTGTATAAACTTGTCAACAGAGATGTCGTTATTGTGTTTGATAGCTGATTTGCATTGGGCACTTTTGAAGGGTTGCCATGTCCACTTATTTTAAACACAACTTTGTGAAATGTGTGACATCCCAGCAGGCACAGGACGCCAACATTATTGGTTAAGATTAATGTTGTACCCTAAAGTCGTGAAGAAGTTGCTTTTTTTGGAAATGAAAACTTGTTTGACGTCAGAAACCAATTTAAGGCCGATGTCAATGTCCAACGTCCAACCTAAAATCAACCAAATATCAACGCCTAATGATGTTACAGCTTAACATTGTGTGGACGTTTCCACTATGACGTCTAGCAGACGTTGGATTTTGGTTGTCATACCTGACGAATTAATGTCAGTATTTGAGGTCAATATGACATTAGTTTTAGATGTTGGCTCGACGTTAGATTTTCGTCACTTTCCAACACACCCTAAAATCAACCAAATATCAACATCATTTTGCGTTGTTATTGGATGGCAAAATAATTAGACACTGGCCAGACATTGAATTTTGATCACCTGACATCACAACCTAAATCTAAACTAATATAAACGTCTTATAATGTCTTATGTACTTGACTAGACAATAAACACCAGCTGAAGAATAGCATATGCACAGGTGTAAGATGTTTCTCTACAAAGTGACTTCGCCAAATACTGGCCTGGCATGAGTATTGCAGTGTTTTTGTGGCACAATGTGAACTGGGATTGTTTTGACAACATTGTTGTCAACACGCAGAACTTTTCAAACACAAAAAGAAACAAATTCTGGTTTTATTACGTTTTTCTCAAGTAGTTTTCCCATAAATTCAAAACAATCTTCTCGAAACAATTGAGAAAAACACATACAGGTTGTTTTTACAAGCATTTGGAAAGCTGTGAAACTAGAAAATGACTGAATTCGTATTGGACTCTACTTGTGTGTGTAAACGGTCAGTGTGTTGTTACAATAAGTTGCTCTGTATCTCATTTGAGAGTCCAAACAACAGCTTGAATTATTAGACTCTTCCAATTTGAGGAGTAAAGCTGTGGGTACAACCTACAGTCAACCATAGTGTCATCACACACACAGATTTGAGTCAGTATTTCAAGTCGCAGAAGGGCTGGAGGTGGTGGCTTGGCTCTTGTCACACACGCTCACGACCATCAGCCAGAGAGACTCATCTCATCACGTCACTAAAAACACCAGCTTGGAGGTCAGCGGATGGTTAAAACAAATTTACTTCATTTCAGTTCTTGCTTTTTTGTTTTTTTGTTTCGTCCTCAGATGTCCACACAGAAGCAGTACAGGCAGCTCTAGCCAAACACAAGGAGAGGAAGATGGCTGTTCCTATGCCGTCCAAACGCCGATCTCTAGTGGTCCAGACCTCTATGGATGCTTACACCCCCCCAGGTGAGCTTCACACCTGATTCTAGACCAGCATTTACTTAAAGTCAACATGAAAGCAAATTACAGTTATTGAATGGATAGTTCTCAATTTTTTATGCAAACAGTGAAGTTCAACAGCGTATGATTTTGAAGTGACTTTTTTTTTTTTTGATTGTTGTGATATAGGCTTTGTAAGCGGGGGAAATATCAATAATCTTAGTGAAAGAACTGTATTAGGCTACTCTTTTAAGAAATTCAGGCCTCCAAAAAGATTTCATTGTTGATGATCGGAATATTGAAAGATTAATCTATGTTTGTCTTAACAGCCATAGAGCATTTCAATGTATTGATGTCATTGGCCCATGAACATTTCCTGCTTGTTATTAAACTATTTCATAACTGTAACAAGAGGCAGTTCAATCATAACTTAATGTTAAAACAGCTATCATAACATTATTTATTAATATGTGGCTGTTTTTTGGTTTCTCAAAAACTATAGAAATTAAAAATGTAAAACAGGGAATTCATTGGGACCATTGTTTTTGTTTACATCCCTCAAAATTGTTTTTATATGATTAAAATCACAATCAAGTTTAAGCTATTGTTTTCCAGAGTGAATCTGTTAAATGGTTTATTGCTGCCAGGGAGTTATAGTTTATAGTTTATAGTTATTGTTGATTAAAACCTGAATATTACTAATGTTTTACTAATAATTTTATTTTGATTTAAATGTTATTTCAGTTATAATAATGATGTTGTTTAATATATACATGGTATGACATTTTTTATTTGACACAGACATTGAGATTACTCTTAATAGAGCAAAAAATAAATAAAAAATACAGAATAAACACTACCTGTCACAAGTTTGGGGTCAGTAGGATTTTTAAATGTTTTAAAATAAGCGTCTCCTGCTCCATAACTGTATTAATTTAATCAATAATACAGTCAAATTTGTAAAATTGTGAAATGTTATTGCACTATAAAATAACTGTTCAAAAGTAGTATATAATTAAATTTAATAATTTATTCCTTTGATTTTAATGATTAATTTTCAGCTTCATTACTCCAGTCTTCAGAGTCACATGCTCCTTCAGAAATGACTCTAGTATTAATTATTATTGTTATAAATATTATTATTATTAATTTTATTATTGTTTATGTTAATAGAAATAAAAGCAACAATGAATGGAGCAATAATTTCATTAGAAAATGTATACAATAAGTAATAAATAAATATTTAATAAATAAGGATTTAACATTTTTTTTACAATTAATAAATGCTGCCTAAATGAACAGAATAATTTTCTTTCCAAAACTTCAAACTCCAAAAATCCAAACTTTTGACCGGTAGTGTACGTTTAGTATATACAGATATGCATATATAAGTACTTAATTAATAATAATGTTTTATTGTAATATTTATTGCGATATATATGAAGATTAATATGTTTTTTAACCAATATTGTACAATATAATAATAATAAATAATGTAAATAGAATGTGTAAATAGAATGTATTCATTCATTCATTTTCTTGTCGGCGTAGTCCCTTTATTAATCTGGGGTCGCCACAGCGGAATGAACCGCCAACTTATCCAGCAAGTTTTTTCGCAGCGGATGCCCTTCCAGCCGCAACCCATCTTTGGGAAACATCCACACACACAATCACACACACACACACACACACACACACTCATACACTACGGACAATTTAGCCTACCTGCTGCGCCACTGCTTCGCCCAGAATGTATTATTAATAATTATAATTATTTTTCTTTTAATAATGTAACCACTGGCAACTTAAAAAATATATAAAAATGACTAAAAATGACTAAAAATGCCTTTCTAATACACAAAAATCTAACACCACATATTTATAAACACACATATAAAAGACCTTTTTATAGTCATTGTTTCATGACCTAATAAGTTTGTTATGGACACAATTACATCACATAACTCATTTTTGGCTCTAATTTACTTGTACAACAGGATGAAATTCATGTTAGTGCTTCACAAAATATTATTTGAGCATCGGTGTCCCAATGTACAGTATGTATCCGTAACAGTCAAATTGCAGAATTAGATTATTTATCAAAGACAAAAGATAAAGACAATAATAAAAAGTGTTATTTACAATGATAAATAAATAAATAAATACAATGATAAACATGTCATTTTATGCTTTTATTATTCGGGTACAAGAATTGAATACTTTAGACTCTCCAGAAAATTAGAATGTTTATTTCACTATTATCTTTGCTCTGTTGTGTTTAAACATGGTTGTAATTGATTATAATTGATGTAAACACACTGTATAGAAAAATATTTAATTGAAACGTGCTTTTTACCAGCTCAGCAATAAAACAGACAAGCAAAAAAGTTAAGTCAAATTATAAATGTCTAAAATCTCTCTCTTTTTTTTAAATAAATGTAAAATCTCTTTTAAAGGCAACCAACCAACCTTTGCCGTCATTCTCAAACGCAGATGGGATGGTGGGTCAAATCAAAGGTTACAAAGGGCCAGTCTCTGATCTAAATGAATGAAATCTTTCCAAGTAAAGCTATTCAATTCATGCAGTAAAATTATATTTATATCGCAATATATGTATCACAGAAAAACTAAATATGGCAATGTCCAATTTTTCTAATATCATGCATCCCCAATTCCCATTTCATGTTGACTTTAAGTGCTCTTGTCCACTTTCTGGGCTGAGTGTTGAGTGGGTCTGAGTGACTCTCACTAGGCCTCTCCCCCCTTTCCTCTCTGCCACCCCTGACAGACACCTCGTCCGGCTCGGAGGAGGAGGGCGGCCAGGGTGAGGGAACCCCCACCTCCAGCCAGGGCAGCGTCAGCATGGAGCACTGGATCAGTCGGGCCATCCATCAGGGATCCACCACCTCCTCCTCCTCTTCATCCACACAGAGTGGGGGCAGCGGGGCCGCCGGACGCCTGGCTGACGTTCTGGCTCAAACGCACATGGGCAAATCAGGTAACGCCTTCTTCAGCAAGCCCCACCTCTCCATGCATACCACAGCCAATCACGCGCACACTTCCTGCCATGCTTCTTAATCCAGCCTCCTTTGCGATGTTTGTGTCGTCTGCAGCTTCCTTTGCCAATTAGCATATATGTGTGCTGTCTTTAAGTCACGCTGGCTGTCATTAATGTTATTTAGTGGTAACAGTCTGTACAATTCTGTTAGTAAAGAGGTTTTGCTATTAATTAAACTGTAATGTTAGAAGATTCATGGCTCAACAATAAGGATGGTTTGTAGTTTTGAGCCAGGTCATAGGAGTCACAGGGATAACACTTTTATATTTGTTGTTTCATGATAAGAAAATGACAACATTGGCTCATTCTCAACGTAGCCCTATATACATTTCTGGAGATCTCGAATTATGTAGCCAGAAGTACATATGGCTGCATTACGTCTTTAAAATGAACACAAGGGGGCGGTATGATGCCGTTCCTTTTCACGCTAGCAGCTGACTGTTTACCTCCATATGGACGGCTTTCATTTGACCACAACAATGGGGTTCAAGTCCAGGAAAGAACGATTCCAGAAAGCAGGTACGAAAAAAACAGAAGCCAAAAAATAAAATAAACAAGTAAATAATGGTGAGAATGTGGTAAAAACTGAAAACGTGGTAAAAATTAGGTGATGGCTTTTCTTTTTCTGGATTGCTTTTTAAAACTGTCGGTTGGGTTTAGGGAATCGAGTGAGCGCTGGTCAATCAGTGCTTTTGAAAACACTATTGGTTGGGTTTAAGGAGGATAAAGGTGGGTCAGCCAGTCAGTCAGTCAACAGTGGACTATAGTGGATTTACGTGAGAACAGTAGGCGCTATAACAATCGCAAGAGACATTTGAGATCTCAAAATGTGTGAACAGCGGCCTCTGGTGCATTTGTGAAAACAAAAACTGCAATAAACGGAGCTCCTGGATATTTGGCACTCTTTAGAAATGTATATAGCAATACATATTCAGAATGAGCCTGTGTTGGAAAATATTTGTAATCTCTGGTAATTTAGATATAGGATGTTTTAGAGTAGAATATTTTAAAGATATTTTCAAGATGATTGTTTTCTGAATTGTATCTGTTTCTCTCTATTAAGTATGTGTTATACAGTTATACATTTAATTGTAAATGCTAGCTTTTATTGTTAGGTAATTATACTACAATTGTCAAATATTTTTACATTTTATTTCTTTTAAGTTAAATTAGAATTTGTTATACAGTTATACATTTAAATGTTAATACTATCTTTTATTATTGGTCAATTATTGTAAAATATATATTTTTATTATAATTTTTTAATTATTTAAAATGAACCTAGAAATTTATAAAGTAGATGGCTGTAATATGGGCATAATATAAATATACAAATTTAATAATAAAATATAATAATAATAATAATAACAACAAAACATCATTATTGTTATTATATATATATATATATATATATATATATATATATATATATATATATATATATATATATATATATATAATAGTAACTAAAATGTTAAATTATTGATAATTAAATGATTTCTTACAGTTATTTTGATAGTGTATTTTAATTTAATTGTTTTTTTATTAAATTTTTATATTATACATTTTTTAAAATTTGTTTAGGGTAGTGAAATAACAGACAGTGCAAAATCTTCTGGCCTTACTTGACCAGCAGAAAGAAAAATCCTTATTGTCGAGCCCTGATGTGACAATTCAGGCAACCCAGAGCCAACCACAGTTCCTCTTTTTGTCTTTTTAAAGCAGTCCTGAGTACTGCACGCAGATGTTAAATTTATCTATCCAGCTTATTGTAGAAGTAAACCGAGAATGCAGCAGGAAGAGGAAAGAGTTTTACTGCCACTTTTTCCCCTCCCCATTTAGAGGCCAGAGAACGAAAGACAATTTCTAAAAAACCTCACGAAGCTTCTGTATCCAGAGGGCTTAAAGTTGTAGACTGTGGCTAAGTGATGAACTCTGGTGTTTTAATAGAGCTATGATGTTATGTCAGAGTGCCCTGTGGAGCAGTTTAATGTTCGAAGAAAGGAACTCATTTCTTTCACACTGTCCTGTTACCTCTCCTCATTTCATGTCTTTTATTTCCCCTCACGATCTGGTTCCCTCATCGTCCTACCTCAGTTTAGCTTTCCTGTATCAACTTTCCTTCCTGCTTCCTGTGTTTACAATCTCTTTCCTCTTTTTCTTCCACCTTCACCATTTTGTATCTTAAGGGCATTTTACACGGTGCACGATTGGCAACAACTTTAGCTTTTTGAACTTTTCAATATTCACAAAATGCGGCACAGGTTATTTGCTACTGCTTTAACCTCTTATCAACGTCAAAAAAAGAAACTCTGAATGAAGTGTTTACTGTAAATATTGGTAACATCTACTATAAATTCAGCTTTAAATGGGTAGTTCTCTCCAAAATTAACATTTTGTCGTAATTTACTTACTCTCCAAACACTGTTCTCCAAACAGTGTTCTCCAAACACTGTTTTACTGTTCAGCACAAAGATTTTTTTTTTAGAGAATGTAACCTTCTTTAGAAGTCAATGGGTGCTGTTAAATTTTGAGTGCTAACATTCTTCAAAATATCTTTTGCTTTCACCAAAACAAAGGGTCCCACTTTATATTAAATGGCCTTAACTAATATGTACTTACACAAGAACTAATAGTTTGTTACAATGTACTTATTGTGTAAATACATGTCTTTATTGTGTACTTTTGCTTGATTAAATACCTTTATGTAATTACATCTGTAATTAACTTTTGTAATTACATTTGTAAATACACTGTTGACCATCCCTTACACCTTAACCCACCCTTAAACCTACCCATACCACCAAACCTGTCCATAACCCAACCTATATCCCAAATCAAAAGCACCACAAGTGTTCTCAAATACATTATAAACACAGTAAGTACATTGTATTTATTTTTTGATGTAAGTACATAGTAGTTAAGGTAGGTAAAGATTTTTTAGGAGACTTAAAAATGTACTGCTTCAGCTATGATTGAAACTATTTTACATATATTGAAATAACTCTTTTTTAAAATATTGTGTCAAACAGAAACAAATATTGTGTCTGAAATCTATTCCACTCAAAATTAACTTATGATTTCTTGAACTCTTCAAAAACGAATTGAATACACTTTCAGATATTCAGGAAAGGGCACTTATGGTCATATCTTATAAATACATGATCACACTCTATTTTAAGGTAAAATTTCTGTTATTAACAAACTATTAACTAAGAGCTAAACTAAACCATTTGTTAAAAATTAATTAACCGCTTATTAATAGTCATTTAGGTAGTAGTTGGGTTTAGGTATTTGTTAGGATTAGAGATGTAGAATAAGATCATTCTTTAAACCCCGGTCAGATCATACAAATGTGTCATGATTTTGGCTTGATTTCCTTGATGTAGAGTGTTTCAGGGTATCATAAATGACAAATGGGGTCGTGAGTTCTCTAATCTTTCTGACTGAGTTTGTTCTTCCGAGGTAATCTGGGAATACTTTCAGTGCTGCGAATGCTTTGTAAAGGCTCTCCTAATCATTCGAATTAGACTACTTGATAAAACAAATAAAATTGTAAACTGTGAATATTTCACTTTAATTTTATATAGGCTATATTATACATTTATTTAACAAACCGTGTTTGTATTTATAGCGAACTTGTTTTAAAGCCCTTCACCTCAAATGTTATTAGTTCTTCTTGTTTATCTAGTAGATAACTGACCAACAAAGTACATTAAAATTGAAATACAAATTATTCAAAGCAAAATTTGTTTCAAAAAGATAAGAAAAATAAATAAAGTGTGCATTTTTGTTTGAGCTCGTCCACTACGTAACTGCGCTGTGGATGATTTGTTTTGCTTCGTGGAAAATGAGGATTTAATTAATGCTCTACTGTAATTGTTGTATCACAAACCTCTGTCATATATTAGCAAATTCTTAATAAAAGTCACTATTTTAAAGATTGTGTCGAGGATCTGATTTTTCCTCGATGTTGATGTGCTTTCATTTTCTTTGTCTCACTCGCAGTGTATTTAACAGCCTAAATAATCCTCTCAGGCAAATTTACATTTAAAATACATGAAATACAAAGGCTGGTTATTTTACCGCTGATGAGGGACAATAGGCTATTACAGATATCAAAAAAAAAAAATCTTATTATTAAAAAGGAAACAAGTTTGACAACAACAAATCCCATCAGTGTTATAATGAATGCCCTTAAATAATGTAGCTAGTTGACAGCAAGCATAAGTGTTTATTGAGATTGAAATAAGATTCAAAAGATTTTGATTAAAAAATATTGTCAAAAATAGCAAGCCCGATGTAGACGTCATGTGATGACTGATCATGAAGCAGCATGTGCTCTGGCACATTTGTTACCCACGACAAGTCAAGATTTTATAAAGACAGAATCGCATAATCTGACATAGTGACTTGCAGAATTGACAATAAAAATCATGGGATCTGGCTGGTGCTTTAGAAGTACTAATAATATCTCAATAATAACCCAATATCTTAATAATATGCATGCTATAGGCCAGTAGATATTAGTGGGAATTTATATTTTAAATTAAAGCGCTCAAAAAAACTTGCATTGTTAAAGCAACAATTATATTAACAGCCAATAAATTTTGCACACTCCAAATCCACATCAAAGCACAATAGCATGTGGTTTATTATAAGCCACATATACTGTAGGCTCAAGCAATAACTTTTTGCTGTAGTTGTTTTTTTGTTATAGCGGTCATCCTTGGTGTACTTAAATCTGCTTTAGCTGGCTTTTAGACCATCTAAATTGACTATCTACCAACCAATGTAGGCAGTTTGTGTTCAGCAGGACACGAAATACCAAAATAAAATGCCATTTATTTTTCCATAAAATAGGCTGACCATAAATAGAAATAAATATGATTGGTGGGCAGACATTTGCTGTGTCTGAAACGCCTCACTCTTTTACTCAGAGTCACATTGTGTAGGCAGCAGGCAGCAATGTTGGACCCATCAATTGTTCGAGTGACTAAATCATAAAAACCAAATGTTGTTTGATTTGGTTGATGCATCTGATTGGTCAATGACACACAACATTGGCTTGCTTTCAGTTCTGCCTCCTTGCAATGTGAACTGGGAACTTGTTGTTGCCGTGTGAAAACGCCTTTACATTCTCTCCCTCACTTTCTTTTTTGTCCTCCCACATGATAATGTTATGGTACCATCTAAAAGCAGACAACCAAACTCGGTCGTGTTCAGAGCTTGTAGAACACTATTAGTGCACATTCAGGAAGGATGGTTAATGTCTCCCGGGGACATTTTTACACACTGGATCAGGAACAAGTTCTGAAAGTGCTTTCCAGGTTGTTGCTTTTGTCCTGGTTTTCCATACACTTTTGGGAGAAACATGGCAGTGTGGTGCTCCTGTAGGAATGCTCGATCATTCCCACCTCCTTTTTTCTCAGCTTTCCACTTCCATGCATATCCACAGATATCCACAACCACTGAAACAAAATAACAATTTCTAGGAAACATATTTAAACAAATGGCAATTAACAAACTGAATTAAAATGACATTTAAAAAGATTTAATATTTTGAAAATATTTCAAAATAATTCTAAATTTTTTTGTTTTTAAAAAATATTTTTAAAACAAAAAATATTATGCAATATTTAGAGAATGTATTTACTGAAACAAAAGGACAATTTCTAGAAAACAGTTTTAGACAGATAACAAATAACAAACTGAATTAAAATGACATTTTAGGTTATCATTAATATATGAAAAATATATAAAAATATTGTCTTTCTAAATAATATATTTTATTTACTTTTAATTTATTTACTTTTGAATAGAAACCTCCCTTGTTCTAAAATGTCCGTTTTCATGCAAGATATCCAGAATTTTATTTACTGGGACAAAAGGAAGATTTCTAAGTAATTTCACTAACAATTTCAAATTATTGGCAATAAAAACAGGATTAAAATGACATTTAAAAATATGATTTCTCGAAAATATATATACAGTTGAAGTCAGAATTATTCACCTTATTATTATTATTAGCTTTGATTTTTTTTCTTTTTTAAATAATTTCGAAATTATGTTCAACAGAGCAAGGAAATTTTCACAGTGTGTCTGATAATATTTTTTTTCTTGTGCAGAAAGTCTTATTTGTTTTAATTTAGATAGAATAAAAGTTTTACATTTTTATGAACAATTTTAAGGTCAAAATTATTAGCCCCTTTAAACTATTTTTTGCACAGTACAGACTATACAGAACAAACCATCGTTATACAATAACTTGCCTAATTACCCTAGTTAAGCCTTTAAATGTCACTTTAAGCTGTAAAAAAGTGTCTTGAAAAATATCTAGTCAAATATTATTTACTGTCATCATGGCAAAGATAAAATATATAAGTTATTAGAAATGAGTTATTAAAACTATTATGTTTAAAAATGTGTTGAAAAAATCTTTTAAACAAAAATTGTGGAAAAAATATACAGGGGGGCTAATAATTCAGGGGGGGGGGGGGGGGGGGGGGGGGGGGCTAATAATTCTGACTTCATCTGTCTGTGTGTGTGTGTGTGTGTGTGTGTGTGTGTGTTTTCTAAATATGATATTTTATTTACTTTTTGTCTATAAACTTACTTTTTTCTTTAAAATATTTAATATTTTGAAAATATATTTAAAAAGTTCTCCCTTTTAAATACTACATTTTATTTACTTTTTGTATATAAACCTACTTTGTTCTAAAATATCCTCTTTTCTGCAGGATATCTATAATGTATTCACTGAAACAGAAATAAATATTTTTGAACATTTCACTGACAATTACAAAAAACTGCAATTAACAAACTAAAAAAAAATTAATATTTTAAAACATAACATTCTTTCAATTTCTTTTAAGAAAAGTTTATTTTATTTACTGCTCATTTCTTTGGAACTCCACAATTTTATTTCTTGAAAACATAAATAAGCATTATTTTAAATTATGTATTATTGTAAATGATTAACGTATTAATTACAATTTTTTTCTATTTTAATTGTTATAATTGATATATTAAAGATTCAATAGTATAATATAAATACACATATATATTTTAATTTATGTTATAATTAAAGAATTAGAAATAATGAGTTAGAAGAGTTTGAAATAAAGACATTTTAGTGTATTTTCTTTTTATGTTTAGCCCAGATATGTAACTTTCTCGTCCTTATAAAGACAAAATTGTAAAATAATGTATAATATCTTACACATAAGATAATTTCAAATCAAATGTATATCTAAAACACTGCGGACCAAGATCAAGTTCTTCAATTGTGCTTCCCAGGTTGTTGCTTTTGTCCAGTATTCCCATATTTGTCCCACACCATTGCGAGAAACATGGCAGTGTGGTGCTCCAGTAGGAATGCTTAATCATTCCCACCTCCTCCGTTCCCCCTTTTCCCTTTCCATGCAAGATATCCAGAGTCCTCGGTGCTCTGTTGGGATCATGGCTTTGTCCATGCTCGGCTCATCAGCCCCCCTGTCCCTCCTGCCCATCCATGCCCGCAGTCAGTGAGGAAAGCAGACGCCTCTAAGGTTCTGGTTCTCCCCCTTCCTCCCTTCCCCATCCAGGGCCGATTGCTCACCTCTCCTTGAAGAGGAAAACTATGCTGGGCGTAGCAGAGAACGGAAACTCGCTGCGGCGTTCCTGCGAGTTCGGATCAGATCTACTTTGGCCGCCACCATTGGAGTCGGAGGGTCAGTATTCGCCCCCTAAATCACACACACACACTTCCCCAAATCATCCAGACCGTCTCTGTGTCCTCTATGTGGAGTCTGGGGGGACCCTCAGTGTGTTTCATGTTTCCAGTTGCGTGCTGTTGCTTTTTGACCTGATGTGTCTGAACGTCGTTCTTTATGTAAGTGTAAGTGAGCGCGACACTTTGACATCAGTAATAAAGCGCTGTCTGTGCTGTTGTAGTGGAGATACGGTCTATCTGTGAGTAGTGACTGTGTACTTTTGTGTGTTTTCTAAGTATCTATGGTTTTTATTAAGTGTGAAATGCTGTTTCAGGCTTCAGGTCTGCTTTTAGATGTCCATTCTTTGTCTTTATGTGCTTACTGTTTGGTGTTCATTCCTGAACTTGTGTTATTTTGTGAATAGTTCACTTAGAATGAAAGAAAATAATCTGTTGTCATTTACACGTCATGTCTGTCTAAGTTCATTTGACATACTTCAGTGGAAGGTGAAATGACATGTTTTAAAGAACATTCATTCAGCTTTTTTATACATATACTAAAAGTGAAGAATAAATTGCACATTATCACAAGAATGCAATTTGTAAACAATATTCCAAACCTTCTGTAATTAAATTAAAGTAATGAAATCATGCATGTGAGCAGTCATTCCTTGAGTCGAAAAAAGAGCAGCTTTGACATATTGCAAAATATCACTTTTTTCCACTGAAGAAGTAATGATCTTAAGTGACATGACGTTGAGTAAATAATGGCGGAATTATCTTTGTGTGTGTGTGTGTGTGTGTTTGTGTGTGTCCAAATTAACTGTCAGTATTTTGTTAGTATCTGTGTATTTAGCTGTTAAATTTGCATGATTATTTGATTAATTGCTGTGAACCGAACTGCATTGACATGTGAAATGGTTTGGGTTTTTATAACCAATGAAGTCATTTTCTCATTGAAACATGGACAAGTGTTGACTTTAATTTAATTGTTTTAGGCTAATAAGATTATGTTTTACATAACGATGATGTATTAAGTTAGCTGAAAGTGATATTACATGCATTTAAAATGTGACAAATTAACTATTTAATCATTTTTCCACTAAAACATTAAGAAGCATACCTGTGTTCAGTCTATGGCTGTCCCTGACTTAAAATTTTACTACAAATAAATCCTGTCTACTTTGTGTAAAGTGGAACTGACCTCACAAGTTATGATATTGTGTCTGCTTGGATGTAGCATAAAACATCTACATTTAATCTGCTATTCAGGCAGATTATTCAGTTTTTGCTTTATTTTATATCCTATAAATGGCTTGGTGAGCACAACAAAAACAACAAAAATGACCAACTCAAAGAGAGGTGTGTATTGGGGTTCTGATAAATTCAGATAAAATAATCTGATTTTTAAAAAAGATACACTACCTGACAAAAGTCTTGTCATCAATCTCAGTTGTAAGAGCAACAACTAATAACTTGACTACTCGTTGATCATTTGAAGTGGCAGAAGGTAGATTTTTCAGATGAATCATCTGTTGAACTGAATCTCAATCATCATGAATAGTGCAGAAGACCTATTGGAACCCGCATGGACCCAAGATTCTCCAAGAAATCTGACAAGTTTGGTGAAGAAAAAAATCATGGTTACATTACAATATGGGGGCATACGAGAGATCTGCAAAGTGGATAACCTGAGATACCAAGACATTTGTGCTGCCCATTACATAACAAATCATAGAAGAGGGCAAATTCTTCAGCAGGATAGCGCTCCTCATACTTCAGCCTCCTCATCAAAGTTCCTAAGGAAAGAAGGTCAAGGTAATCCAGGATTGGTCAGCTCAGTCACCAGAAATTAACATTATTGAGCATAGGGTAAGATGAAGGAGGAGGCATTGGAGATGAATCCAAAGAATCTTGATGAACTCTGGGAGTCCTGCAAGAACGCTTTCATTGCCATTGTAGATGACTTTATTAAATTATTTAAGTCATTGCAGAGATGTATGGATGCAGTTCTCCAAGCTCATGGGAGTCATACACAGTATTAATTCTTTCTCCACTGCACTTTGCCTTTATATTCTATACTGAACACTATTTCTGTTTAGTGACAAGACTCTTCTTTCACCAAAGTCAGACCTTACTGTCCTAATGAAATAATTCAAAATCAAGGCATAATCATATTTTATTTTGGTAAAATAAACCTAATCTAGAGGCCTTTGCCTTTCATGTAAGCCACTTCTGATACCAAATAATCAACTAGAAGTCAAGTTACTATTTGTTGTTCCTAAAACTTGAATGGACAACAAGACTTTTGTCAGGTAGTGCATATATAGTATTTTTAAAGAAATGTGTAATTACCAGTGAAAATTGACTGTAATATTCGTCTACCATCTATCCACACTAGAGGGGTTCTGCTTGTCTTGGGGTTTTCTTGTCTCAGTGACGCAGATCTGCCAGCATGTTCCCTCACGTGATGCTAGACGTCATTTTTATTTGTCCTCCTACAAGCACCTCTGGGCTTTGAGGAAACTCCTTATCCAGCGCATTAGTGTCTGTGTCACTGAAGAGCAGGAGGGTGCAGTGAAGACACACAAACACACACACACACACACACACAGAGAGAGAGAGAGAGAGAGAGAGTTTAGATGTAGGTTATTTTCAGTCTGTTACATAAGGACTCTCGCTGCTGGGTGTTTTCTTGTTCACTCATCACTGCTGATAGTGGCAGGAGACAAGGCAGGAGCCTGGTGATGAAGCAGGAGATGAGGTGAAATACACGGCAGGAAGGTTGAATATGAGGCAGGGAGAGAGACGGGAAGCTGAATGTTCAGGCTGGTAGACAATTTACAGATTTGATTTGATTCACATTCACATACAGTTTGTCTCATGTCCAAAATTCCTCCTCCTAATTTGAGTTCAAATTTAATTCTAATATTTTTTTTGTTTGCATATTGTTGCAGACAGATTGAAATTATTTATAAGGCACAAAATATTTAAACATTAACAGAGAACAGTTTCTGTATTTTGTGATTCACAAGTGCTTTGCAGCGGACACAGTGCAAAAATCCATGCAAAAATGTCAAAGATTTGAGTCCTCGCTGGATTAGTTGGTTTTTCTGTGTGGAGTTTGCATGTTCTCTTCGTGTTGATGTGGGTTTCCTCCAGGTGCTCCGGTTTCCCCCACAAGACATGTGGTATACAAGAGGTGAATTGAATAAGCTAAATTGAAAAAGTTTATTGACATTTTAGTAGTTTTAGTTTTAGTAGTTTTTTTTAAAGACCTTAAATTTTGGATATTTACATGCACACGACAATAGGGGCATTTCTGAAACGTCCACCTTAAAACTTGTTTACAAAAGTTTGTGTTTTTAGTCCCAAAAACTATGTTAACAGGCAAAGTTGTAACACTTTAGTTTAAGTCGCATTTTACATTATTAACAAACCATAAACTAATACCGATAGCTTAATAAACTACTTAGCTGTTTATTAATTGTTAGTAAGTTAGAAGATGGGTTTAGGTTTTGGGTAGGATTAGGGATGCAGAATAAGTTCATACTTGATATCTACTAATAAACAGTTCATATCTACTACGTAGATCTACGTAATAGGCAGGTAATACGCCAGTAATTATTAGCATAAATTTTGATTTAAACTAAAATGTTAAACGTAAAAAAAGTTTCCAGTTTTTAGCTGAAAATGTCGTATAAATGGCCACTCAGTCTATACTGATAATATGCTAATGATTCCCTAAAAAGAACCAACTCACTTGAGTCATTTGATCAAAATTCAGACTACACAGGTGATGTACAGTATGTTTTTAAATGACTCAAAATAACCGTCTCACAAGAGTTTTTTTGTTTGTGACTCAAGCCGCTCTGGTTGTCACAACAATGTTTGTCTCCAGCCCTTCAGGAGACCAGGGCAAGCAGGAGTAGAGGCTCTTAGTGCTGATGGTGGGTGGAGGGCCAGTCCAGGGGTCACGACCTTCCTTAGTCACATTCCTCCATCACAATCCCCTTCTGTGCTTGGCATCATTTCTTAGACAGAAGGCATCGCTCGCTCACGTTCGTTTTGTCGATGCTAGTGACAGCTTGACTCATCGCTCCCAGATATATGACTAACACTTCCATTTACATTTATTTGTGAAAAGACTATTTACATGTATGAAAACTCATCAAGTCAGTCAGAAACCAAATGATTTGATGGTGAAACAGTGCACTAAACACTTGATATTAATGTATCAAATCAGTCAGATATAAACTCAAGAGTGTCTGTTTATATTGAAAACCAACTAAAGCTAAGCAGCAAAAAGCCTCACGCCTGTGTAGTCCTTGGTCACAGTAGATGTTTTTTTGTTAGGAGGTCACTTTTCAAACTTTTTAACAGAAAAAGTTGTTGGTTGAAAGATTAAGGTCTCAAAATGCAATTCAAAAACACGAAAGACATAATAAATCAATCACAAAAAAACAGAAAACTGCTACACACCTCGTATAGGCCTACTGTGTTAGTTGTGTTTGTTTGTTTGTTCTTGCCTTTAATTTTTACTCCCTCAAACACGTATTATGCATGCGCATGACATCATTGTTTTCAAAGACTTTTAATTCTGGGTGTTTACAAGAACATGACAGTGGTAGCGTATTCATAAATTAAATGCATTTTCACTCCTAAAAACAATGTGAAAATTAACAGGCAAAACAGTAACACTTCAGTTTAAGTCACAATGTACTGTATCAGCAAAGCAATACTCAAAGAGGTGGTCCAGAGTGTATTTTAAAGCTTTGTTGTGTTTATGGGGTGCAAAGCAATGTGTGCTCATGTTTTATTTGTGAAAAATCATGTTATTTTTTCATGTATCTTACTTTGATTATATACAGCTACTCAGCTAACATGAGAACGACTGTCATATGTTCTAGCTCCTCCAAAGACCCACCCTCAAGAGGCTCTGATTGGTCAGCTAATAACATAATGAGCTGTGATTTGCAGATCGGCTCTATGCCACCAGGAATCGTCTCTGCTATAACATAACAGCGTATCAGGCAACGCCCCTTCACTGTGAGGGGTGTATGCTCGTAACCTGAAGGGTTTATGACATCATTAACCCCAATATATTTTTTTTGTAGTCCCCAAATTTTGTACAGCAGGCGTGACCAACCCTGTTCCTGGCGATCGACCTTCCTGCAGATTTCAGTTGCAACCCATATCAAACACACCTGCCTGTAATTATCAAGTGCTGTTCAGGTCCTAATTAATTGGTTCAGGTGTGTTTGATCAGGGTTTGAGCTGAACTTTGCTGGAAGGTCGATCTCCAGGAGCAGGGTTAAGCACCACTGTTGTACACTGTAGGCTTTGCTAAGCTAACTCTGTAAAACCCAATGTCTCCCTTTGCATTGATACTTTAAGCATATTACATTCAGAGATGTTATGTTCACACAGCTACATTACACATCAACTAAAGTTTTAAATATGATATCGTAGTGGACCACCCCTTTAATGCTTAATAGTAGCTTAAATAGCAGTTTATTAATAGTTAGCAATATAGAAGTTGGGTTTAGTTTTGGGTAGGATTAGGTTGTTATTCATGAAGTCTGCCAGAAACCAAATGATTTGATGGTGAAACAGGGCACTTGAACACTTGATATTAATGTATCAAATCAGTCAGATAAAACCTAAAGAGTGTTTGTTTATATTGAAAACCAAATAGAGCTAAGCAGCAAAAAGCCTCGTGCCTGTGTTGTCCTTGATCACAATAGACGTTTTTTGTTAGGAGTGTTTTGGGTGTTTTATAGTGAAGGAGGAATAGCGCTGCCTCATTGGCATTCTCCTCGTTCCCTGTGTCGAAATTACACAAGGCCAGTTATTTCACTCCCAATTGCTTGGTCGAAGCGAGCGATATAATGCAAGGAAACTTGTGACACTTTTAACCAAATCTCGCCCACTGATGTCTACATTTTGAAACCGTACAAGAAAAGAAGGCAAGCGAGGCTTATTTGTTCGACATTAGACTGTGCATACTCTTTAGGAATATCATAATGGTAATACGTGGCGGCCAAGGGCAGCGAATGAGAAAGACATTTGAGCAACGAGCTGAGGGGAATGAGAAAGAGGCCGCAGACAGCTGAGAATTTATGATGGGAGAGGGAGGGGGAACGGTGAGAGAGAAGCCCAGCGGACTCGACGAGTGGAAGTAAGAGGGACTGTAATTAAAGCAAGGATGAAAAACCTCCTTTCTGTGTCTCTTGCGTTCCATCTTTCTCTCTCTCTCTGAGACGTGTGCATGTTTTCCTCAAAATCACTTCCTGTCTGCCTCCCACCCTCTTCCTTTTAATCGTAAACAATGTGCCAAGTGTGTCAGGGGTTTATGTGAGAGTCAGGTAGGGTTGCAATCCTGCTGGAAAATCGAGTTTACATGTTTTTTAGGTTCCTGGAGGACCACCAGCTCTGCACAATATTAATGTCTCCTTAACCAAGCACACCTGATTCAGATCATCAGCTTATGTGCAGAGACTGAAAGACCTGTAATGGGTGTGACAGACAAAAGAGACATACAAAACATGCAGTGTTGGTGGTCCTCCAGGAACATGGTTGAGAAACACCAGATGTTTATTAGATGGTTAACCAGTTATAGATGGTTTAAAACTGGTCAATGAATTTTTCGTTAGCAGCAGCAGCAACACTATTAAAGTCTGCATGAAGCTGCGACCATATTTTTTTCTTCATGTTGTGAGTTCCTGGAGAAATTAAATATTAAATGAGAAAATAGTGGGCGTGGCTTTTTTTTCTACTGTGAGCTGATTGGATGTGGTAAAGTAGGCCTTTTATTCAGAAAGATCGAGAAAAGGGTTTCGTGAGAGATCTTAAAACCTAACAGACACCTCCTACTTACTGTTTTGTTTGTTGTCATAGCGCTGTCAGTTGAAGGGGCGTGGTTAAGTATGTTAGCCATGTCCAATCCAACAAACAGGATGTGCATTTTCAGATTTTAATTAAAGATTACACAAGGACAAGCTAGCACCTTTTTTAATGATGTGCACAGATGAATTGTTCACCACAAAACTGGCAATGTTAGCTAACAAAATCCGTATGGTTAGTTTTGACTTCATGTGTACTTTAACAGCTAATTTGAGGTGGTTCAATTTCAAGTTAGTCATTGTCTGGTAAAGCCTGTTATATGTTGATATTTATACATATAACTCCTATCTAAGGTTCAATGCTGCCAGCTGTTAATCAACAATAAAAATTACACATTTTACCTCTTTCCAAGAGAGAAAAATCACCAACAATCAAGAATACATGATTATATGGTGTCATGGATTTGCAATCGAAAATGTCTTTATAATGGAGGTCAGTGGTGCAAAAACAGCCACAAACATAACAAAATGGTAGTCAATTTGAATAGCACACAAGGGTTAAAACTAGCCCAAGATGGTCTATAGCTCCTATCAGTTATCAGATGATTAATTGGTCTTTCGAGTTGGTTAGGCTACTAGTTAGTTATCCGCTGGTTTGTTGGTGGCCATTGACTGATCAAACTGGTCATTTGCTGTATCAAATGTCAATAAATAAATAAACAAATAGCCAAGATAAACCTTGTCCAATGTTATCATTAGCTGCAACAAATCAGTTTTAAATGGTTTGTATCTGGGTCAAGTTTGGCTTTCTTGCAGTTTTCTGGAGCAGTTTTCTGTGCTCCAGAACAGCTTACGCTGGAGTTTCTCACAGTGTATTTTGCTTCCTCCTCATCTTCCCAAACCCCAGAGAATCACTCAGCCCCTCCGGATGTCACCACCTACACCTCCGAACATCCCGTTCAGGTGGAGAGGCCACAGGTGTCCACCGTACCCCGGACAACACCCAAATATGGCAACGCCGAACTCATGGAGACCGGAGACGGTAAGGGCACGAGAACGTATGTGTGGAAGAGAAAGAGTGATGTTTTAGAGACATTATTGACGTTTTCATTTCAGAAAGTACAATGAGCTTTGAAAGATTTACATGAGCCGTTTTCCTCAATCATTTTAAAAACCCATCTCGCATTATTTTTCCACCCTATAACTTTATTTATTTTGGCAGATGGTTTTATACAGAGCGACTTGTATATAGTCTATCTGCAGCAACCTGGAGTAAGCTTTGTAAAAGTGTTGTATGATATTTAGTGAGTCACTGTGTTTATCAAAGAATGTTATTTTTGTGCTAAAAGGATTTTTATTTAGTATTTCAGTAGAGAATTTGTTGTAGCTATATAAATTAGATGCTAGATAGAACATGCATAATTGGCAGAAAGATTAAAGCAGAAAGCAAAATGATCATTTAATTGAAATAAGTATGTTTAATCTAAGGCTACATCTAAAATTAAAAAGTTTAAATAATAAAAAACAAAAATAATTAAGAAACACTAAAATACCCAAATGCAAATGAAAATTAGAGAAAAAGCCAATTTAACTACAATTAAAAATCGAATCGACCAAAATAACTGTGCTAAAATACTAAAACTAAATCTAAAGATTGAATGTTAAAAAAAGAAAGAGTAATTCAGTATCAAACACTAATAGTGAATGGATAATACTAAAAAGGATAGTGGTTGCTGTTTAATTAATACAGTGTTTGTAAGATACTATTCGTATACATATAGAGTGGGGGAAGTCACCTTTTTTTTGTAGAAAACATATTTTTAAAGGTGCTGTTGACTTGAAAGTTTCACCAGATGTTGGTTGCGAAGAAAACAAAATAAATTAGTTTACAAATAAAGCTATTTGTAATAAACTAAAATTACACAGGGGAAAAATATTGAACACATGAAGAAAGTGAGGTGTAGAAAAGCAGTGAAAGCCCAGACAGCAGCTGAAATCTTTCAGTAGTTCTTCGGCAACCCTCTGCCCTTCCTCATTGTAAATGAATTTTAGCTGCTTCAGTCCAACATCTACATTATCAGGGTGATGAAGATCAAACCAGAGTGGACATTTCAGCGAGACAATAATCCCAAACAATGCCAAGGAAACTCTCAAATGCTTTCTGAGAAAGGAAAAGCTCTAGAATGGCCCACCTAATCACATGACTTGAATTCAATAGAACATACACAAAAAAGATCAGATTTGATAGTTGGGGCCCACAGAAGTCTGTGAAATAATCCCATCTGAACAATTCATGTGACTTCATTCTCCATATGAGAGGTGTCTTTAAGCTGCCATCACCAAAAAAGCCATTGATATATAGTATTAAATAGATTTCAGTAGTTCAGTACTTTCTCCTTGTGTCATTCCATTGTTATTACACATAACTGATTCTTCCTAAAAAATGTTGTTTTGTTTTAATTTTATGTTATTGTTTAGGTTTTTACCAAATTTTGGTAAAATTCCATGTCAAGAGCTCCTTTATAAATATTATTCCTTGAAAAAAAACATGACGTGTAAAATAATTATTTCCCCCACTGTACCTATAACTATTTACAGGTTTATGGAGTTGAGATGATGCACCACTGATTTGTGATGCCTACTCTGACAGATTGAGGGCATTGATCCTGCTCTTATATTATTATGCTTTAATTTGATCTCAAGGGGACACCCTTGAAGACCACATTTGACCGCGTCTGTCAGAGGCATTAATCAATAACATTTGTAAAATTGATTTTTTAGGGGTACGATGAAAATTGAGGCATTTATCCTGAAGTAAACACAACTGCAGCGAGTTCAAACATCTTCAATGCGCACATACAGCCATCTGACTAGTCTGTTTATGGTCAGACTCTACACCCAGAAAGAATTACATTCAGGAAAATGAGTGATTTGTTTGTTTGTTTGTTTGTGTTTTTGTGCTCCTCAGGAGTCCCAGTTAGCAGTCGTGTTTCTGCTAAAATCCAGCAACTTGTAAACACATTAAAGCAGCCCAGACGACCTCCGCTTCGAGAGTTTTTTGTTGATGATTTTGAAGAGCTCCTAGAAGGTGAGTGTTTAGTTACACATTGCCGTTTTAAATAGTTTTTAGGAGCTTTTCTTATAAACAAGCGCATGCAGTAAACGATGCCTGTTTTGTACAAAAAAAAAAAAATCAAATGAATTAATTTGGTCACCACTTAATGGGGATGATAATGACAACTGTAATAAAAGTATACTGACATTTCCGTTGACTAATAACGAAATGAGAATATGATTGAGGGAGTTTTTTTTTTTGTAAAATATCCCATCAGAATTAATCCTGGTGTGTGATGTATGATGCAAACACACAGACATTTGAAAAGTAACTGGTCCACAGTAGACACGGGATACGATTACATCATCTTCCATAGGGGGCGTCAGTCTGATTAAACTGTAATAAAATGACAACAGCTGAGAGAAAAGGAAGATTCACATTAGACGTCAAGACAAAAAGACTGTAAACTATATAGGGAGGAAATAACTGATAAAAACAACAAAACTAAAGCGACATCAGCATACCAGGGAATCATCACAAAATTCACACAAAGGTATACTGAGATCTTTTTTATTTACCTGAGTGTGTGCTCTTGCTTTACCGAAATGGAATAGTCTCTCGCTAGAGTAGATTTAGTTGACTAAAATCTTATGAAATTTAGTTCACTAAAACTAGACGCAAAATAAAATGATTCAGAAGACTAAAATATGACTAAAGCTAAAATGGAATTGCAGTCAAAAGACTACCTAAAACTAAATCAAAATAAGCTGTCTGAATTAACACTAGTCAGATCCAGTATTGTCTTACTTTCAGTCTTACTTTATGAATATCCAGCATTGATTTGTGCTTTTTAATAAGCAAAGCTACAGAATAAAATTGTAGAAGTTTTAATTGACGTGATCTGAAACTTATTTAAAAATAAAGTTCATCCACTATTTTCTATAGTTGGGATCAGAAGGAATGTGAAGGCTGTTGCCGCTTTCTTCAGAATCATCATTTTGTCTTACACTCAAAAAACGATGTTTGCTGTTTGTTCAAACTACTTAATTTAAATGAGCTGAAACAACACAGTTATTGAGATTTTGGACGGGACGACTTAATAGTTTTATTTTCAATCCAATTAAATTTGTAAAAACTAATAAGTTAACACAACACGAATTAATTTTTTTTCCTGGTATGGACCTGTGTTTGCCTCTTTCTTTACTAAACTACTGCAGCAAGAACAGAGGGTTGAATATAGTAGGCAGTATAGTAGAAGCGGGCAGGGCATTACTCTTTAGTAGAATCAGTTTATTTGGACCATTTACATACCAAAAAAAATAAAAATGGCTCATTCCACAGCCTGCCTTTTTAGCAAACTGGCTTCAGTATAAAGATTTGAGTTCTGAAACTACCACGGTGATATGTATTGTACACTTACCAATTACATGTCATTGGATCAAACCAACTGCATAAAGTGAACCAGCACAGCCAGCTACATGGAGGATATTTTTTAGCCTTCTGAATGATCATATGTTTTTGCTCACTCAGTCCAGCAACCTGACCCAAACCAGCCGCGGCCAGAGGGGGCTCAGATGGTCCCGATTCGAGGAGAGCCGCTGGGGGTCGTCACTAATTGGCCACCATCTCTTGAAGCTGCTCTTCAACGCTGGGGGACGATTTCACCCAAAGCCCCCTGTCTGACCACGATGGACACCAACGGCAAACCCCTCTACGTCCTTACTTACGGTAACTTGGCTACGTTCAGCTACAGCCATGTTATGACCAACATCTGCTTACTAACACACTGAACAGAATGTTTTTGCTTTCTCATTAACTCTCTATTGGAATAATTATTTTACAGTAAATAAATGTTAACTTATTTCTCACAGTAAGTAGCATTTATCTTGAGACCCCAAATATTTTTTAATTTAATATTTTATTTCATTTTTAATTTTGTATTTGTTTTTTATTAATTTTATTTATTTAGATTTTTTTTTATTTTTTATTCTATTTAATTTTATTTAATTTCATTTTATTTTTTTTACATTTTTGTTCATTTTATTTATTTATTATTATTATTTTTTTTTTTTACTAAATAGGATTTATATTATACAAACAGAACAAATGTTTAATGAGATTTTACTATTTTATTATAAATATGATTTATTTTTTGTTTATGCCAGATAGAATTTGATGCATTTAATAGTGTGATGAACATCTCCAAATATTTCAGGGGCTGCTGAAAGCACCAATACACCTGTGTTGATCTCAGCGTCTTTGTCTACTTGTTTATTTATGCTCAGTCATAAGAGGAAGATCATTGTAGTCCATACAACATGTTGTGTTGTGTCTTTGTATGTGTGAGGTCTTAGCCTCTCAGCTCAATAAGAGTCCTGGCAGCAGCACATTACGGGTGAGAGTGTAAGGAAAGGTTTGCAGTGTGTGTGTGTGTGTGTGTGTGTGTGTGTGTGTGTGTGTGTGTGTGTGTGTGTGTGTGTGTGTGTGCTTTAATTGATTGGTTTTCCCTCATTTCTTTTTTCTGAAAATTGAAACTGATCATCAAACCACCTGAACATCATTATTTCCTCACTCACACACACATCCTTGTCCTCTTCAGCTAATTCAAAACATAACTTTAATTATGTTAATTATTAATTAATATCTTGATGGTCATTTTCTATTTTCTTATAGTCTCTTCAGGTTTTGTAAACCTCAACATCCTTTGAATTGATTCCTACAAATCACAGCTCTTGTTTTACCCATTGTGGTAAATGAGTGGGTTTGTCCTGTGTTTACCTCATATTTACATCCATGTAAAATGCAGTTAAACAATTTCCTGCTACCTGTCAGCTAGGTGTACCAAAAAAAAAATCGAATATCAATGGGAATTTGCTTCAAAATTTTAAAAATATGCTTTGTTTGCAATTGATTAAATAACATAGACCTTTTTTCACAGCCTTCTTTGCTCATATTTACCAAGGGTAACAGTATTATTTTAGGGCACTGTGTAGTTGACTCATGTTTGTGCGACATATACCAAAATCCACCGGGGAATATCACCCTCCTCCTCGGCTTGTTAAAAACCTCACCCAAATCAAAAGAGTAATTAACTTTCAGCAGAACGCAGACGCCGAACAAGATCGCTATCTCACATGCGCTGTTTAGCTTTCATTGGGGTTTCATGGCCGCGAATTAAATCCTGATAATGGCAGGTCAAAAACATTGAGCAGGACAGAGGAGATAAAGTGTCTAAATGCACTGAGTGTGACTCATCCAGATGCTTCACCTTCTTGAAATTTGGTCTCGGGCCATCCTGTCCTTTGCTGGCCCTTCAGTGTGTGGAGTCTCTTCAATTTCTTCTTTCTTGTTTAGCAATAGTACCATTACATGCTCTATTCAGATCACACATGTTCTGAATAAAGGTGTGAAATTTTTATTGGCTATGATATTTTAGTAATTGTTGTTTTAATGATGTGTGTGCTGACATTATAGAGTATGTCAATCACTTAGCCAAAAACTAAGAAAAACACTTTTTAACTGAGGAATGGAGCCTGTTAGAATTATAAAAACATTGGGTGCATCCAAAAGCTTTAAAATGCTGCCTTTAAAGCAACTTTCCAAGGTGGGAAGGCATCAACCACTTCCTGGCACTGGGGGTTCAGTTGTCTGATCAGATTTTGAAAGCAGCTTGTTCTTCACTGCCTTTGATATCCCACAATTCTGTAGTTTCAATTTTTTAAAAATCTTTCATTCACTTTCCTTCGGCTTAGTCGCTTTATTCATCAGGGGGTTGCCACAGCGGAATGATTCGCCAACTTATTCAGCTTATGTTTTACTCAGTGGATGCCCTTCCAGCTACGACCCAGGGAAATATCCATACACTCTCATTCACACGCATAAACTATGGGCAATTTAGACTGTGGGAGAAACTAGAACACCTGGAGGAAACCCTTGCGAACATGGGGAGAACATGCAAACTCCACACAGAAATGCCATCTGGCCCAGCCGAGACTCAAACCAGCGATCTTTGTGCTGTGACACGACAGTGCTAACCACTGTGTTACCGTGTCGCCTCCATTACTTACAGTTACTCTAAAAAAATTAACATTGCATCTCAAAACAGTTCTTGGGTGTCATTTTTTGTGCAAATTTACGTTTTTCACTGATGGCATTTCCAGTATGAATTTAGTATTGTAGCAAGTAAATTTTCCCTTTAGTTATCACCAAAAATCTCTCTGTTTAATTGTACATGATTAAGTCATTAATTATGCTGTCAGAAGTCTGTCTGAAATTAGTTTTTTGAGGCTTCTTCATACACAAGCACAGCTCTCCGCGTTTTCGGATGCAGACATTGTTTTTGTTTTATTCACCAACAAAATAGTTCCATATAAAGCAGGTACAGAACCTTTGTGAATCAGAGCAACACTAGTGTTGTGACTCTGAATGAATCTAGTTTAAGAAATTATTTGATTTATTGATTCATTAATGTATTCATAAAGATGCTCACTTATTTAACACACCACTTTATTAACATTTTTAGAGGTTAGTTTCAGTCTGTTAGTTTTAAGTAAACAGTATCTATAAGCTAGTGTGCTTTAAAGCAGTGACACACTTCATGTTTAGAAGATATTAAACTAATATAAACACCCAAAGCTTGTAGTTTGTCACTTTCACCTTATTGGATCAAAACATTTTTTTCATGTCAGTCCATACTTAAGTTTCTCCTCAAATTTTGACCAACCAAATGCTTTCTAATATTTGACATGCCCCGCCTCCTTCAAGAGGCTTCTTAATTGCTTTTCATTTAAAGCGCTTGAGCTTAACCACTCTCAGTGGCAGAGCTGTGATGGAAACAAAATGCTATTGGCTGTTCTTTTAAAAGGGAGGAGAACATATATCCTACCCTCTCATCATTTATTCAGTTGAGATTACATCAAACATCGAATAGAAAATGCAAAAGACCTGGACATGTTGTAGGGGCGAGGCAGTGGCGCAGCAGGTAGTGCTGTCGCCTTACAGCAAGAAGGTCGCTGGTTTGAACCTTGGCTCAGTTGGCATTTCTGTGTGGAGTTTGCATGTTTTCCCTGCTTTTGCATGGGTTTCCTCTGGGTGCTCCGGTTTTCCCCACAGTCCAAAGACATGCAGTACAGGTGATTTGGGTAGGCTTTATTGTCCGTAGTGTGTGAGTGTGTGTGTGTAAATGTGTGTATGGATGTTTCCAAGAGATGGGTTGCGGCTGGAAGGGCATCCGCTGCGTAAAAACTTGCTGAATAAGTTGGCGGTTCATTCCGCTGTGGCAACCCCGGATTAATAAAGGGACTAAGCCGACAAGAAAATGAATGAATGAATGGACTTGTTGCCACCTACTGGTGGTTTTAGTTTAATTTATTTATCTATAACTGGCTTAAACCTGCCAAGGTCTCAAAACTGTAGTTATTTTTATTGACCATATCCCTAGTCACACAAAAGGAAACTTCAGGGATTGTTTGGTTAACTGCCCTTATAAATATCATTGTATAATATGTCATTCTTTCTGTACAGGTAAACTTTGGTCTCGGAGCATTAAAGTAGCATACAACATCCTGCACAAACTGGGCACCAAGCAGGAACCCATGGTCCGACCGGGAGATCGGGTGAGTGTGACACAACCTCTCAAAAAGCACTTTATTAAGGGAATGTTGCAGGTTCAAAACAATATAACATATAATTGCTATCAATCACCACAACTGGTCTGCAAGCTTTTAATGTATTGCAAATATTGTGTGTTCAATATGCAACGGAAGTCTGAGAATCAAGGTTTGAGTGCTAAAAAATGAGTGCTAAAAGCAATTTAAATTCTACAGTGTTAAAGCATTATTTAATATTAAAATGGAGCTATGCTAAAAGGATGATTTAGACAGCTTCACACCTTAAAAACTCAAACATTTTTGCATACAAAAACTGATTAAATGACCAAAAAACTGTTCCTGCTTTCGAAACCCTTCATAACACCTCACTTCCGTTGTAAAATTCAGTATCTTCAATCTCACTATGTGTTTACTCACAGAGCATTGAGTTAGAATGATTGTGTGTTGCAATCCTCCACATGCTGCAGATGCTGAACACAGAGCATAACTTGTTTGAACCCAAAACATTCCTTTAATCACAGAGCGTTGTTTCTGCCGCATGCCTCGGTTTTAAAGCGTGTCCCTGTCAGATTAGCATAAGTCTGACACCTTTCCTCTCTTATCACTCCACGAGCAGGTGGCTCTCGTGTTCCCCAACAACGATCCTGCCGCATTTATGGTCGCATTTTACGGCTGCCTGCTGGCGGAGGTGGTGCCCGTACCCATCGAAGTGCCACTTACTCGAAAGGTGAGACTCTAAATATACATCAATGAAAGTCACGTTCAAATCTTGATTTTTTTTTTGACACCTAACAAGTTGTTGTGCCTACCCACGGTTCTCCCCTGCAGTTTTTTAATGCTCGACATGGGCTCATGCTATTGAGTGCCAATCTAACACAGTCTTTACACTGCACAATCTTAATATTTATTTATTATTCATGTTTAATGCCAACATGTTACAAAGGCCTTCTGGAAACTTGGCTTTGTAAATATTGCAGCGTCTTCCTCTTCGAGCTGCTTTCTATTTTTTGAGTTATCTTATCAGAATGTCAGGCTGTATGCATCAGCACAGAGCCCTCGAGGATGAGGATATGTATGTTGAATTTTAGTGGTGGAAGTAAAGGAGGAGAGCTGCTTTGGCAAGAGTCACGCTGATCTCTCGTCAGTCCAAATAAATTCCAGGAAAGGACCTGGAAACTGGCAGAACACTCTCTGGCTTCCTCTGCATGCAGTGCACTTCGGAAACCAATAAACTTCTGTCCAGTCCAAAAGCAGCTGTGTTTTTCCTGTAATTTTCTCTTATGTATAGTGTAAGCCTTACAGTATGCATACTGCTGTGACTGTGTCTCATGAAAAAATAGTGGTACTTTGGTAAATGTTCCCATTTAGATGTACTGTATGCTTTTGGTGGGTACTTTTATCAAGTGTAACTTGATTTTAATTCAAACTATGCATTTTTATAAGTTCATGGTTTCCCTGGGAATCAAACCTATGGCCTTTGCTTTGCTGTTAGAGCTACAGGAACTCCAATGCAATGGCATTAATCATTGGCATAGCCAACCTAGTTGATTGTCATGATATTATGATTGTACATGTGTTAAAAAATTACCATGCATACAATAGTAGTACTGTTATATAGTATATTGCAGTACATACATCAACATAAGCTCATTCTAATTACATAGCCCTGTATACATTTTTGTAGATCACGAATAATGTACAAAGGGGTGGTATGACGTTGTTCCTTTTTACGCTTACCTGCTGACCGCTTACCTCAGTATGAACGGCTTTCTCGCTGGTTCCAGTTTGTCCAGTAGCTCGCCATGTAGGACGGCAGACTTGAGGCGCAGAGAGGAGTTGACCATGTTGACGTGGTTTGAGTCCGGTGCAGAACAGTTTCAAAAAGCAGGTAAACAGAAGGCAAAAATTTAAATAAACGAGTAAATAACAGGTAAAATCTGAAAACATGGTAAAATCAGGTGAGGGCTTTTCTTTTTCTGGATTTCTAGATTTTGGTTACTTTCCAACACAACCTAAAATTAAACAAATACCAACTTTATTTTACATCATTATTGGACATCAAAACAACGATGTCCTTAGACGCTGGCTAGACATTGAATTTTGGTCACCTGACATCATAACCTAAATTTAACCTAATATTAACGTCTTATGATGTTGTGTGCCTGCTGAGATATTAATATTTTAAATGAGTATAACAGAAGTAATGTTGGGTGACGCGGTGGTGCGATGGGTAGCACATTCACCTCACAGCAAGAAGGTCACTGCTTCGAGCCTCGGCTGGGTCAGTTGGCATTTCTGTGTGGAGTTTGCATCTTCTCCCCGTGTTTCCTCGGGATTCTCAGGTTTCCCCCACAGTCCAAAGACATGTGGTACAGGTGAATTGGGTATGCTAAAATTGACCTCAGTGTATGTGTGTGAGTGAGTGTGTATAGGTGTTTCCCAGTGCTGGGTTGCGGCTAGAACGGCATCCACTGTGTAAAACATATGCTGAATAAGTTGTCGGTTCATTTCGATGTGAATGAATGAATGAAGTAAAGCTATCATCCCTCAAGTTGGTACCATGGTACGTTTGTATTTTTGGAATGTTTGTTATTTTGGTATGTAAAAAAGGCATCTTTGACAGGTGGAGATGGTTTTGAAACACCACCATCAAAGATAAAAGAGATATTGATGCACAGCAAAGTATTATGAGTAAACATCATTTCTCAGTGTGCTGTCTGTAATAAGTAGGCCGTCATCTCCCCTGCAGTGTATTTTGCTGCTGTACTGATGATGGATGTTAGCTGGTTTTAGCCTATTTCTCTGTGTGTGTGTGTGTGTACATTAGGATGCAGGAAGTCAACAGATCGGCTTTCTCCTGGGCAGTTGTGGGGTTACAGTGGCTCTGACCAGTGACGCCTGCCACAAAGGCCTGCCAAAAGGACCCACCGGGGAAATACCACAGTTCAAAGGTCAGTCTGTTCATACAAAACTCCTGCAGTGATGTGTAGTGGCATGTAGCCAGACTTGTGATTTTCAGCATGAGGTCTAGTCCACTTTAATTCTTTTAATATGGCTAAGAATAGCTCATTTACGCTCTGTTGGATTTGACATGTTTACAGGGATTTGATCAAAGTGGTCAGTTGAGATTCATTACTGTTTGCTCTTGGTTTTGGTTTGACATCTTAAAGGGACAGTTCACACAAAAATGAAATCATGGCCATCATTTACTCACCCTTCGCTTGTTCAAAACCTATTTAAGCTTCTTTCTTCTGATGAACACAAAAGGAGATATTTTAAAGAATGCTGGTTGATGACACCCATTGATTTCCATAGTAATTTTTACTGTGGGGGTGGGGAGTTACCACAAGATGGTTGTCCGCTAGGTCTTAAAATTTCTTACATAATTTAAAAAAGTAAAGTAAACCAATCGGGCCGTCCATTCATAATTCATCTCAATAAAACCCTATTTACCAATATGATGTAATTATCTTGCTTACAGTTACATTTGTTTAAAGGTTCTTCATGTATTTTAGACGGACTGTTGTGCATAAATTTTGTTTATGATAGTTTTTTTATCTTATAAATATTTTAACTACATTTTGCTTGTTTTGACACATTTAATATATGTGGTTAAGAAATAACTCAGTCCCTCCAGAATTTTTCATTGAATATTTAGCAAAATCAAGCAAACTCTCTAGATGCTTAGCTAGTGTCGCTCACGACACTGATTCACCCAAAAACAAAGGCAATGTGGACGGACCAGGGAGGGCCAAGTCAGAGCTCTTACTCTGGTCCCCCAGGCTCTGTGATTGGTTGGGGAAATTCCAAATCAAACCAAACAAACCATTACAATTGGCTTAAGATTGGCAAGCAAAATTCGGGGCATTGCAACCTGCAGTACCTGGGAAGTTAAAAAAAAAAACAAAGGTAATGTGGACGCAAACAACCCTCGCTAAACCGTTTTACACACATCAATGTCTTAGATGGCAGAATATACCTTTACGCAGGTCTGTAACTCTGCATTTAACCAGACGAAGAAGACACCGCATGTTAAATATGAGTAGATATACAAAATCACAATTAACTACAAATATTACTTTGAAAGACCCTGAAAAGAAATTGAGGTGATTGAAATTAGTTAGGCGAGGCGGTGGTGCAGTAGGTAGTGCTGTCGCCTCACAGCTAGAAGGTCGCTGGTTTGAGCCTCGGCTGGGTCAGTTGGCGTTTCTGTGTGGAGTTTGCATGTTCTCCCCGCGATCGCGTGGGTTTCCTCTGGGTGCTCCGTTTCCCACACAGTTCAAAGACATGCGGTATAGGTGAATTGGGTAGGCTAAATTGTCCATAGTGTCTGTATGTTTGAATGAGTGTGTATGGATGTTTCCAAGAGATAAGTTGCAGCTGAAAGGGCATCCTCTGCATAAAAAAAATATGCTGGATAAGTTGGCGGTTCATTCCGCTGTGGCGATCCCAGATTAATAAAGGGATTTAGAAAATGAATGAATTAATTAAATTAGTTAAATAAAGACTTGTTGTGGGCACATCACATAATACAAGCATGATGTCACACCTCCTTCACAGCGCATGCACTAGCAGAGCAGATAGCATTGTGTGTGCACAGCGCATGAGTAGAAGCAATGAGCCGGCTTTCACATCAGCGGCATCTGCAGCGCACATGTGATTCATGACTGTTGCGCAGAATCTTGTATTTCTATTTACGATCAATTTACTCTATTTTATTATTTTTTATTTATTTCATTATAAATATGTTAATGAGTTTAATTGTTATTTGGTTACATATGAAATAATAACATTTTAAAAAGTGTTATTTTATAAGTTACAGAACTCAATGTCTAGGTTTAGGAGTAATAAAAAAAGATAATAAATAGTATACATATTATAAATAAATAAATGAATAAAAAAATAAATAAATAAATATATATATATATATATATATATATATATATATATATATATATATATATATATATATATATATATATATATATATATATATAAATTAATATTATTATTAATGTTATTATTAATATATATATTTTTTTATTACAGCAAATCAACGCAAATAATGCCACAGATTTTTTTTCTGATTTCAGGTCAAAAAAATAAAAAAGTCCTGTTTAATCCTGAAGGGACTGATAAATAAATTACAGTTGTTTTGATGAGGGAAGTTAAAACTTTTTTCATTAGCCCAACCATGCCATTAGAAACAATCCTTAGCATTTACCCCTGTATAAGTCTGAAATTAGCTTCATAATGGTCTCAAAAGTACTTCAATTTGATTTGGTGAAACCTGCAGAAAACCTGGTACCATCAACCAGCATGTTTCAAAATATCTTCTCTTGTGTTTAACAAAATACTAGAAGCTTGAAGGTTTAAACTCACTTTAGGGAGAATAAATAGTGAGGTCATTTAAATTTTTGCATGAACTATCCCTGTAACATCATGGCTTTGGACAGGATGAAAGCATATGACAGAACATGTTTTCTCATAGTGTTATAATAAAAGGGTGTTCAGATTTTGTAAAGACAATTTTTTGATCAAATGAGTGCAGTTTAGTAAATAATCATAGCAGCCTTGATTCAGTAAACTGTGGTGTACACCAATGGTAACAGCAATAAAAAAAAAAGTCATGTAAAAAGTCTGTTGGCCTACATCATGTTGCTGAATAACTGAATCTGTGGCCAGTAAAAGCCGTTATGCAAATAATGGTGGTTTAAAAATAACCGCACTTCTTGGCAGACAATTAGAATAATGAAAGTTGCATGTAATCAGAAGTGAAGAGTTTTGCTTGTGTTAGAAACATCTTACTGCATTAGGACTTTATTCTGATTATTGGAAATAATTGCATTATTGGTGTACATGCAAACAACCAACTATGATTTGGATTGTTATAAGCACTCAGTAGTATGGTGGCAGAAAGTTTACTTTTATTTATTTTTAAGATAATAATAATTAAAGCTATTATGTCAAGCAATAAAGCTCAAAATCATAATGTTTTAAGAATATATTATTTAAAAAAATAAAATAAATAAAAAGGGCCATATATTATTTCGATAAAATAAAAAAAGAATTTTTTTTATATAAATAAAATTAAAAAAACACTATATGAAAGAAAAGACAATTGTTATTGCGTGGAAAAAATGTTGCATGCGCTGTGTCTGGAATTTTACACTTCTAGTACATTAAAAACAGTATGCGAGCCGAGAAGTTTGTCTGAATTCATAGTATTCATAAAAAAAAGTATGAATTCATGAATGGGAGTTAAGTGACACACCTGAAGCTGGTAGATCACATGATAATGACAAATGGTGGATGTAGTACGTCTGAATTTCATTTATAATACTCACATTCATACTATATAGAATGTACTTTTCTAACTGTCATGAAGTAAATTCAAATTCAAATAAGGTACATACTGGAGTGAGTAGTAGGTGATTTTGGGCACAACTATGTTATATAAAACATTTTGATTTTAAATAAATGCTGTTTAAAACAACATTGGGACCCCTTTGACATTAATGCTGAATTAAATTTTAGAACCCAAACCAGGACGCTTTTGTTAGTTGTTCTGCAGTCAAACAGTCATCTTCAAGAAGGCTACAAGAGTCTAATTTAAGCTGTGTCATCCCGTCTATTATATATGTTTTAGGGGGACACACTTTATAAGTGGAGACAAAGAAAACTGGCATGACAAGTTTAGCTGAAAGTCTTACTCAGAGAAAAGGACATAAAATAAAAAAATAAAAAATAAAACAAAATAGAATAAAATAAAAATAAAATGAAGTGAAATTCATTTATTTTATTTTCGGCTGAGTCCCTTTTATTATTTATCTAGAGTCACCACAGCGGAATGAACCACCAAACTCAATTCAATTAAAATAAAACAAAATAAAAATAAATGAAATAAAATAAAATAAAATAATAAAATAATATATTATATTCAATTATTAAATATTATTGTTAATTATATATATATATATATATATATATATATATATATATATATATATATAATCCTCACTATAGTAAAGGGAAAAACAATTCTGCGTTAATCAGAAGCAAGAAATTCACAGCAAATACAGTAAAGACATTCAAGGAGTCATTTCTTAAACACCAAATCAGAATATTAGAATATCTTCAGAAAGGTCACGTGACACTAAAGACTAAAGATTGTGGCACATGAGTGAAAATCAAGAGCATTATGGGGTGTATTATGCGTGTGATGTTATCTAAGCCAGACTGCTAGCAGTCAGCGTTTTTGCACCGTCTGAGCCGCAGCAAGACAAGAGACGTTATAAATAGAAAATGTCGAGGTAATGAGTCTATGATATTGTTGTAATGATTAAGAAGTCATTTAGATGAAGAAAAGACAGACTCGCTCTTATCCCGATGCACATAGTCATTTAGCCAGTCACCCTAATCACTCACTATCCCAATATAATCACCACTAATAATGATAATGATAGTCATGGTTGACTCATCAAGCTGTATGAGTATTTATGGGATTGGTATGAATATTCATGTGTTCTCTGTGTTTGGCTCCACCTACTCATTAGGATGGCCAAAGCTGCTCTGGTTCGTCACAGAATCCAAACACCTGTCCAAGCCGCCTCGTGATTGGTTCCCTCACATCAAAGATGCAAATAACGACACCGCCTACATAGAGGTGAGCTAACCGTTATGGAAAGTATCTGTTTATTAGAATCATTTTACTGCCATGTTCATATTCATTTTTAGAGAACAAGGTACCAACGTTTTAACTTCAGAAGGGTTAAATCAACCTTCCTACCCTTGCTTTATTTTCTAATAATGTAAAAAACATTGTATTAGTAGCATTTCTTGTAAGTATTGCCTTATTATGATGAGCCACTTGATGGATACTTTGGATAAAAGTATGATTAAAGTTTTTCTTGTTTGCTTTGACCTGGTTAAAGAAACTAGGTTCCACATCATTTTCATTATCACTATCCCAGCAGAGCAGAAGACCGGTCTTGCAAATGTGTAAACTTTTTCTCATTGGGTTGACACATTTTCTCCACCATTTTTCAAAACAGTAAACACGGATGTTATTCAAGCAGTCCAGACTCCATTGTTTTAGCTATGGTAACCAAACAGAAACCATCTATTCCTAACCATTAGAAACTACCAAGATCAGTATGAATTTACTGAAGCAACGGTTTGACACTCCTTCACACAAATCTACAATTAGCAATCAGACTGCAAACATTGATAATGGTTGAAGGTCTGTGTTGTTCTATGCCAGCATGGATGGAGGAGGTCAATAGTGGCTATGTCCTATACTCCCAATAGATTTAACTGTATATTGGTTTACATGTGTTTTCTCTAATATGTACAGTATTTAATTACTTTTGTCTGTTTTTTTAACACCAGCTTTCAGCCACAGTTTGAAAAATGTCATGAATTCAATATAAATCAAAGCATTTCTTATTTTGGATCCAATTCTTTGCAAAAAGGCAAATTTGACAGCCCAAATAGAAAGCCAACAAATGCCATTGGCAATAGGCTACAATGGCAAGCAATGGTGCACTGATTCACACTGAGTTCTTTATTTTATATTTTGTTGTCCATTGTGTAATGATTAATTGAAAGAGCTTGTATATTGTCTGCAAGTTGTGTTGTTTGAAGGTAAAACTAGCTTTTGTTGCATATTTTAAATGTTTTTATACGGTGTGTGCGTTTTGCAAGCAAAATGTCATTTTGACCATGAGTGCCGCTGTTTAGGCCTGTGTGTTAACTGTTTTAAAAAATGTGGAGTTTCAGTTGACGACTGCATCAAAGCAATCAAGAAAAACTGTAAACATCATTTGCAAAATATTTAAAAAAGAAAAAAAAATCAAAAGGGGGCTAATAATTCTGACTTCAACTGTAAGACGTTTGAACGAGCCAAAACAAAAAAGTTTTTGACTGTAAATAAATTAAATTGACTAAGTTGGCCGTAGTGTATGAGTGTATGTGAGAGTGTATGGATATTTCCCTGTACTGGGTTGCGGCTGGAAAAACATATGCCAGAATAGTTGGCGGTGGCTACCTCTGAAATAGAGACAAAGCCAAAGGAAAATTAATAAATGAATGTTTGTAAATTTTTATGTTTTAATCTAACATTCTCTGTTAGATTAGTTGTAAATCATTCTTGGTGGTCTTATTGACTTATATACTGATGCTTCAAAACATAATTTCCCCTCTTTAACCAAACCTTTGTATGTCTGTCTGACAAATGACTTTGAGATTTGATTGACTTTGCATCAGATGCTGGTTCATTATGATGAAATAAGAATTTCCTTTTTCGATACTCACTTATCTGTCTGTTTTTTCATTGTTAGATTGTTGTTGTTTTTTCTCCATATGCTCCACCCCAGCAGCCATTGGAATTGCTTTTTGATATCTGATTGTTAGATATTCTGTGTCTCAAGCTGCAGAAATCAATATTTCCTATCAGCATGCTGGCCACTGCTGCCTCCATTAGAGAGTGACTGGATGATAATGGATGATAAATGATTAATGTTTGTTTAATTGTGGATCGGGACTTTGGATGATGGAGTAGGGCTGGTCTGGTGTTATTGAACCGCATTGGAGTGAGTCGTCTCAATGTTTCGTACACAGATCCCAGAAATCAGAGAGTCTGTGCAAAGTGGCCCGGTGTCAGATGTCCTTTTTGTTGTGCTTTCTGCTTTCTACTGTACGCCCTTTACAGTACAGTCTGACAAATATATGTCTTCCCTGTAAAAATTAAAACATATAGAAAGAAATGATGTTTTACTTAAAGGAAACCTAGTCTTTTTAAAGATATTTGGGATTTTGGCAGTGTGACATTTATCTTTATGACTGTAAAACACATTTTGCTTTTAGTTCTTATAGCTGTAAAACATAAAGGCACATTTTTCCTTATGGATGTGCAAACCATTATTTAAAAAAAATAATAATAAAGGGGTAAAATTCTATGTTAATCATGAGTAAGACATTCACAGCAAATATCGTATAAAGGATATATAATCTGTAAATAAATAAATATACAGTATAGTGTATTATAGTTAGTAGTCATTTCTTAATAAATAAAAAATAATAGTAATAATTTTTTTAAATAATACAGTAAAGCCAATTTTCTCCAGTAAAAAATGTCATTTATAAAAAAATATCGAATAATATAATGAATAATATGAATCCTAAATTTCGTTTTAATAATAAAATAATAAAATTAATTTATACCAAATTATAGTAAGTAGATATGAAAAATAACAAGCAAAAATGAATTCAGATAATATTTATATTTATTTTAATATATTTTTATTTTTATATACAGTATAATATTATATTGTGTTTAAATTTAAAAACTTTACTGTTTAAAAATAAATAAATAAAAACCTTCTCCCCAATTAATTTAATTTTTATATAGATAACATGAATAAAGAATTGTAAACTAGGGCTGAATGATATTAGGAAAAAAACTGACAATGCAATATATTTCTTTTATGTATTTTATATATATTGCGATATAAACACATTTTCACTAGATGACTTTAATAGCTCTGTTTGGGAAAAATTCTTCATTTTGGATTGGCTGAATCACTGGTGACGTGACAGGGTTTCTTCATAACATATATAATCAACAAATGACAAACACAGATTATTACAAGACGCATAAAATAAACAGAGCTTCATAGTTTCCAAAATTTGTAATTATTTGTTGCCTTGATTAAATTATTAAATTTATACATTTCTAATATATTATAATAATTAAAATTATTAAATTATTAATGAGCTTTGGACATAATTATACAAATTAAGTCAACTTTATTTTTACATGTTTACTTGTTTTTTTACAGGTAAGCAATTAATCACGTTTACAGTGTAGAGTCTTAATTGTGTAAATAATTATATGCAATTAATCTTTAAGCTACACATTATAATTTCTTCTGCCCAAATGGCTTCAATTTACTTGAAATGCTTACACAGTGACATTACAGATCCTATGATGTGACTATTGCGGATTCTCAAATTGCCATATCAATAATACTATGAAAAAATATTATTAAAAAGTGATGACTTTGAAAGTTTTATGACATATTACGAGTATTATGTTATATGTAAATAGATAATATAAAAAAGTTGGTGTTAAAAGTAGAAATATTAATTAAAATTTTGAGTATCCCAGAAAACATGTCTTGTGTTTTATTTGAGCTTGATTTAGATTTTAAGCTTGAATTATGATCTGCACATGTGTTACACAGTTTTATTTGTTTGGCGTAGTGAGAAATGTGTTAACGGCTATGCAAACCGTCTTTGTAAATGGATTTGATGCTTTTATATAGCTGTTAATGTTTGATCTCTGTTGTTTATTGATTTACAGTATAAAACCTGTAAAGATGGGAGTGTTTTGGGTGTGACGGTGACACGGATCGCACTTCTTACACACTGCCAGGCCCTAACACAATCTTGTGGATACACAGAAGGTGAGCCCAACACAAACACGCACACACACCGCTTCATATGCCTGTCCTTGTCCTCAAATTACCCTTCTTAGACAGTCATGTAGTAAAACTGCTTTCCCTTTTTTTCAGCTGAAATCATAGTGAATGTATTGGATTTTAAAAAGGATGTTGGTTTGTGGCACGGCATCCTAACCGTAAGTCCTGTTTCTGAACAAATATAATGGAAATGATATAAAGATCACTTCCCACACATTCAGGGTGATTAATGTGACTTTATGTTTCTTCAGAGCGTCATGAATATGATGCATGTAATCAGCATCCCGTACTCCCTGATGAAGGTCAACCCTCTGTCCTGGATCCAGAAAGTCTGTCAATACAAAGGTCTGTCAATCACTTTTCACGTTAAATACATTTTGTTTTGTGTTAGAATGATTCATTTTAAGTCATATACTGCAAAAACAGTAATTATTACTAAAAAGATCATATTCCCGGTCTATCGAGTATGATAGAAACAACACAAATGTATATAAATTAGTACCAGTGAGCATTTTTGAAGCACATACAGTGCTTACCTACTGTATTTTGTATTTAAGAATATATATTTATGAAAGATTTACTTGCTTTGTTCATGCTTTATGCATTAATTGTCTATCTTTTGAAGCACAGAATGCAAAATCAATAGTGCGAACTTAAAATTTCATCTTAAATTCTAAATACAAAGGAAATCATATTCATACCAACAAATAGTCTTTTTTTATATACAGCAAAAGCTATACTAAATAATTATAGGGCTGAATTTCAAAGTTTTGTATGCATCCAAGATGGTGGTTCCTGTGATTTTTTTTTTATAGTAATCTTGTCTGTTTTTGTGTTTAGGAAAAGTGGCTTGTGTCAAGTCGAGGGATATGCACTGGGCTCTGGTCGCTCATCGAGATCAGAGAGACATCAACCTCAGCTCTCTGCGCATGCTGGTGGTGGCTGATGGATCCAACCCATGTGAGTTGGTTTAATATCTCTCTTTCTTTCTCCTTATTAACCATTATAGTCCACCTGCAATCAAAATTCAAGGTGTTAGTATCAATGTGTTAGTCTTGATGTGATCTGTTAGCTTTAAAAAGTTGCAGCTAGAAGATGGAAGCATTCGAATTCGCAGTTTCTCACTTCTGCTATTTAGAGTCAATCATTTTTTATGATATTACTGAACACTTCAGCTTTACATCAAATCAATTGCTCTCTAGTATCTGAAGTCCCAAGTCGTACCAGACATGGCTGAAATTGATCTCTTAGGGTGTTTTCACACCTGCCTTATTTAGTTTGGTTGAATCGCACTTGAGTTCGTTTTCGCTCTTGGTGTGGATTGTTTGGGCAGGTGTGAATGTAGCAACCACACTCAAGTGCTCACAAAAAGTAAACCGAAAAAGCGTACCTATACGTTCGTTTGTGGTGAGAACACGATCAAAACTAAAATAGACCCAACCGCAAAAACTACTGCGCCTTTTTGGACTAATCCAGCTGCCGTAGTCCGATGCGCTGTGCATAATGAAATGTGGCAGAAAAATATTTGTTGACAGCACTTTACCATCAATTTTAAGCAGAGAAAGAGAGAGAGAGAGAGAGAAGGAAAAACATTACCTAATGAATCGTTGGTAATATTTCCGTAAGATGACCATGTCGCAGTTTAGCTAAATGAATTCACGCCTCCTCCTGAAGTTTGCAATGCATTAAATAATTGTTTTCCAGCTGCAGCCGCGCTTTATTCTTGAAATGTATAGTTTGTCTAACGTGATGTCCCTCTATAGTAAAAAGCCACATTTTGTGTCTGCCGGTTTTTTTACTTGCGAGAGTTCCTTTGGCATTTTCCCATATGATAATTCTGAACAATCAAAAAGCTGTTTAGGAAATACGTTCAATAACATCTGGCCAATGAATGATGTGGATTTTGTCACATGACTGGATTTTGGTTCTTTTCAACTGCTTCAGACCAAAACAATCATTGTGGTGTGAAAAGGCAGAAAAATGGCAGAAAAATTGCCCTTGGTTCGGACCAAATGAATCGAATCACAGATGTGAAAGCTCCTTATTCACACATGGGTTTGTCTAAACACTTGATGGAAAACAAATATTCAGATTTCACTAAACTTTGTAATGCAGTGAAATTCAGAATTTTGTGTGAGATTGCATTTCTGGTCTGGTGCATTCGCATACATACAGTATATATACCGTAAATGAAAGCTATTGTGATGAAAAGTGCAGTGCTACCCCACCTTTAATTGAAACTCCTCTACATTTAGTGGTTGAAAAAATGTGGTAAAGAACACCAAAATTGAATGGCAAATAATGACTACATTGGGGATAGACAATTCAGACAGTGTTAGTGGCCATTCACAAAGACGCAATAGTCTGTTTTTGCATCCTCTGTCATGTGGATGTCACATTGGCGTTCAAACTAGCTGCAGTAAAAAATTATTGAAATGCATTTTTTCTGATTGGTCCACTGCTTAGGATCTGACATCGATAAGTGGAGGTGCTTGTAAAAGTAAAACTTAAAAGGCACTGCAAAAGATGCATGTCTGTCAAGAGAGTTTACATGAGGGTGCAATTTGTTTTTTTTTTATCTGAACTCTGTCTTTGCTGTCATGTACGGTGACCTTGAGTGTCGAGAAAGTTGCCTTTAAATAAAATGCAGTATTATTATTATTATTATTATTATTATGAATGTTATTATTGACGCCTATATGCAATGTAAACTTTTCCATTATTTTTTCTATGTAATAATAATGATAGTAATTTTTATTGTTATTATTATTATTATTATTATTATTATTATTACATAGAAAAAAATAATGGAAAAGTTCACATTGTTTATAGGCGCCAAAAGGCTAGTGGTTAGTGCATCAAAACATAGCACTTAGGTGCTCACGACAACCTGAGTTCGATTCCCAGTTTGGGGTCCTTTGCCGATTTGCCCCCCCCAACTTATTTTTCAGTTGAAATTGCATCCCACAACAAATACATCTGCACATTTCAGAGCACTTTAGAAGACCTTTAATCCTCTTCTTGTCCTGCTGTACACCTGTTTGTTTTCCTGAAATACTCCTCTGTCAGGAAACAAGCTGCTGGGTTAAGCAGATGTTTACACTTCCAGCAACCCGGAAAAAAAAAAAAGCTAAAAGCATCCCTCATAAGTGTGTAATGATATAACTCACAGAAGAGATGAGTCAAGAGAGATGATGCCCAGAGGCCATTTTCCTTAAATTTACTGATGCATAATACACAAATGGACACACTGAAGGACAATCCGTTTCTTCTGCTGCTCGTTTCATCCAAATGCCAGAATAGAAATAAAATTGTTTTAGAAGGGTCATAAAAGTGAAAACTGGATTTTTTTTCTGCTGTTAAGATGGAAAGATTGATCTGCTGTTTAAACATAGATGATTGTTTATCAAGCAAGGCTTTTGAACTATATACATATTTACTAGTATAGTCAAATCATCAGTATTACGTCATGTGAATTATAACATAGTTCGAAATAGTTTTTCTTGTACTGAAATGGTGCCATTTACTTCATTGTTTTAAGACGTTAAATTGTTCTCTGTTATCTACACAGTAGGTTTATGGTTTCGGTAAGTTCTTTTATTACTCTATAAAATACTCCTACAATCAGAAGGTTCATAATTTACCATATATAGATTGTTTTGTGATTATTAATGAGCTCCACTCTAACGTGCAGCTCTTGCACACACATACACACACTGCATGATATATGCTAAACACGAACAAATATAAACCCAATCAGAGTAACGTTAATCTATTTTGCTCATGAGATGTGGATAAAGACTAAATTATAAATAAACCTGACAAAAGAGACCAATAGAGATGTGTCACATTGTATTTTAAGCTATAATGTCAAAGAAAACACAGCCAGAACTTAATATTATGTGCATGAACAAATGACAGTTGAGTTGATTGATTTGACATGATTCAGCAGTCTACATGTGTTTGTTAAAACAGATGCTTCAATTTCACAAGAAACATGATAAATTAACAAAAGATTAAACTAAACTACCTTATGCCACTTTAAAATGGAGATGAATAAATGTATAATCTCTAAATCTTGCATTTTGCGTCCTGAAGCATGTCTCGCGCAGTCATTGCCCAGTAACTTATAGTAAAGAATCTATGATTGCGTTTTCAAAATAATAGTCCCACATATTTTCTCACTAGAAAACATTGTTGCTTATCAAATGCAGCCTAAGGCTTGCATATTAATGATCTCACAGCTAAATGAGTCTGAGTTCTCTTTATGATGTCCGATCTGGATGAACAACCTAAAGTAGTCCTACATGCAAATGCAGAGGGCATGGTCCGTGAGTCTCATCGCAGTTTGTTTTGTCTTCTTATTGGCTAGTTGTCCACCGGGTTTTACACTCATAGAATTTACATGAAAACACGATGTTAAAATATGCCATCGTATAACCAGATTTTCATTATAGTACACCTTTAAATAAAATACAGTTGTCAGTAATTTAATTTCTTACATCAATAAATATGTGTATTCCATTGCAAACATTATTATAGGAACATTATAGGACTAGGAGTTTATAGGAACATTGTGCTAAATTGTAATGACACAAGGCAACACATGCAATGATCATATTAAATATTCTTTGATTTCTTTATGTAAAGGATAATATAATTTTATTAATATTAATATAGGAAAAAAGCTGCTTCAACGCTATAACAATCTACTATATAAGTATTTCTTAAAACTCTGTTTCCGTTATAAGGATAATTATAATGTATATAATGTAGATATTTGGACTAGAAGCAAGATAAAATTGTAAGTAAGAAATATTGTTGTTGTTTTTTTGTTACATAAGTTGTATAAATGCCATGTAAATAATATTTATACTATATATGTATACTATATGTATATTATATATTTATACTATATTATAATAATAGAGACTTAAATTAAGCTCTGTAGCTCCTGGTCAACTATAATTCAGAACGTTGCGAATGTGCACTTTGTGATATCAATGCTAAAACGATATATTGTGCAGCCCTAGTGTGTAATGTTCTCTCTCTCTCTCTCTCTCTCACTCTCTCTCTCTCTCTCTCTCTCTCTCTCTCTCTCAGGGTCCATCTCATCATGTGACGCATTCCTCAATGTCTTCCAGAGTAAAGGTCTGCGGCCGGAGGTCATCTGTCCGTGTGCCAGTTCAGCTGAAGCCCTAACTGTGGCCATCAGGAGGTGACACATCCACCCAACACATCATAACCAAAGATTTAGATCTTCCTGTCGCTCATTTATTAGATTCTAAATCCAAAACATCAGGAAAAGTAATGGAAATATGGATACAAGCCATGTTTGTGTCAGTTAGACAGACAGATCGAAGCTGATGGTTCATGGAGAGAGTCTGTGTATATATTCAGCGCTATTTTCCATAACCATTTACCAGAAAATAATGTTTTTTTAGGCCGCCTCTATAATTACAGCCTCGACATCTTTGCTTTGTGACTGAATCAAACTGGCGACAGAGCACAGAGCATATGGTTATCATTCCACAGGATTAACTCTGTCGCTGGACGCTTTTACCAACGAGTTTGTGGAAGAGAACAGCTTGTATGAATTTGAACAAATGTCAGATGAATTGCACCCTAATAAAAAAGCCTGGTGTCATTGACGGAAACATCGCCAACCAGTGAAGTCAGAGGAAAAAGCTGTTTCAAATGCGAGTGGCGCTACGTAATTCCGCTGTTTCTGTCATCAAAGTTACGTCATTGTCGTTTGTGCATTTACAGAGCAAACTAATAGTAACCTAAATTTCACTCTTTGGTTTAGTTCATGTGGTTTGCGGTAATAATTTCCTTCCTCTCAATATTTCATTCACATTTCAAAGCTCTGAATGATTGATCCAACATTTCTAAACTTTTGGTCTGTCCCAAATGAGCTGCTTACTTTGCATTTAAAAGCATCAGACTGTATGAATGTTGTTAAGAGAACTAGGGAAAAAATAAATGAATACATATACACTACCTTACAAAAGTCTTGTTGCCTATACAAGTTTTAGGAATAACAAATAATAACTTGACTTCTTGTTGATCATTTGGTATCAGAAGTGGCTTACATGAAAGGCCTCTAGATTACGCTTATGTTACTCAATTAAAATATGATCATGCCTTGATTTTGAATTATTTCATTAGGACAGTAAGGTCTGATTTCGCTTGGACAAAAGTCTTGTCACTTAACAGAAATAATCTACAGCATAAAATATATAAAGTCATGGCGCAGTTGAAAAATAATTAATACTGTGTATGACTCCCATGAGCTTGGAGAACTGCATCCATACATCTCTGCAATGACTCAAATAACTTATTAAGTCATCTTGAATGCCAAAGGAAGCGTTCTTGCAGAGTTTATTAAGATTCTTTGAATTCATCTTCAATGCCTCCTTATTCATCCTAACCCAGACATGCTCAATAATGTTCATGTCTGGTGATTGGGCTGGCCAATCCTGGATCACCTTGGCATTCTTTGCTTTTTGGAACTTTGATGTGGAGGTTGAAGTATGAGAAGGAGCGCTATCCTGCTGAAGAATTTGCCCTCTTTTGTGATTTGTAATGTAATGGGCAGCACAAATGTCTTGATACCTCAGGCTTTTGATGTTGTCATCCACTCTGCGGATCTCTTGCACACCCCATACTGAATGTAACACCAAACCATGATTTTTCCTTCACCAAATTTGATTTCTGTGAGAATCTTGGGTCCATGCGGGTTCCAATAGGTCTTCTGCAGTATTCGTGATGATTGGGATGCAGTTCAACAGATGATTTATCTAAAAAAAAAAAAAAATGTACCTATTGCCACTTTTCCAAATCATCACCTAGAAGTCAAGTTATTATTTGTTGCTCTTACAACTGGGATCGTCGACAAAACTTTTGTCAGGTTGTGTATAAGATACTACTATTTACTCAATCAGTTCCTTAAGAAAGACATCAGTTTCTTAGGAAACAGCTTCCTATATGTGTGCAGACATCAAGTCAGCATGCTATTTTTGGAACAGAGCTCTAATTCCGGTATACTGAATCAGCACAAACTGTTTCATGATTTTTTTTCTGCTCAAATATGGTTTGCTATACCTTGCCAAACATCTTTCACTCAGATGTGTGCACCTTTTAAAACACTATATATGTTCTGTCCTTAAGAACTGATTGGACCAATCAGCATCTTCTTCTTCTGTTTTGCATTGTATTAAAGTCACCATATATTTATCTGATCTTATTCAATTTAGGCCCACAGATGACAGTAATCAGCCGCCGGGTCGAGGTGTGCTGTCTATGCAGGGTCTGAGCTATGGTGTCATCCGAGTGGACTCAGAGGAGCGTCTGTCTGTGCTCACCGTACAGGATGTGGGCACTGTGATGCCTGGAGGTACACATATGTACATGCTAGTGTTGACAAAAGTATCCATTTCAATGCCCCATATCAATTTGCATATCTGTTTATTAATTATAATTCTCTGCTTTATTATTGTGTTCAGTAATGTTTTACGTCTAATATTAAAATGGGATCAAGAATTGTGTGATTTATTAGATTGCTGCATGCATAATTTATTAGAATGTTCAGAGTGCTCTTTTATTCATTGACTTACTCATTCATTCATTCATTATTTTAGTCATTCATTCATTTTTATTCATTCCTTCATTCGTTCATTCATTCATTCATTCATTCATTCATTTATTCATTTATCATTCTTTTAGTCATTCATTCATTTATTTATTCATTCATTCGTTTATTCATTCGTTTACTGATTCATTTATTTATTTTACTTAGTCATTCATTTGTTTAGTCATTCACTTATTCCTCCATTCATTCATTTATTCATATTCAGTCATTCACTTAGTCATTCATTCACTTAGTCATTCATTCATTCATTAATTTAGTCATTCATTTAGTCATTTAATCATTTATATTTTATCATTCATTTATTTAGTCATTCATTCATTTATTTAGTCATTCATTCACTTATTTATTAATTTAGTCATTCATTCGTTTAGTCATTCATTTAGTCATTTATTCATTTGTTTAGTCATTATTGCATTCATTGATTCATTTAGTCATTCGTTCATTCATTTTGACATTCATTCATTTAGACATTTATTCATTTGTTTAGTCATTCATTCATTTACTTAGTCATTCATTCATTCATTCATTTAGTCATTCATTAATTAATTCATTTAATCATTCATTCATTCATTTAGACACTCATTCGTTTGTTTAGTCATACATTTATTGATCCATTTAGTTGTTCATTTATTCATTTAGTCATTCATTCATTAATTCAGTCATTCATTCATTCATTCATTCATTCATTTCGACACATTCGTTTGTTTAGTCATTCATTTATTGATCCATTTAGTCATTCATTCATTCATTCATTCATTCATTCATTTAGATATTCATTTGTTTGTTTAGTCATTCATTCATTTGGTCATTCATATATTTATTTATTGATTGATTGATTCATTCATTCATTAAATAATTTGTTTAGTTATTTATTTATTCATTTATTCATTTAGTGATTCATTCATATATTTTTTGTCATTTGTTCATTCACTTAATCATGTTCGTTCATTCATGAGTTCATTTAGTTATTCATTCATCTGTGCTTGTGAAAATATTGGCAGAATTTGCCTGACAAGACCAGTGTTAGGAATCCTTAATATTAACCCATGCTTGAGGTTTTAAATGAGCACTTCACTTTTATTTGTAAATAGAGTCCATTTCTAACTCTCCTAGAGTTAAACATTCTAGAATTTTACCATTTTTGAGTCCATTCCACTGGTCTTGAGTTCTGGTGCGAGCACTTTTAGCTTAGCATAAATCTTTGAATCGCATTAGCATCTCGGCTTACTTCTGTCAATATAATCAACGTGAGCACATGCTTGCACAGGGAGCACCCCTTGCAATCATGGAGACATTTGAGATGGTTCAGAAGTGTTTACTTTTGTACAGATTCTAAAAATGTATCTGTTTGAACCGGAAGACATGGAAGTTAGCTGATTTTTAGGCACAATAATAGATCATAGTGCAGTCATGTTATTTCACAGTTCTTTTTATTTTTCATTGGTCTTAGTACATGACATGACTACAGAAGAGTCAAGCTTTAAATAGGAAAATTATTAAATCACTTCCATAATTTTTTGAATGAGAGGCTAATGGTCTAATTCGATTTAATGATCTATGCTAAGCTAAGCTAAAACTGTTCCTGTCAGACCCAGAGATGAAATAATGTGGAGTGTTCCCTTAACAAAAACGAAATTAAAACTTGCATAAATGTAATTTGAATTCATGCTGTGGCAATATTTCCTGTGGTACCAAGAAATGTATCAAATATCAATATTTTAAAGGTATCATATTGTTAGACATTCTAGTATGGTGACATCACTAGTAAATACCAGAGTGGCTCTACAAATGTGCCTTTGTAAATATTGTTCTTATTGTAATAGGTGTCTCTGCGTGCTGTATTTAGTGCTTCACAAAGTGTGTAATATGTTTATTGACGTTGTGTATGTGCAGCTCTGATGTGTGTGGTCAAACCGGAGGGAGTTCCTCAGCTGTGTCGAACAGATGAGATCGGAGAGCTGTGTGTTTGTTCCATCGCCACAGGAATGTCATATTATGGGCTCTCGGGCATGACAAAAAACACATTTGAGGTTTGTGTCCTATCAGACCGAGATTGATTTGGCTCTACTTAGGTGGATTCTTCTACCCAGAATTCCCCGGGCCTCTGCTCACACAGATGTTAAAACACTCCCATCAAAGCCTTTTCCTTGGCTGCTTTGTTAAATTGCTGTGAAATAATGAGTCTGGCATTTTCTCAAGGTCAGTTCTCAAAAAGTCTGTTTTTTATTTTTAGGATGTAAAAAAATCTAACAGGTGATTGTGAGAAATTGTTTTAAATTATGAAATAAAATAGTATCTAACATGTTGTTGTTACTGTTACATCAAAAAAAAATGACAAGGAAAATAAACATGTAATGACATGTAATGATAAAGATATTTTTAATTGTAATCATGACAAATAAAATTGCAGTACAGAGAGATTTAAAATAAAAATCTGAAAATCCCAATAGCCTATGTGGTATAATCACAATAATACAAATATAACACAATAAAACATGGGGGAAATGAATATTTAACGTGTCAAAACTTTCACCAGATGTTGATGCAAAGAAAAAAAATCTAATTAGTTTATAAATTATGTTAATAAAATAAAATGACAGGAAAAAAAGCATTGAACACATGAAGAAGGGAAGTCTTGAAAGGCAGTGAAAGCCCAGACATTAGCTGCTTCAGTCCAACATCTACAAAAGTAGGATGATGAAGATCAAACCAGAGTGGACATTTCAGCAAGACAGGAGCTTAATGCTTTTAGTTGTGAGGTATGAAATTGCAGGTTTCATAAATAGAGCTGCAAATTTAAGATAAGTAGCGCACAGTTATTATAGAATTTTGCAGTTTTCAGAAATAGTTGTAGTTGTCAGAAGTAAAGTTGCAAATGTGTGATATAGATGCAGTATGATATGAAGACACAATTATTACAATATGCAAATGGAAATATTGCAAAAGTGCAATACTGTAATTGTGCAATATTATGTTTTATCTATGCAATATAAAGTCACAGCTAGAAAGGTCAGACATGAGGGGTATGAAATCACATTTATGATAATAAAGATCTATATATAATATATATTCTTATTTTTATTTTGAGAGACAGATACAGTGCATTCGGAAAGTATTCATAGCGCTTCACTTTTTCCAAATGTTTTTATGTTACAGCCTTATTCCAAAATGGATTCAATTGATTTATTTCCTATACACAATACCCCATAATGACAATGTGAAAAAAGATTTTTTTAAATTGTTGTAAATTTATTAAAAATAAAAAGATGTGACAAATCACATGCACATGAGTATTTATTCACAGCCTTTGCTCAATATTTTGTTTATGCACATCAAGTCTTTTTGAATATGATGCCACAAGCTTGGCACACCTGTCTTTTTTGCCCATTCCTCTTTGCACCTTTGTACCTCTCAAGCTCTCAGGTTGGATGGGAAGCGTCAGTGTAAAGCCATTTTCAGATCTTTCCAGAGATGTTCAATAGGATTTCGGTCTGGGCTCTGGCTGGGCCACCCAAAGACATTCGCTGAGTTGTTGTGAAGCCACTTCATTGATATTTTGGCAGTGTGCTTTGATGTGCACAGATGGTTGTCCTTCTGTAAGGTTCTCCTCTCTCCACAGAAGAACTCTGGAGCTCAGACTGAGTGACCATCGGGTTATTGATCACTTCCCTGACTCACGCCCTTCTCCCCTGATCATTCAGCTTAGATGGCCGACCAGCTTTAAAGTCCTGGTATTTCCAAACATCTTCAACTTAAGGATGATGGAGGCCACTGTGCTCATTGGAACTTTCAGAGCAGCAGATATTTTTCTGTAACCTTCCCCAGCCTTGTGCCTTGAGACAATACTTTCTCGGAGGTCTACAAACAATTTCTTTGTCTTCATGCTTGGTTTGTATTTTGACATGCACTGTCCACCCTGGGACCTTATATAGACAGGTGTATGCCTTTTCAAATCATGTCCAATCAACTGAATTTACCACAAGTGAACTCCAATTAAGCTGAAACATCTCAAGAATAATCAAAGAAAACAGAATGTACCTGAGCTCAATTTAGAGCTTCACGACAAAGGCTGTGAATACTAATGTACATGTGATTTTTCAGCTTTTTTATCTTTAATAAATCTTAAATAAACAATTTAATTTTGAACAAATGTTAAATCATTTTTTTTGTATCTCTAGATTTTTATGGCCGGTGAAAAGCAAAAATTTAAAGTCACTGAAATAACTCCAATATACACACACAGAATATTTGTTCACAAGACTTTTGAGAACTGAATCTTGTAACCTAGAGTTTTTTTGTCACAATTACTTGACAATCCTCATGTTTACTTGCGCACAGAAAACAATAAATTGATTTTAATTTAAGTCTAAATGGGAAGTTTACCTTCTCTGCTTATCTGCAACTATGCATACTCAATGTTAAATGGGGAGAAGTGTCTTAACATCCAAGATTGCACATATTTTTGCAGTATTAAATCAACAGATGTATAGTTTAATCCAGATTGCTGGCTTTTGTTTTGTCAGGTGTTTCCCATGACCATCTCTGGGGCTCCTATCAGCGAGTATCCCTTTATCCGCACAGGGCTACTGGGCTTCATTGGTCCCGGTGGCCTGGTGTTCATCTCTGGAAAGATGGACGGTCTGATGGTGGTGAGTGGACGGAGACACAACGCTGATGATATTGTGGCCACGGCATTGGCGGTGGAGCCCATGAAGTTTGTGTACAGGGGCAGGTGAGAAGTCCGCATAAACAAGTGGTGTTCTTCTGCGTCATCAAAGAATGGGAGGTTTATAAATAGTACAAGAGCTTGTTTGCTTTGGACATGCAGAGTGTAAATTAAATGTGTTTCACACCTGCTGTGGTGGCAGGAGTGCGAGCTTGAGCTCAGCATGTTGTGGTGCAGTTGCTTTGTTTCATTTGTTTTTTATTTTTCTGGAGCTTTAAACAGTGTCATAAAACTGGCGTATTGCAGTAATTATCTAGTGTTACTGCTGCAGTGTCATTTTTGGTTAAAAACTAAATCTAACTAAAAAAAAAACTTTTAAAAATGTTTTTGTGACTAATTAATTGATTAAAAATGTAATTATTTGAATTTGGACTTGAATTATTTGATTTCATGATTATAATTAAGTGATTATTATTTGGAATGCAAAAAATAATCATATTATATTTTCATTAAAACCTTTTTATTTAAAAAAAATAACAGTTTTAAAATAAAACTTTGCTTCTGGAGTGCGACTTGCTTAACAGTATGTTGGCTTTCTCAAGCTTTCTTAATCCAACATAACTAGTGGGCGGCGCGATGGCGCAGTGGGTAGCAATGTCACCCCACAGCAAGAAGGTCGCTGGTTCGATCCTCGGATGCGTCAGTTGGCATTTCTGTGTGGAGTTTGCATGTTCTCCCGTGTTGGTGTGGGTTTCCTCCGGGTGCTCTGGTTTCCCCCACAGTCCAAAGACATGTGGTATAGGTGAATTGCGCAAGCTAAATTGTCCGTAGTGTATGTGTGTGTGTGAATGAGTGTGTATGGATGTTTCTCAGTGATGGGTCAAAGCTGAAAGGGCATCCGCTATGTACAGTAAAATATATGCGTATATAAGTTGGCGGTTCATTCCACTGTGGTAACCCCTGATTATCAAAGGGACTGACCCGAAAATAAAATTAATAATAACTAGTAAATAACAATTGTATTATATTTTAAAATATATATTATTAATAATCTGCAAAATTAAGTTGATTATTCAAGTTATTTAATTATTATTATTATTAGATTAATATTTATGACCTGTAATGATATGCTTTATACTTTTGTGCATGTTGTATATTTTTATGTTCCCTTGTTGATATACTTTGACCTGTCCACCCAGCTACCTTTACATACACACACGCACACACACACACACACACACACACACACACACACACACACACACACACACACACACACACACACCTGGCTGTACTTTTATGCTTTTTCTGTAATTAGTTTTTCTCTCTTTTCCATTTCCATTTAATTTCATGTGAATGTGTGTATTTCTTTGCATAAAAAATATTCTACTTGTTATTTATTATTTAAATTATTGTTTTTTTTTTTATTAAAAATCTTTATGTTTAACCGAATTAGACCCTATCCATTAACAGTAGCAGTTGCCGATTCTTTCTGCTGTTGCTTGTCACTAAAACTCTGACTTCTGGTTTCTCTACTACCCTCTTCAGGATAGCGGTGTTTTCAGTGACGGTCCTGCATGACGAGAGGATTGTGGTGGTAGCAGAGCAGAGGCCGGACTCTACAGAAGAGGACAGCTTCCAGTGGATGAGCCGAGTGCTGCAGGTATTTGCCATGCCAATCGATTTGGACAGCGGCGACTGTATTTGTGTCCAGTCTGACAGGAGTCACCTTAATCGCTTCATAACCCCAGTTCACATCCAAACTGAATTAGAGATCATGCTATTGCTGACCTGCGGACTTTCTGTCAGCACTTTACCAGCAAAAATAACAAGGTGCATTCAGGCACAGCGACTGGCCTTCATTTCCACCTTCATTGTTGTAGGTCATTAATCTTGCAAATATGGTATTTATATTTTTTTCTGAATTCTTGTTTGGTAATTTGGTTCTCCCTGAGGCATCTGTAAAGGTCAGTTCTCAGCTGGCAGCCTCCTTACACACTCTATTTTTTAAAAGGGCATATTATATGGAGCTTAAAATTAGTTATGAAATAGTATGAAACTGTATTTTTACAAACTGGATATCCAACTTAAAATCTAACTTTATAAAATGCAGTTGTCTTAAATTTCAGATGGGTGGCACAGTAACTTAGTTCCACTGTGGCGACTGAAGGAAGGACTAAGCTGAAGAAAATGAATGAATTAATAAATTTCAGATGTTCAATATGAAGTTTAGATTTAAATTCAGATTTAAAACAATGTTTAAAGGCATATACTATTTAGTTTTATTAAATTAAAATTGTTAATAATTTAAATGAACACAATTCAAATTCAGATTGTTTTAACATATTTTAGGCTCCATAATATGATGCTCCTTTTAATACGATGTAAAATATATCTCAATTTCAGTTCAAAATACACCACAGATCATTTATTTTTTCTTGTCAAATTTGCCCCAAAAAGGGTGTGAGCAGTAACACAGTTTTTAATTCAATTCTATTCAATTCAAAACACTTTATTTGTGTATTTAATGTGGCAATTCATGGTGCATCCAAGTAGCTCATAATCAGGGCTGGAGCAAGCTGAACTGCCGCTCTAGGCAAAGGAAGATCATGCCGCCCTCAACCTGAAAGTGAAAACGATAGTGACCGGTTAACAAGGTGAAGACCTGGGACGGGGGGTGAATGTCGCGGATGAAAGTGGGCACACCGCGGGGGTTGGGATTTTGTCGCTGATATTAGGACGTGGGTAGTGGGGGAGGTGTCGTCCACCTAGGTCGCCTCTATGGACGTGCCGGTCCTGCTTATAATACGCATTGTAAATATATAATTATAAATAATAAATATATACACCATATATTGGTGGTGTAAGGTTTAGATCACATTATGGTTTTTAGTGACGGATCGGAACATTTTTCAGGTCAGCCAAAAAGGGGAGGAGACAAATTGTTACCTTAGAATTATAAAGTTCTATCTGAAATTTTTGTCAAAATTGAGTTATTGACATATTCTTAATAAATGACAAATTTTTTACATTGTGGGATGTTTTTTTGTTTTTGTTGAGTTGAGTTGTTTACATTTTAAGACTTTTTATTTACAAAAACAAATGCTACACACATATTGTTTGCTATAGAATGCAAAAACTTTGAAGCTCAATTTCTCAAAAGTCATTGAGAACCTCATAATTCCAAAATGACTAAATGTAATTTGTTTTATATTTATTACAAAAACAGTACTGCAAGACACTTGTGGTTTTAACAAGCAGAACTTAAAACCTGTAGTTTTATTAAAAATAAAATGAAGAAATAATCAGCTGAATAAAAAGAAATGTTAAAATATTCAGTACTGTAAAAAAAATCACTGTTACTACTACTGTTGCTGATAACGCTAAATGTAGAAATCTGACATTATAATGTGCACAACCCATAATTATTTTTAGTCTGATTTTCAATAAATGATTCAGTTATTCACTCATAAAATTTCAAGTTTCGTTGCTAGATGTGTCATTTTTGAAGAATTATTCAGTGGCATATTTTTGATGGCTTGTTGTCGCCACCTTTTGGTTAAATAATGTAATTGCTGCCTACAACCTATATTTTAGAGAGTTGTTTAATAATGACAGTGATTTTGATCTTTACCCTAAACATCAGTAGTTTTATCTAAACTATAAACTTTTATGCCAGATCTTCTGTGTTGTTTGACTGTAACTTCATAACTAACTCAAAAGACTAAATCTCTTTCTTGATTTAAGTGTTTTCAGATTTAAATGCAGCGATTCGAAAGATTAATGAACATATGCAAATCACCATCATTTAGCATTTTTGTTTCGTGGGTGTTGTGATCCCAATCTTTTAATGATATATCGTGCAGCTTAAACTGAATGCATTGATGCCGGCCAAAAATGTAGTGACAGAAAACACCTTTAATGAAACCCACCACATCCCGAACAACCTACCACGACTTCTTCCCTCATCATTAAATTTTACTGCAAAGCCTAAATGCTTTTTAATGCAAGTGATTTAAATTACACGACTGGTGATCTCTCTGCGATCATTACAAATTTAGGATTAATCTACCAGTAAAAATCCTTTGGTTTTAATACATAAAACGTATTGTGCTACCCTAGTTACTTGTTTCACATTTTTTTGCATTGATAAATGCACCATGGATCCAACCAAAGCACTTGAACAATGAAAAAACAAATATTTCTTTTTATGAAATGTCTATTAAAAACTTCATCATCGGACCTCCTGAGTCAAATTCAGGCTTGCTGAACTTTTCCAATTCCAGTTCAACCCTCAAAACTTCTGTTAACACAGTCTTCTATCCTAGTAAAGTCAAAAATTCCCAAAGATAAATAAAAAACTGACTATCCATGTGTTTTCCACAGGCGATAGACAGCATCCACAACGTCGGGGTGTTTTGCTTGGCTTTGGTGCCCGCTAACACCCTACCCAAGACCCCGCTGGGAGGGATCCACCTATCGGAGACCAAGCAGCTGTTTTTGGAAGGCTCCCTGCATCCCTGTAACGTCCTAATGTGCCCTCACACCTGCGTCACCAACCTGCCCAAACCCAGACAGAAACAGCCAGGTCTGTTTTCGGCCCGCAAGGTCACCTCGAATGTCGGCCTGAATTAGAAGTGTCAGAAACGGTGTGGTCCGCTGGTTTGTGATGTGCTTGTTCTGTTGGGCTCTGCAGAGATCGGACCCGCCTCTGTGATGGTGGGTAATTTGGTCTCGGGGAAGAGGATCGCTCAGGCAAGCGGCAGAGATCTGGGCCAGATCGAAGACAATGATCAGGCAAGAAAGGTGTGTGTGTGGTTCCATGGGGCCTCGATTTTCAGCAGTCACTCCATTCGTTCTCCCTCCCTCCCCTCTCATTCAGTGCTCACCTCAAGCAAACCAAGACCAAATTTGGACAGAAACTAAAATATGCACATTAAAAAACTGATATTGAGAGATGAAGATTTACAAAATCATATTGTATCATATTTCTATATATTCTTTTCTTATTTTCATACTCTTCTTATGTTCTGAGTTTTACATAAATAATATATTGAAATGTTTTTTTAAGTAAAACTTCATAATAATCAGAAATATATTAATAATAAATCTACAATAAATAAAATAATATTATATTACCATTGATATAATAACATTTGTAATAAACATTTTTTTCAAAAACATGTAGATAATAACATTTACATGAAAACATTTATAACAAACATTTATATAAAACATTTATGTAAAAACATATAGTAACATAAACATTTTTATAAAAGATTTATATAACATTTATAATAGCATAAACATTTATATTAAAACATTTACATAATAAATTTATATAATAACATTTATAATGACATAAACATTTCATATAATAACATTTATAATAAAAACATGTTATATAATAACATTTATAATAACATTTTTAACAACAGACATTTATATAATAACATTTCTAACAACAAACAATTATATAATAAAATGTATATAATAAAATTTATAATAACAAAAACATTTATATAAAACATTTTTAACAACAAACATTAATATAGCTTTTATAATAACAATCATTTATATAAAAAATTATATAATAACATTTATATAACAAACATTTATAGAATTATATATATAGAAATATATATATATATATATATATATATATATATATATATATATATATATATATATATATATATATATATATATATATATATATATATATATATATATATATATATATATATATATATATATATACTTACGTAAACAAGCTTTTATATAATAATATTTGTATAAAACATTTATGTAATAGCATGTAAAATAACATAAACATTTACATAAAAACATTTATATAGTCATAATAATAATAACATAAACATTTATGTAAAACATTTATATAATAATATTTGTAATGAACATTTATATAATAACATTTGTAATAACAAACATTTATATATTAACATTTATAACACACACACACACACGCACGCACACACACACACACACACACACACACACACACACACATTTACAACAACAATTAATATAAAAACATTTATATAATAACATTTATAATATAAATATTTATACAATAACATTTATATAATAACATTATAACAACAAACATTTATATAATAACATATACAATAACATTTATAATAACATAAACAATTATATTTAAAAATCATATAACATTTATAATAACATAATAAGATTTTATTAGTTTTTATTGTATTGTGATAATTGTGCACATTTATGTTTGAAAACTAAGCATGCTATTTTAAGGAAATATGCAAAAAACACATAATTTCTTTGTATTTATATTAAAATGCACACCATTCATTTGTCTTATTAATATGGAGTGGAAATGTGTTTTTCTCTCCTCTCTGGTCATTTTCTCATTACAAAAAATATGACATTGATTTTTTGCACCTGCCACTAAAACATTAAGCCTGTCCTATTATTTTGGTGGTTTAATGATTGGAATATTCCGACTCTATCATTACTTGGATAACTTCAGGCCTCGTAATTAAATGTCTGATGTTACATTTTCCAAGTTGCTTGTCAGTAGGTGATTTGCAGTAGATTATTATTTTTTCTTTAATAGCTGCTGGTGTGTGTTTGAATCACTTGTGTCACTTACATCAGAGACATGTAATCAATCTTACAATCCGACTTTAACACACTGCAGTCCCATATAAAGTTACCTGCCAATGCATTACACGCATTTGGCACTCACTGAGAGTTCATTTATTTGGAGATTGTGTGGCTTGCAGTAATTCTTCCAACTGCATTAGCATTAGAGGAACTGACCCCTAATAGCTTGTCAGACTTTTGAGTCGCTTCATACCCGACCCCTACAGAGTGCATTTGGGGAAACCATTCTCCCGAAAATTAAATTGTGCTGTTAGTTTTAGTTCACTTAGACCATCTAAAATGTAGAACATTAAAGAAGAATTTTAAAGTCAACCTTTACTAGCACTTTTACACTAAAATGTCATTAGTGTGATTGTCCAAAGTTGTTTTGAGAAGTTTATTGTAAATTTTAACAGGATACATTTTTATTGATGTATTGATGGACCCAAAAATGTAAATATTATTTTGTAAGAGCCAGTTTTTAACCAATTGATCTTTGTTCGTTAGATTTAATAAAATGATCATTTGTAGTGCATGTATTGTTAAATGCTAATATTTATTTTCCACATAGAAGCCAATCAGGTTAGTTACACATAAATAAAATAAAAATAAATAAATAAAGATATATATATATATATATATATATATATATATATATATATATATATATATATTTTTTTTTTTTTTTTGGATAAATTAAATCAATACCTGTGGTTCAATGGTGGAATCAACCATTGACTGATTTTACTATTAACCGCACCTTAAGTAGTAACGGTTGTTTCATCGTAAAGGCTTCTCAACACCGCGTTTCTGCTCGAAACAAACTGCTGCAACTAAACAAAGTTATGCCAATTGTGCACTACTTTAAAGTTCCAAGCTTGACCCCTGAGGCTAATACCCACGCACACTGGATTAACTATGGTTGAGGCTATTAACTAAGGGCCGTTTACATATTGCATCCTTTATTTCCAATTAAGGTGCATGGCTTGTGTGCACATATTGAGAGTGACCGACTTTCCAGGCACACCTAGTTGAAAGAAAGCCACAAGCACATTGTGAGTCCCATGACAAGAACTTGATCGATCAGCTTCATATTTTGTGTGGAATATACACATTTCTACTCCAAAGAGAAAAAAATACAAGATGAAAGATAATAAACAATTTAGTAATATAGTTGATCAAAAGTGCCTTTTCAGACAGAGGTTCTCTTTGAAAGACAAATACTATTTATTTTATTTATTCTTATAATTTATTTATTTATTTATTCTTATCATTAATTAATTTATTTATTCATTTATTGTTCTGTCATTTATTTATTGTGTAAAATTATTACTTATGTTTAAATGCCAAATTAAATGCAAAGTTTTTATGAAAGCACAACACCCAATAGTGTACATCATGTACAGGGTGGGCCATTTATTTGGATGCACCTTAATAAACCTATTGGGAATTTCACAAGAAAAAACAATGGTGTGCATGGTTTTAAACATAACTTTATTCTTTCATGAGTTATTTACAAGCCCTCTCACATATACTAATGTGCCACAAACAGGATGTTAATATCACCAACCATTCCCATTTTATTAAGGTGTATCCATATAACTGGCCCACCCTGTATATATGTTAACAAAATTATCTCTTTACTATTACCTGATACTACCTAGAACATGCACCAAAACACTAGCAAACAATACAGCAATTATACAGCACCATCAAAAAAAATTTCAGCAAGACTAATGGAGTAAGACACAAAATAGAATGAGGTAAAAAGGAAGGAGAGAAAAAATATTACCAATAAAATTACGGAGACATTATTAACCTATATATCTAAGGAAGGGGCCCCATATTTTGTCATACATCTTCTGTTTGCCAAATCTAGGGAAACATAACCTTACCAGCTTGAAGGCAGAAAATAATTCAGCTAACCCTTTTAAAACATTTGGAGTTTTCATGGTTTTCCACTCCATCAGAATCACTCTCTTGGCCCGCACCATGCCAAACATAAAGGGGAGCTGAGGATGTTTGGGCTAAGATGAAGCCTGGTCTGAATATCCAAACAATGCTAATTCCACATCCATTTTAATGTTCATTTCAAAGCCTGGGAATAAAGTCTGAAGATACTTTTCCAAAGTTCAGATATTCTGGACTTTTTTCCCCCTTATTTTAAAGTCCAAAGAGAAATATATTATTGTTTGTTTTCATTATTTTATTATTGTTTATTTATTATTTGTGCTGTATTAATTGGTTATTGAGCAGCAATAAGTAACACTTTCAAACATAAGGAGTTTTCATAGGATTTTCTAAACTAGTAGTGTTTTGAAATTAAAAAGTGCATAATAATCATGATAAGTGTGAAAACATTATTATTGCTCAGACTATAATCGTGCAACCAAAATCTATAATTGCAGCATCCCTACTACATTAAGATATTATGAAACAAACTGATCAGTCAGTTCAAGAAACTGAGCATTATTTACAACATTATATTGTTATTATACAATATTATATACATCAGCAGGAATATATTATATATAGAAAACTCTTTAACCTTTTAACAGGCATCTGGTTGTCCACCTGGTCTGTTCATTGGTTCCAAAAAATGCTTAGTGCACAGTTTAACCAAATAAATGGCCCCAGTAATATGATTTCATAGAGATCACCTTAAAGGGTTACACCATTCATTCTGGCCAAATCCAAACTTGACAGTTTTATGCTTCTAAAATGTGAAAGTTACCATTTTAACAGCAGTTTTCCAGAAACTTATGCCATTAGAATAATAATTGCACTCTGGGCTCTGTTTGGGAGGGCTGCTCTGCTTGTTTTTTTGTGTTGAGTTGATGTCTTTGGTTTTGCTGTGCTGTCAGTCAAGCACCTCAGCACCATTACTCTGCCCTCTCAGGCTGAAAGATGGCAGCCATTACTCCGTCAGCCTGTCCGCTGTGCACAACACCATAACCTTAAAACACACACACACATACACACACACACAGCTGTCGGCCTTACACACAAATCGCATATACTTACATATGCACAAACCCAAAAATGCAACAGTTGTTGGCTGCTTCTTGCATGCCTTTCTTGTGCGCTCTCTTTCACTCATTCCTTCACACTCCTGCATGTCTGACGCCAACAAATGTTACCTCCGCCATCTGCTGCTCGAAGAATCACAGTCATGCATGACTTTTTTTTTTTTTTACTTCATTTTTATACTCCAAAACTTGTGTTGTTTTGTTGCCTCCATCCATTCATGCCTATGAAAATCGGGCCCTTTGAGTGAATGGAAATTTTATTTCATGCTTTAAAGATCTTGCAAACCGATGTGAGAATAACACTGGGAGACGAGGTAACGCATGTCTGCATTCACTTCTTACTTTTAAGATAAAACTAACAAACTGATCGCTAATGACTTTAACAGGTCTTGCTGATTGCAGGAAAGCATGCTGTGTTTAATGGTTACTCTTTAAACGTTGTGTTGATTATATTACATTACATTTGAGATATTAATGCATTACCTAAACAATGGTAATGGAATACTTTATATGGAATATTATATGTCATCTTAATGTCTTGAATTTTGTGGTAATAATTCTGGGCGTTTTTCTACCCATAGTTCCTCTTTCTGTCTGAGGTGCTGCAGTGGAGAGCCCAAACCACACCAGATCATGTTCTCTTCACCCTCCTCAGCTCAAGGGTATGATCTCTAATAATATTTTGCATTTTCTTTAAATTCTTTTTATGCGGTTGATAGTTTTTTGTTTTAACGGAACAAATTAGCTGTTCATAATTTACTTTTAATTTAATATATTTTTAGTGTCATTAAAAAAGCATGAAAAAGTCAGTTTTATTAGGTCTAAATAATTATTTAATCAAGTTTAGGTAGTGGTGAATTTGGTTTTAAATAAGAAAGTATTCTGCTGAACTAAATAAACTTTTTAAATAATTATAGTATGCATTTTCTTTAAAATATTTCCTTTTTTTAATAATTAATTATTTTTAGTTTTAATTGTGTTGATAGTTAAAATAGCTTTTGATCATTTGAATAAAAAATTCACGTAATCACTATAATAAAAAAGTGCTTTATAATAAATGTAATAAAAATTCATTTTTATATTTGGTTTAAATATGTCTATTTAACTTTTTTATGTAGGTATTTTGGTTTTAAGTTAGGAAGGATCAAGTTTAGGTAGTGATGGTTTTGGTTTTAAATAATGAAATATTCTGCAGAACTAAATAAACATTACCTGTTTAATAATAATAGAATGCATTTTCTTTAAAATGTTTTCTCTTTTTATTATTAATTTTTTATTGCGTTGATAGCTTTTAATCATTTGAATAAAATTTCAAATATTCAGTGTAAAAAAGTGTTTTATAATAAATGTGATAAAAATAAGTCAATATAATATTTTTTTAAATTTTGGTTTTAGGTCAGGAATGATGAAATTTAGGTGGTGGTTCTGGTATTAAATAATGAAGTATTCTGCAAAATTAAATAAACTTTACCTTTTTAATAAAATTATACATTATACAACTATTTTCTCATTTCTTATTAATTAATTAATTAATTATTGTTTATATTGAGTCAAAAAAACAAATACTTGATATGACAGACATAGTGAAAGACTTTTCCCTTTTAAACATTTGTAACAAGACAATGAAACATTTCTAAATAAAAAATGATAAAGTGCAACAATAGTAAATAAAAAGAGTAAATAAAATAAAAAAATAATAGAAAAATTTGTTTGCATTGATAATTAAAAAATAGTTTTTGATCGTTTGAATAAAATTTCATGTATTTAGTGTAATAAAAGTGTTTAATTAGTACTGTTATGAATAATGTTTTAAATATGTCTATTATTCTTTTATTAAGGTATATTAGTTTTAAGTTAGGAATGATCAAATTTAGGTAGTGTTGATTTTAGTTTTAAATAACAAAGTATTCCCCAGAACTAAATAAACTTGACCTTTATTTTTAACAACCAGTACTTCCAGTATACAGTAATATACAGTATTTAGTAAAGAAATCTACTATAATTCTGCAATAAGAAGGCACCAGCTAATATGTTGACTATTTTTGAGTGTTGCCCTGTGCTTAAGAAAGTCTACAAAGAAATGTTTTGATTTCTGCACCGTTTCTCCCCTCCAGGGATCAGGAATTGCTTTCATAAATGATCTTAGCCTGGTTTGTGAGGGATGCACTGTTTTAATATAGTTTATAATGTAGCCATTTATCATAACAGGCTATTTTGAACACCATATGCCCTCTTTAGAAGAGTTTTGATTACTCATCTTGAACTGGGGACTGTGATGTTGATGTCTTTGTCTGTGTATGTGTGTTTGTGGATGCAGGGTGCAGTCTTGAGCTCACTGACATGTCTTCAGTTGCATAAGCGTGCAGAAAAGATTGCCACCATGTTGATGGAGCGAGGACACCTGCAGGACGGGGATCACGTTGCACTGGTTTACCCACCTGGTACGTACGATACATTCAGCTACAAATCTACACCCCAGTTTTGTGATCAGTTCCTCTGCATCTTTTTATGATGCTCATTCAAACCAAGTGTCTCAGATTAGGTCAGGTACACAGATAAATATTTTACTGTAGTTAAAATGTCTAATTTTACTAATAATATTTCTAATAATACTAGATCATGTTTCTTGATAATTACAGTCCTGTTGTAAGTAGCAGACCGGAAACATCACACTCTGGTTTCAATACAATGGTCACACCTCATTCATCTGTAACAGTTTAAAGCACACTGAAAACCCTAGTAAGTTGACTAAACTAAATTAATTGAGTAAACTCGTTGCCTCAGTTTAATTGAGTAATGGAGTCTTCCAAAACTTGCAGATTTACATTTATTTAACTCTCTTGTTTTGTAGACTATACTTAAATTTAGTTGACCAAACTAAGTACTATTAAATTATACAATTTAAGTATAGTCTACAAAACCGGCAAGTTAAATAAACTTAAATACAATATACAAGTTTTGGGAGACCCATTACTCAATTAAATTGAGGCAATTATTTTACTCAATTAATTTAGTTCTGTAAAAAAAAGACCTTGCACTTAAAAGGTTGCACATATTAGAATTTTACAGTCAAGACTACATTTGTGAAAATGACCTATTTTTTTTTCGAAGGATTAATTATGATTTTGAGCTCACTACACTTGAAAACTTAAGTTTATGCATTTTCATGGTACATAAATTAAATTAACTCAAATTTTTAAATGATAGGACCAAAATGCTAAATTTTAAGTTATGTTCAGTCAACTTTACTTAATTAGGTAAAGACAACATTAGGGTTTACAGTGCAAGATTCCATTAGTTAACACATTTCAGGTCATTTACAGTATCATGTAACTCTTAATGCTAGTTAGTTAAAACCAACACTGTTGTTGGTCTTACTGTAGTGAAAGATGTAAAATATGCTTAATCACATGCAACAAAGCACTAATGAAACCTTAATCTTTGCTCTAGCACTATAGTAAGTACATATTTATTTATTTTACAGGTTTATTAAAATAAAAAGCAGTTCATACTTTTAAATAGAGCTAAGCTAAAATAAGCAAACAATTGTCTGTTTTTTTATTAACCAACACAAACCAAGTTTAATGTAATTAAATTATTATTAATCAAAGCATCAACTGATGTTCATAAATCATATTGTGCCATGTTAGTGAGTAGATCTTTCATTAAAAAGTCACATTTAAGCTTTATTGAGAGTGAAAATATGAAAGTAGCAATAATTTCATATTTTATCATTTAATTTTAAGATAATGTTAAAAAAGTAAATGTTTACAGACATTATAAATGTGTGTTTTTATTCCCCTCACTCCATATCAAATCCTTCAAACTGAACAGTATTCAAAATGATAAAATATTATAAAATATTCAAAATGATAAGTATAGAACAAGTTGTAGTGCCATTCACTTCTAGTGGCATGCTTAAAATGCACTTTACAAACACTCATGTGACTAACTCATTCAGCACTACTAAAAATTGGTTGCTTGACATTAATTGCATTATAAAACTTGGAACCCAGTTCATATGATAAAAGGATATCTATTCTTTAAAACAATGTTCACATATATATTTGTTTATTAATTTACAGGTATAGATCTTATTGCTGCCTTTTATGGATGCCTGTATGCCGGCTGTGTACCAATTACAGTACGACCACCACACCCCCAGAACATCGCCACCACCCTGCCCACTGTGAAAATGATTGTGGAAGTAAGTTTTGACCTGAGATCCTTTTCTATGTAATAGTGTTGTTGCGATACAGGAACTTCTAAGTTTGATACGATACTTTAAAAAATATTGATATTCTATGCCATTTGCAATACTGCGAGGATTGAAGTACGAAGTACCCACCCCCTTCCCCCGACACACACACATACAAACATTAAGAGTTGCCCATTTTTATTTATTATTAAGGACAAATAAGCCGATATTGATACTAACCAAAAGCTAGATCACCACTGTTTTAGATATTCCAATATCGATACTTAGCGAAAAAATCGTTATTTTTGACAACACTACCATGTATAGTATGTGATATGTGTCAAAAACAATGGCTAATGTATGAATTTATGTTCAAGTGAGCTGATCGGTCTGTGTGATGACCACACAAATCATATTCAAGCTCTTCAAGTCTAATTTCAATACGATACCTTGGAAAATATCGATATTCAAAACAATGTCGATACTGCAAAGAACCCCCTATGCACATAAAATTAGAAGTGTCCCATTTTTATTTTTATTAAAGATTAACAAACTAATATTGCAAATCTTTCATTCATTCACTCATTTTCTTGTCGGCTTAGTCCCTTTATTAATCCAGGGTCGCCACAGCGGAATGAACCGCCAACCTATCCAGCAAGTTTTTACACAGCGGATGCCCTTCCAGCCGCAACCCATCTCTGGGAAACAGCCACACACACATTCACACACACACACACACACTCATACACTACGGACAATTTAGCTTACCCAATTCACCTGTACCGCATGTCTTTGGACTGTGGGGGAAACCGGAGCACCCGGAGGAAACCCACGCGAAGGTAGGAAGAACATGCAAACTCCACACAGAAACACCAACTGAGCCGAGGTTCGAACCAGCGACCTTCTTGCTGTAAGGCGACAGCACTACCTACTGCGCCACTGCCTCGCCCTAAGCCGATATTGATACTAAACAAAAGCAAGATCGTATCGTTTTAGATATTCCAGTATCAATACTTATCGAAATATCAATATTTTTGACTACTATGTAGTATGTCTTATGTGACAAAAACAATAGGTAATGTATGAATACACGTTCAAGTGAGCCAATCGGTCTGTGATGACCACACAAATCATATCTAAGCTCCTCATGTCTAACTTTAATAAGATACCTTGAAAAATGTAGAGATTAGATACCATTTTTGAAGGAAACCCCTATACACACAAAATTAAGAGTATCCATTTTTCTTTTTTATTAAAGACAAACAAGTCGAAATATCTATATTTTTGCCAACACTTCTATGTAGTATGTGATTTTTAGCAAAAACAATGGCTAATGTATAAATTTGTGCGCAGGTGAGCCGATCGGCCTGTGTGATGACCACACAGATCATATCCAAGCTCCTTAAGTCAAAGGAGGCATCGGCTGCAGTTGATGTCAGGACGTGGCCTCCTGTTCTGGACACAGGTGAGAGTGACATCAGATGGCTTCTTCAGAGTCATTTAAAGAGGTCCTGTCATGCATTTTACACTTTAAATGTCCTTTAGTACATAATTTTACTAAATGAGCATTAAAAAGTTATGCAAAGTATATCAAAATATCAGTGTGCTCTGAACTCCTTCGACTGAGTTTTGTACACAACACAATCACCTTAATTAAAATAAAACTGCTTAAGGGGCAGGATCTGGTTGAAAATGCTGTCTGATATAGGTCTACATTAACAGGCATTTTCAACATTACATGAACTCCTAGGTTTTTGCATGATTTTGACATATCCTTTTGTGTATCTGGCAGTTAATATAAAATAAAAAGTACACAGGGTTAAGAAAACTAGAGCATTTACTCTATTCTTCTCTGAGTTAAATAGCCATTTACTTTCATGTACTGTAGTTTAGGAGAAATTGATCAATTGTTATGTAGTAATTCCAGCAGCTCTAATCTCCTCCGCAGTGAATGGGGCTGCGGCTTGTCATGAACCAGATGCATCACCATGAAAAATATAAAAGTGATGTGTTCTCAAAACTCCTGAAGAGGAGTTAGCAGAAGTATTCAAAATATACACGTGAATGGGGTTAAATTAGCTATGGCTAAACAAGATCAGTATTCACTCACATCTAAAAAAAATACTTTTTGGGATTTATTCTTAACCAAGCATTGTTGTAGGGTGACACTGTAGGTGTGCTCTTGCGCTGTTCATGCACATACTTTTCCGGAAGAGCACCCATAGAAGAATATATAATCCCTGTTACGTTAGCATAGAGCCAGGTTCAGGAAAAAAAAATAGTTTCCACCCGGATGTAAACTTTTTGAAAAGAAATACCAAATCATTTTTTTGCAACTTGACCTATTCTTTACCAGTGTATATTATGCTGTATGCGTGAAATAGCATTGAACCACCCCTTTAAAGTTGGGAAGTACTTGATTTTGTCCTTCAGCAACTGTTTATAACATTTGTCTTTAGCTCAGAGATGAGGTTATATAGCAGGTAGGGGGAGTTATTATGATTAAAGTTTATGAGGGCCCATTAATTTTGTTGGCTTACACATATTATGCTATCCTTGTTTTGTTTTGAAGGTCCTTTACAATAGGATGACATCCATCTAAGCTCAATATACTGTATGTATATATATATATATATATATATATATCATAATATGAACTGCAACATCAGCCCAGTCCTCACAGTGTCTGAAATGGTTTGTTAAAGATTCAGTTTCTCCAAATCCCGCCTTTCCGAGAGTCTATTCTGCTGTGATTGGTCTAGATCGCACAGTCTGTTTTGATTAGTTTTTTGCTTATAGTGCCTGTTTAGAAAACAAAGCTCTAAAGGCTTCATCAGCCAATGTGGAAACAGTGATGCAAACTTTAAAGATGGCGTCACTTTTACCACACCAGTTCTCATTTTTTGGAAGTGCTGGCAATTGATATTTGCTTTCACATCACACAAAACAATGTGTTCATGTCATGTTGATGACACAAACCAAACTTTTCCAGGGTGTAGCTATAATTACAGTGCATTTGATCATTAAAGACCAAGTGCTGGCATTATTTTCCACAAACCACATACTGTCGGTTTGTTCAGGTAGTAACCCTGGATCTACTGACAACTTGTTTTAGGCAGTTTAGAATCAGTACATTCTTTTTGTTGACAATAATCCTATTTATAATGCACTTTAATATTTGAAACTTTGCTGACATTTTATATTTACATTATAGATAAAAGATAATGTCCAAAAAACGTCAAAGGAGCACTTTAAAAATGATGTTGCACATGCAAAAATGATTTATTATTCTGCAATAGTCCAGTGTTGATTTTATGGTGATGTTAATATCTTCAATGCATGTTTTCCAGATGATCTGCCAAAGAAGAAGCCTCCTCAGCTCTACAAACCCTCCAATCCAGACACGCTGGCTTACTTAGACTTCAGTGTCTCCACTACCGGGATGCTTGCAGGAGTAAAGGTGAGCGTTCGCTTTCTCATTTTGGGTGAAATGTGAAACCGCTGCTCTTTGCTTCCTCAACACACACACACACACACACACACACACACACACACACACACACACACACACACACACACACACACACACACACACACACACACACACACACAACCACACACACACACACACACACACACACACACACACACACACACACACACACACACACACACACACACACACATAGACAACAAATTAAAAGAATGCATTTGAAAAGAGAAAACTAACCCTTCTCAGTTCACAATCGTGGAGATCAGGTGTCATGCGCACAGAGGAACTTCTTCTTTTATTGTTTAGAGATGAAAACCAGGCAGCTGCTTTTCTGTCATCGGAGCCATGAATGATTTTTGTGGAGACCACCCAGTATTGTGTAGTTTCTCTATCCTTTGACTAAAAACTGATCTGTTCGGGCCTTCAGAAGCCTTATACACTTACATACTCTTTTATTTGGACTTTAACTCGACACTTACGCTCATCATTCATCAATCATCTCATTATGCATTTAATAAAGCACAATTAAGTGACATATGGTTGTTAATATTACAGTTTTTTACAATTGCTATGACACTTTTATCAATACATTTAACAAGTTTCCTAAACTCTTAACACAGTTAGCACAACATCCGTCTTCGTGGGCTATACAATTAACACATTTCTTGTTGTTTTGACAGAAAATGCATCCAGTTAACACAAATTTAAAATGCTTTAACTTCTTTTACACACAAGCACAACCAAGAACAAAACAATGTAATTTTACAGTCAAATTTACAAATGCTTTAACACAGTATTTCAGAACAGATAACACCATGTTCTAAACAGAAATTATATAGGATAAAGTCAAAAGGAACAGCTGTTCTAATTGTGAATTGAAACACAAGTTTATTCCCTGCATTTTATTCAATTGCCAATGAGAAACAGCATATTGCGGTTATATAAATAAATAAATAAATAAATGTGTGTGTGTGTGTGTGTGTGTATGTGTGTATATATATATATATATATATATATATATATATATATATCTTTATTTATTTATACAACTGCAATATGCTGTTTCTCATTGGCAACTGAAAAAAAAGATATATATATATATATATATATATATATATATATATATATATATATATATATATATATATATATATATATATATATATGACAGCTGATTCCCATCTAGAAAGCACACTTATGTCTTGTTTTGGTTTTTCCAATCACATGATCATATGTTCTAATAGAGGACTCTTGAGGTATTTGAAAGGAACAGTGAGCGCATCAAAGAACTCTGTCACCAATACGTCCATGTAAGATTATGCAATACAGTCATTACTGTACTTTACACAGTGTGTTTTGCAGTAAACTACTCTTTAAACCTGGAGTTCATTAGTACATGCAGTACATATACAGTACAGCATTTGCATACACTGTGTCTAATTACTTTCAGAGAGTCATGAAGTTAGAGGCCAATCAAGTACCACATTAAATTTTCAATGTTGACAAGGCTGGGGATGTCGCCGTAGGAAAACCATAATAGGCCAAAGAGCCACAGTTACCGTGCCGGGCCACAGAAGATATCAAGTATAATGTGGATGAGAACATGTGGCAAAAGACCTGGCAGAATAGAAGATTACTTTGTTATTTTATTATAATTGTGGTGCTTTTTCTGTTTGCAGTGATGTCCTTCTGCAAAAAAAGTCTGTACTGCAGAAATTCTGTGTCTGTATTTTTTTTTACATAAACTGTAAATTTTATAAAGCAATTTTTTTTCTTCGTTTTGTATAGAATTTTTGCCGTAAACGAAAGAAAATGCATGCGTTTACTTAACCCAACAAAACAAAACTGTAACGAGACTTCAAATATAAGAGCAGAGCTGACACATAAACTAATGGAGTTTCTGTAATGTCAGCTGATGATAGTGTTTTTATTGTCAGTGTGTTCTGATTGACTGAATGTTTATGTTGGAAGAGAACATGTGTTAGTGTTTTGAACAATAATTTCATTTTGAAACATGATTGCAGTGTTTTGTTAGACATGGTGTAGTGTGTTCGTTTATTATTGTAATTTGAAAAGTAGTTTAGAGGTTTCGTTTATAATGTGTGATTTTGAGCATAAAATTAACTGTTTTGCCAGTTGTGTATTTTAGGTGTGTTGCTGCGTTAAGAATTTAGCAAACTTGTTAAATGTATTGAAAAAAGTGTCATAGCCATTGTAAAAAACTGTAATTTTGCTTGTGTTTTTGCATGTCGTCAGATGTCCCACACAGCCACTAGTGCCTTTTGCCGCTCTATAAAGCTCCAGTGTGAGCTGTATCCCTCTCGGGAGGTGGCTATCTGCCTGGATCCATACTGTGGCCTCGGCTTCGTCCTCTGGTGCCTCTGCAGGTAAGACACACAAAAATATACTAATGGAGCAGGTGAAAGGCATACTAACATTTAGTTTTTAAACACGTGTAAAGTATTAGTAAAAACACAGTAAAAACTTTGTGCAATATTATATTATTATGTATTAAAAGGAATGTTTAAAGTGTAATTTACGAATATTTTTTTTCACAGTTTTTAAAAGCAAGCAGTAATTGAACTTAGTTTGGATTAGGGCTGCACAATATATTGTTTTAGCATCGATATCGCAATTTGTGAATCTGCAATATTCAAATCGCTGGACGTATAATGTAAAGTCAGGACTATTGTTGAGTTGAGTTGTTGAGTTGTAGTTCAGAACACATGAGAATTTTTGAGTCATTTTACTTTAACAATAAGCTTGTTTTAAGGGCTGTGGATAAAGTTTAGGTAATTTTAAAGCTTTGAGGCTTATATAATAATAATAATAATAATAATTCCTTACATTTATATAGCTCTTTTCTGGGCACCCAAAGCACTTTACACATTGGGGGGAATCTCCTCATCCACCACCAGTGTGCAGCCTCAACCTGATTGACATGATATTGGACCAGCTGATTGGTGGAAAGGAGACAGATTGATAAAGCCAGTTATGAAATGGGGATGGTTAGCAGGCCATGATGGATTTTTAACAACTTCTGACCTCCGAAAGACACTCATCAAGCACTCATAGAGCCCCTATCACTATACCTGGGCATTAGGACCCAAACACACTGCAGGTTGACTGCCCCCTGCTGGCCTCACTAACACCACTTCTGGCAGCAACCTAGCTTTCCCATGTGGTCTCCCATCCAGGTACTGACCGTGCACAGCCCTGCTTAGCTTCAGTGGGTGACCATGTGAGAGTTTCAGAGGACTAGCTGCCAGCTACATTCGTAACAAAGATTAATTACATTTAATTATTTTCATACAATGAAAACTATATAGCCTTGATGTACATTTGTTTATTTTATTGCTGTTACTGAATAGTAAACTGCTTCATTTGTATATTTGCTCTGTATTAATATACGCTTGCAATTTGTTTACTGTATTTTACGCAGATGCACTCCCCTACAAAATCATCCCAATCAATTGAAAAAATAAAATAAAATAAAACATTTCTAATAGAGCTTTTCAAGTTATCTTGTGACATATCGCCATTTAAATCTTAGAAATCTAAATATCGCAATGTATGTTTTTTTTTAAATAATTATGTGCAGCCCTAGTTTGGATGCTTTGCCACTGGGCAAGCCATTGCATTGGTTTAAATAAATATTAATATTATTTACAATTATTTTGAAATGTTAAGTTGTCAGTCAGCATGCTGAATTTTATTAATTTGTTAATTTATTTGATCACTTTTACGGTAAGGTTCCATTAGTTTATGTATTTGCTCAGTTAATGTGAGCAAACAATGAACATTATATTTAATACAGCATTTATTAATCTTTGGTAACATTAGTTAATGAACATAAAGCCAGTCATTATTAGTTCTTGTTAACTCACAGTGCATTATCTAATGTTAACAAGCAAACTTTAGATTTAACTAATGCATTAGTAAATGTTGAACTATGATTAATAAATGCTGTACATGAGCTTTAATTAACTAATGGAGCTTTATTGCAGAGTGTGACTGAACATCGGAAGTGTTTGATCAAATAAATTCTAAAAAAGGTAGTAAAAACAATTACAGTGGGTAACATTTATTATACTGTAAGTAACAAAAATTGCTTTAGTTAAAAGTTCAAGTTAAGTATAAAAACCCTCATTTTTATTGTAATATTATTTTATTTTATTAGTTCACAAGGACATTTAAACATTGTAAATATTTATTACTTCTGTTTCTACTGCTTACTGATCTTTTCAGTGAAACATTCAGCTAATGAAACTCATATAACCTAGACTTAGCTCCAATAACACATTTTTTTAAAACTCCATTGTTTTAGTTACTTTAATTCCAAACGATTATATTTACTATTGCCAACCCAGACCATCTCACTCACTTCAGACACATAACAATTCGTTCATCCGGCTACAGTTCATCACTGGAGTATTTTAGATTTCCATGTCAGCGAGCACAGCCTGATGAGCCACACAAATATTGAACCAGTTTCTCAATAAAGCCCTGCCTTTAAAAACTTGGGCTGCGTTCAAACCAGTGTGTGTGTGTGTGTGTGTGTGTGTGTGTGTGTGTGTGTGTGTGTGTGTGTGTGTGTGTGTGTGTGTGTGTGTGTGTGTGTGTGTGTGTGTGTGTGTGTGTTTTTATGCTGCGCTGTGTCTTCTCTAGCAGAAAGTGTGCACTCAGCTCCTGTCTCGCTCGACTGATGTGTCTTATTTGTCAGGGTGTGCAGGTTGTGTTGTGGTAATGTGGTGTTTCTCTCTCTCTCTCTCTCTCTCTCTCTCTTTTTCTGCTGGGTGAAGTGTGTATTCAGGACATCAGTCCATCTTGATTCCCCCATCCGAGCTGGAGGTGAACCCTGCTCTGTGGCTGCTGGCTGTCAGTCAGTTCCGGGTCAGGGACACGTTCTGCTCGTATTCCGTCATGGAGCTTTGCACCAAGGGCTTAGGCCTTCAGACGGAGTCCCTCAAGGTACCACATCCTCTCTCAAGCATCAATCATTCGACTGCTGTTTAGGGCTGACGATTCATTCAGATGTCCTGATTTGATTCTGATTCACAAGCTCTACAGTCTTGATTCGATTCTGTGAACATATACTGTAGATTTAATCCAAATGCGATTGAAATTTCTAAAAAGGAGCAGTGAACATTTTTTTTTAGGTGCATGGGTACAATACAACTAGTGCGAGGCAAAGATAAATCACAATTGAACCAAAATAAAAGTTTGTTTTGACATAAGATGTCATGCATGTGTGTGTATTTATATAAACATAATAAATATACACAGATGTTATTGTCAAGGCAAGCTTTTTTTGGAAACGATAAATCACGATTAATCTTTGCCGAGCACCAATTAAACCATAACATGATGTATTTCAGATGTATGGAATAAGTGATGGTGACAGGGTGGCTCAGTGGTTAGCATTGTTGCCTTACAGCAAAAAGGTTGCTGGTTCGAGTCCCGGCTGGGTCAGTTGGCATTTCTCTGTGGAGTTTGCATGGTTTCCCCCGTTTTTGCGTGGGTTTCCTCAGGGTGCTCCTGTTTCCCCTACAGTCTAAAGACATGCGGTTTAAGTGAATTGAATAAACTAAATTGGCTGTAGTGTGTGTGTGTGTGTGTGAATGAGAGTGTATGGATGGTTCCCAGTACTTGGTTGCAGCTGGAAGGGCATCCACTGTGTTAAAACCTATGCTGGTTAAGTTGGTGGTTCATTCCGCTGTGGCGACCCCAGATGAATCATCGAAGGAAAATAAATGAATGAATGAATGAATGAATAGATTAAGTGATCATGATCATTTCTCGTGAAATATAGCAGAGGTTTTTTATGAGTCAAAGAGACACACACACACACAAACATACACACACATCTGCATTTTACATTTGCAAAATACTTCATTTTGTAAGGTTTATGGGCTGTTTTTATCATGGAGACCAAAAAAATCTCCCTAAAATGTCAAAGTTTACTGGTATTACACTTATGGGGATATTATATTTGGTAATATAAAGTACACACACACACACATGTATGTATATATATATATATATATATATATATATATATATATATATATATATATATATATATATATATATATATATATACAGTATATATATAGTCTATTAGACTTTAATACATACAAATAATGATAAAAAGCATCCTTGATCACTGTTAGCTTTTTCTTCATTAAATGATGCCACTTCCGATTCATAACCTTAAAGGTGTATTGCACACATTGTATTTTAAATTTGATGTAAATATAATAAAAATGTATTATAATATAATGTATTTATCATTTTCTGAACAGAACAAATAAATTCTACATGTTAATAAATCTTTGAAATTCAGCCATGAGCAGTCAATGTTTTTTTTTGTTCTTTAATTAATATTTGTGGCATAGACTGTTTTGTCAGACTGCTGTCTCTTTGAGACATTATCCATGGATGATATGTCTGAACTGCTTTAAATTTATATGCAACTAACTGTTTACATGAATACTCACATAAAAAAGTGAAGTGAATTCAGCTGCATCATACTCACAAAAACCCCCTGCCATACAGAATATTGATAAAAATTGATTCACAGCTTTTGAGAATCAATATCAAATAGATCACTTTGTAAAGTTCAACTGATGGAACAATAGATTTGTTTTGCTTTTATCAGATTTTGTTATATTTGTGTCTGTGACAGACGGTGATTGCTGGTGGTCTTGCGAGTGTGTCTGTGTTGTGTGTTCAGGAGGTGTGACTGTGCGTAATTAGCGTCTGTTGTGAGTTAGCGAAGGAAAGGCCTCTCGTGCCTCCTGGCGAGCCTGTCTTATAAAATCCTGTTTTATTTACTCTGATTTAGTCATTGAGATTGCCATAGTTACTAACCGCAGTCTGGGAGCAGTGTAGAGTTTATTAACATCTTGACGATCAATGAGGAGGAAAAATGAGTCCCGGCCCAAAGTCATTTTTTGGTATAATGAGGTAGAACTGTGAAAATGTTTTCTCTTACTTTCTCTTACCAAGAATTCATCTTCTCACCATCTGCAGCACTTGTTTTAATGAAGGCTTATACAATGTTTGATATGAAAGAAGCCTTGTCACTATTTATTTACTTTCTTAAAAATGTAAATATTAACATTGTGTTTATTCAGTTACTATATATACACTCACTGGCCACTTTATTAGGTACACCTAACTAGTCGTACCTGGTTGGACCCCTTTTTGCCTTCAGAACTGCCTTAATCCTTCGTGACAGAGATTTAACAAGGTACTGGAAATATTCCTCAGAGATTTTGGTCTATGGTGACATTATAGCGTAACGCAGTTGCTGCAGATTTGTCAGCTGCACATTTATGATGTGGCTCTCCCAACTTTGACATGCTGAAATTACTTGATTTAAATTTTGGGTTATGTCCATATGCCTACTCATTCATTTTACTTTTTGTGTGTCGGGTTTGGGCTTGCTCAATGAGCATGATCTAATGGGTCACGACTTTTCAGAGCTCAAAATTAAGGATTTACTAAATTTATCTCTGACCACACCAAACATTAATTAATTCTTAGCCACAATTTTTTAATGTGTCAAAACAAGCAAAAATATAGCTGTATGTTATACTTTTTATTTAACAAAACTTCTCTTAAAAAAGAAAGAAAAGCAATTGACTTTTAAAAAATAATTATTGTCATGTATCAAAAATATGCACATTAATCTGTCCTGGCTAAAGATCTCTCGGATCACCAGTTAACTGCACATAAATGAAGAGTTAATCTTTCATTAAAGCAATATTGTAAAAAAAAAAAGATAATAAAACCATTTGAACAAAAATAAAAGCAAATAAAACCGTAGGCAACTGAAAGCAGGTGAAAAGTGATAATGAAAGGATGACCACATACACACGGTTAACCTTAGGCCAATAATATTCTGTTCAAAGTCAAAGCAACCGGTGCTGCTTACAAAAAGACAAATTTTAAGCTCTTGAAAGCAGCAGGACTGTGGGTGCATGTTCATCGCTTTTTGGCTAGTCTATTTGAAAGAGAACCGATCACATTTGCGTTTCCAGACACGGTTGCTACTTGAAAGGAAACGAGAGCGCGCACGCGTTTTAAGCAGTCGGGCTTCACATCAGCTGTTGGCGCGAGTGATCATCATCCTCTCATTCGGTATTCACTTGCTTTCTTCTGCTCGCGTAATCACATTTATTTTACTTCTCGATTCTAAGATCACATTTGTACGCATATTGGGTCATCCTTATATTGTCGAACCCTGCTTTTAAGAAAACTACAATTTAAAATGTATTTTCAGCCAGCCAAAGTGGCTAGTGGGATTGACTGTCGCCAAAAGGTGAAATGTACCCGCATTTGGCGGGTTGGCGGGTGTTAATGTAAAGCCCTGATAAACACCCATACACTCATTCACACACATAAGCTACGGATAATTTAGCTTACCCAATTCACCTATAGCACATGTGCTTGAACTTGGGGGGGAGACCGGAGCACCTGGTGGAAACGTGAACAAGGGGAAAACATGCAAACTCCACATGGAAATGTCAACTGACCCAGCTGAGGCTTGAAACAGTCACCTTCTTTCTGTTAGACGACCATGCCCCCCTATATACAGTATATTATATTCTAAAATGTATTCAATGTTATAAACAATGCTATACTTAACAAACTTAACTCTTAATTTCCTCTTTCTCTATTTTTCTTTTTCTCTTTCCCATCCATCAGGCCCGTGGTCTTGACCTGTCCCGTGTTAGGACGTGTGTGGTTGTGGCTGAAGAGCGGCCACGGATCGCCCTCACCCAGTCCTTCTCCAAACTCTTCAAAGATCTTGGCCTTCACCCGCGAGCTGTCAGCACTTCCTTCGGCTGCAGAGTCAACCTGGCCATCTGCCTGCAGGTTAGTTACGTTTACCAGCAGATAATCTGCCGCTGACCACAAAACACCACGCAGAGCTTGATAATCTCAATCCCATCGTTGTTTTGGCAAGCATAGATTAGCACTCAGAGTTCACTGAGAGGATTTCGCTGTGCCTTTCATTTGAGTTGTAGAGGTCAAATCAGGTCAGCGCTAAATATAGTGAATAAGTAAACATAGATGGAGCACGTAATGTCTAAGATAGTATCAGTCAGGTGATATCCGGCTTTCCAAAGCTGCTGTTGATTATTGTTTAAGACATAACACTGGTATAAGCAGCTCTCTAGAATACTTGATTCTGATTGGTTAGTTTACATCACTGTGATCCAAAAAAGACTGTAAGAATAATGAATGAATAATGATTTAAAAATATTCCTGATAAATATTTACTGCTGTTCAAAAATGTTTGGTCTGTAGGATTAATAATTAATAAGAAATTTATAATGAATACTTTTTTAAAAGATTTTTATTCTAGATAAATATTTGAAAATGTATCGTCATTAAATATCTTTAAATAAAAATATGTCACAGTTCCCAGAGACATATAAAGCAACACAACTGTTTTCAGCACTGCTAATAAAAATATTAGGTAAATTGTTATAGTAATAGAATTTTTGGTGGATTGTCTGACACTTATGCCTTGAGTAATCATGCTAAAATCCAGCTTTTAATAAATATATGTATTCAAAAAAACATTTTTAGTAATATCAATGCTGTTTTTATTGATGCGTCTTTCTAGAATACTTGATTCTGATTGGTTGGTTTAGAATTCTGTGATGCGAAAAAGACTGCAAACGTGAATATTGAATGAATGATTCAGAAATATTCCTGATTAATTTTTACTACTCTATTAAATATTTACTTTACTAAAATATATAAATAAAAATATTTCACAGTTCCCAGAGAAATATAAAGCAACACAACTGTTTTTAGCAATTATTAAAAAAATATTAGGCAAACTGTTATATTAATAGACATTTTGGTGGATCATCTGACCCTTAAGACTAGAGTAATGATGCTAAAAATCCAGATTTTAATAAATATATAATTAAAATATATATTTTTCATAATATCAATGCTGTTTTTTTGAATAACTAAATGTATCCTTGGGGAGAAACTGAATGATAATCTATAAAATATAATCAAATAAATTACAGTCAGCTTTTCAAGTCTATATATTTATTTATTGATCTGGTAAGTACCTGGCTGTGCATTTAAATGAGATAATATACAGGGTCAGTGTCACATATCAAATCTTGTTATGAGACAAAAGAATGTTTTTACATTCAGAGTGGTAATGATTTCCACCCACCTGCTTTTCTGAAAGATTTTGGAGATTTTTTGTTACCAAGCAAAATCATCTCAACAGCACTTGATTAAACAGCAGGTGTTTCTATGGTTACAAACTAGAGATATTTTACATTAGGAGCCTAATGACCATTAAATCATAAGATTCTCTGAACAGCATCACGGTTTCTTTTTCATCTGGATTGTGGGATGTGCAGAAATGAGTCTTTGAGAAGCTTGGTGTTATCAGAGTAGTATAATCATTATAAAATATTGTTTATATCAATAGAAAAATTAAGAGACTACTTACTGCTTAGAAATTGTCTTTTTCTCTGGATTTACAGGATTTCTTAAGTGTGGATTAAAGTAAAATGTTATTTTTTTATTATTTTATAAAGGTCTGATAATTATATATTTAAACAATCATTTATTACAAAATGATCTTAATTAAAATATTCAATATTATTACAAAAATATCTTCCCTTTTTTGTCACTCTGCATGTTGTTTGTTTTATGGCCCCTTATGCATCTCATTTCCTCCTTTAGTTTTGTTTTATATTTCTTCCTTTTCTTGGTCACCTTCACTGTATTCCTCTCTCCTCGCTCTCTCCTTCACTCATCCGTCACCTGGCTGTTGTAGCCGCACAGGCTCGGGAAGCTTGCTGATCAGGTATGGAAGTCCAGAGGTTTGATTGGGATTCAGCTTTAGCTTCTTGACCCCTCGGCTGCTGCTGCTGGGCTCTTGATTCTTGCGGTGTGTGGCTTTTGCTAATGTAGTGGAAGGGACCGGCCGGATTCATCTAAATCAGTGTGACTAATTTATCAGACTAATGGCTGACCTGAAGGGCCGGTGGAAAGGCACCCTCGGGTTGATCTCACCTCAGAGCTGGTGTTGGCAAAGGTTATTTTGACCAAGGTGGATCTCTATGGAGTCTGTTCAGGGCTTTATATACTTGCAATATAAAATACTATTTTCATTCATAATTTTTTTTTTCTTCAGCTTAGTCCCTTATTTATCAGGGGTCGCCGCTGCGGAATGAATCGCCAACTATTCCAGCATTTTTTTACACAGCGGATGCCCTTCCTGCTGCAACCCAATATTGGGAAACACCCATGCACTCTTGCAGTCTTGGAACTGAACACACACAGAAATGCTGACCCAGTTGGGACTCAAACCAGTGACCCTGCTGTGAGGCGACAGTGCTAACCACTGAGCCATCGTGCCACCCAAAGTACCATTTTGCTAACAAAACATAAAGTACTGAGCAAAAAATGATAGTATTTCATAGTATTTTTTTCATGTGGGCTATGTGACATGATTTTGGTGCAGTTAATGCTCGTAGCTGTTACACGCGTTAATCAGAACATTATGCAGCGAACCTTTTCTCGAAAATGAGAACGTCCTTCCCACGTGATTCCGGGTGATAACGTCACTTAATTGGAGGCAGGCCCAGACCTGTCGAACACGCCCCAGTTCCTTTGACTCTGCCCCCTCATAAAATCAGGGCCAGAAAGTGAAACGTGCAGAAATTAGTGATGAGACGTTCGAATAATTTTACTGACTCAGACCTTTGAGTCTCGTTTATCAAGATGAACAAATCTTTTTTTGAGTCATTTAGTTCAATTTGCCAAAATAACAATAAAACGTTACGAGATGCTTCCAAAAACATCTACAACTACACCAAACGTTAATCACACAAGATACAAGTCATAACTAGAATGCTACTATGCTATGCTACTAAGAAAGATAAATTAATTCTTCATTGTTTACCTGTTGTTTTATTTGTGATTGCTCTGCTCACCTTTTCTGGGATGTCTTCAAATTTGAGTCGTTCGTTCAGGTGACACTGACAGTCCCTTATAACCTTAACCAATGCGTACAGTCTGAGCTGGAAACACTCATAATTAGTTTACCTTTTGAGTCTTCTGGTATTTGAGTCATTCGTTCATCACATGACAGCATGTAAAGAGATGACTCAAACCCGAGGACTCGAGAAATGAATGGATCAAATCTTTTTTCAGCTTCTACTGTATATGATTGGCTTCTGTCTTTCGTCTGATGAATGAACGACTCAAACCTGATAGAAGACTCATAAAAATTAACTAATCTTCACCTGTACAACGTGCACATGTGCGAATGAACGAATCATTCTCTGAGAGGACTCGCTGTTCTTGAGTCATATAAAAGATTCGTTCAGAAAGAATGACCTATCACTAGCAGAAATGTGCGAAGTGAAAACAGTATCGCAAACTCACTGTTGCCTGAAAAGCTTGAGAAGTTTTGTAAAGGCAGTGGTGGAAAAAAATATTTTCCATATATATTTTGCACTACCTGATTTTTATTTGCAGTTCTTTTTATCTCTCAAAACATTTGCGATTTTTTTTTTTTGACAGTTTTTTGCTCAATACTTTATTTTTCATTTGCAAAGCTTTATTTTATGTAGCAAGTAAATAAGGCTCTGGATTGACTCCATTGTTCTCAGGTTTTATAAACAAAATGGCACCAGCAAGAGAAAAAAGGAAACCATTTTCAAATGCTCAGACGTGCCCAAGGTTCCTGTTTATGATATTTTGTAGTGTGAAACATTAAAATTCTGACTTCAACTGTATGTTGCATTTATTTATTTAATATAATTGCAGACATTACAGTAGGCTATTTCGCATTGTCATTGATCTGCAGTTATAATCAAATCATGTCCATAGAAAAGTTAGTAATGAACATTTACAGTATACGCAAGTACTAATGTGCATCTGTTTTGTGAGAAGTGCTTCTTCTGCAATATATGAACGACCAGTACAGCTTTACTTTGAAATTTCCTTGAGCGGGAATAACATCGACTAAAACTTTCTGTTGTAAGGCTACCCTTGGTACCCTTTTGGCAGTGGAAACGCAAGCCTGATAAGGGTGACCCATACCGACCTATACTGTACCAGTCTGTTGAAACTAGCCTTATGTAACTTGTGTTACTTGTAATGCGTTCCCCCAGCACTGGTTATAATATTGGCGTATGCTGTTAAAATTTACATTAAAAAACATAATTTACCTACAGTTTCTTGCTACTGGCAACAGTTATTCTGATTGATTCAAATTATTTGATATAATAGTCAACACATATGAAGTTCAAAAGGTAAATTACTTTCACTTCTCTTATTATGGTAAAAAAACAACAACAGACAATCAATTTCAGGGATCACATATTACCTCTAAACGAAAAGTACATTTTGAGCCTGGTACCACCTAATGCGCTGACAACAGTACTCAGATAGGTGAGATCAACCGTCCCGAACTTCCACTGGGTCAAGAAGAGCTGTGTGTTTGTGTGCAGCTGCAGTCATTAGTAGTGTTCCTGTAGTGTAGAGCACTAGAATCACAGCCATTAGCAGGAATGGTGCTTCCCCTCCCTCAAACGCCACATTGTTTTACAGTGACATCACAAACACAAGAGCCTTTGTTTGGAACATGAAATATCTCAGACTCCAGCGCGTGAGTCAGTGATCTGAAATGCGTCGCCTGTTCTTCAGACGTAGAGAGACCTCTGCTGGCCTGGTTATGTCATGGGCTAAATCATGCACTTGCTGATATTTATTTCCCCGGTCAGATGGAGTTGGGGCGTCTGAGCGCATCATAATGAACAGTCATGGAAAATAATTGCATTCGTTTTATCGGAATGATGAGTGTTCGTTTGTTGCTCGCGCTCAGAGGCAGCAGTTGTTCGTCTTCGGTCTGTTCATTTCTCAGTTGCATTGTTTAATGAAGGTCATTTCACATGAGTCACGAAGATGGGCCACAGATGCATCAAACTCTTAAAAAGTCAATGATGAGGAGATGTGTGTAATGTACTAACAACACAGAAAAAGAACATGATTTATTGCACATTAAATAATGCAGCAAACATCATATACTGTGATTTATTTAAATACCGTTCTAAGCAGTGTTTGCTTCCTATACGTTTACAGTTAGAGACAATAAGAACATCCAAACAGATTACTCATTCTAAAAATGGTATTTGATTTAATTTGTCTTAATAAAATAAACTGAAAGAAATAAAATAAATTCAGCCCTTTTAAAAGTCAATTTAGGCATCACTATAATATGATGCACAGTATGATACATTAAAATGAATGTGACATGTACGTTAGATGATGGCAAATGGTTGCAAAAAGAAAATACTTCAAATAAGTTAATACTTGTTCAGTACCATCACTTAAAGATTTGATCATATTTAGTTTAGTTTGATAAATAAAAAAATTTCCGGAAATTTTATTGTATAAATGGACTGTCAGTTAAAAAACTTCATGTCATAAATAAAGGAAAATGTAATGTAATAATAAAGCTTCTTTCTCTGCTTAAAAGAGATTCAAACTATTTTGTGTATTGTGAAATTGTGGTTTGTCAACCCGATCTCACAACGAAACATAACTTCATGTCTTGTCACAAGTGACTAATTCAAACAATTTCATTCATATTAAAATGTACAATTTTAAAAGGTGTCCCCAAACACCACCCCTAAACATAATCATCATTGTGGATTGAGGAAATCGTATTAAAATGTATTAATTATGTCGTGAAAATTCACATGAATTAGCCAACAAATCAAAATGTTTACATTTGGATTGCATTGGATTGGTTTAGGATATTTCCTTTATTGTCCATTTCAATGTGGTCAAGTCATCTTCCTATGAACATTTCCTGCTTGTTATCAAAATATTTCATAACTGTAACAAGAGGCAATTCAATCATAACTTAATGTTAAAACAGTTATCAATATGGGGCTCTTTTTGGATTCTCGGAAGTTATAGAAATTTAAATTGTAAAGCAGTAAATACGGTACCATTGTTTTTGTTTACATCCCTCAAAATGGTTTATAACAACATGAAGAAATGTTAGCATTTAGTGCTTCCATCACTTTTTTCAAACTGTTCCTGTCCACGGACTGCAAAAGAGGGTAACATGAAAGGGGCGTAACTTGTAGTAGCGGCATAACTTAAAGTTTTTGAGATCCCATTGAACCATTCTAGATGTTGTCAGCAAGATGGTGGAAATAATACTTTCTAGAGAACATTAACAGCAATTGTTTTCATGCAATTTTTCTAAATGTATCCACAACTTATTAATTTAATATATTATTAAATTCATTCATTTAGCAACTACACTCGTCACTTCTTCACTACTCTGTGTCATTCCCTGTTGTTGCAAATAACAATCGCTGGTTGGGTTTAGGGTTGGAGTAGGTGCAAGGTATAGACATTAATAACTGACGGTTGGGTTTAGGGTTGGAGTAGGTGTAGGTATAGACATTAATAACTGACGGTTGGGTTCAGGGTTGGAGTAGGTGTAGGTGTAGACGTTAATAACTGACGGTTGGGTTCAGGGTTGGAGTAGGTGTAGGTGTAGACGTTAATAACTGACGGTTGGGTTCAGGGTTGGAGTAGGTGTAGGTGTAGACGTTAATAACTGACGGTTGGGTTTAGGGTTGGAGTGGGTGTAGGTGTAGACGTTAATAACTGACAGTTGGGTTCAGGGTTGGAGTAGGTGTAGGTGTAGACGTTAATAACTGACGGTTGGGTTCAGGGTTGGAGTAGGTGTAGGTGTAGACGTTAATAACTGACGGTTGGGTTTAGGGTTGGAGTAGGTGTAGACGTTAATAACTGACGGTTGGGTTCAGGGTTGGAGTAGGTGTAGGTGTAGACGTTAATAACTGACGGTTGGGTTTAGGGTTGGAGTAGGTGTAGGTGTAGACGTTAATAACTGACGGTTGGGTTTAAGGTTGGAGTAGGTGTAGGTGTAGACGTTAATAACTGACGGTTGGGTTCAGGGTTGGAGTAGGTGTAGGTGTAGACGTTAATAACTGACGGTTGGGTTTAGGGTTGGAGTAGGTGTAGGTGTAGACGTTAATAACTGAAGGTTGGGTTTAGGGTTGGAGTAGGTGTAGGTGTAGACGTTAATAACTGACGGTTGGGTTTAAGGTTGGAGTAGATCGAGATGTAGATGTTAATAACTGACGGTTGGGTTTAGGGTTGGAGTAGGTGTAGGTGTAGACGTTAATAACTGACGGTTGGGTTTAAGGTTGGAGTAGATCGAGATGTAGATGTTAATAACTGACGGTTGGGTTTAGGGTTGGAGTAGGTGTAGGTGTAGACGTTAATAACTGACGATTGGGTTTAGGGTTGGAGTAGGTGTAGGTGTAGACGTTAATAACTGACGGTTGGGTTCAGGGTTGGAGTAGGTGTAGGTGTAGACGTTAATAACTGACGGTTGGGTTCAGGGTTGGAGTAGGTGTAGGTGTAGACGTTAATAACTGACGGTTGGGTTTAGGGTTGGAGTAGGTGTAGGTGTAGACGTTAATAACTGACGGTTGGGTTTAGGGTTGGAGTAGGTGTAGGTGTAGACGTTAATAACTGACGGTTGGGTTCAGGGTTGGAGTAGGTGTAGGTGTAGACGTTAATAACTGACGGTTGGGTTTAGGGTTGGAGTAGGTGTAGGTGTAGACGTTAATAACTGACGGTTGGGTTCAGGGTTGGAGTAGGTGTAGGTGTAGACGTTAATAACTGACGGTTGGGTTTAAGGTTGGAGTATGTGTATGTGTAGACGTTAATAACTGATGGTTGGGTTTAGGGTTGGAGTAGATGGAGATGTAGATGTTAATAACTGACGGTTGGGTTTAGGGTTGGAGTAGGTGTAGATGTTACTAAATGTGACAGTTAGTTTTAGGGTTAGAGTAGGTGTAGCTGTAGACGTTAATAACTGAGATGTTTAGGTTTAGGGTTGGAGTAGGTGTAGACGTTAATAACTGTGACGGTTAAGTTTAGGGTTGTAGTAGGAGTACTGTAGGTGTAGTTGTTACTAACCGTTACCGTTGGTTTTAGGGTTGGAGTAGGCGTAGGTGTAGACGTTAATAACTGATAGTTGAGTTTAGGGTTGGGGTAGGTGTAGACATTAAACACTGATGGTTAGGTTTACGGTTGGGGTCGGTGTAGATGGTAATAACTGTGATAGGTACAGAGGGGTTATAGGCGTTTATTAATACACGTTGTAATGGGTAATTTAGTAAATACTATGAATATTTTTAGCAACAAAAAATAGCAACAATCAGCTTGTGCATGCATGTTAGAACATCCACTACGTATTGAATCTGATCCAGTACGCCATCTTAATACATTCTTAATTAAGTAATCTTGCCGACAACATAGTTTTGACATGTGGATCTCTAAACTTTGTTATGCATCTACTACAAGTTAGGCCGCCTTCTCTTGCAGTCCGCAGACAGACCCACTCCTTTTCTCTACTTCTCATGTTTTCGAACGCTGGGATTCAGTACTCTTTTAAAGATGTGTAATAGCGCCCCCTGCATAAAACCAAAAAATCTCATCAATGGCAGAGAAAGAGTTGAAAATACTATTTTAATTGAACTCTTTGTCCACTTAATACTGTATAACATGCAAAAGCTCCAACTTTGTTCTGTAATTAGTCTATCTGCAGCACTTTTTATAGGCCAAAGCATTGAGTAAATAATACAGCAAACATCATATAATGTGACTGCGAGATTTATTTAAAAACTGTTCTCAGTATTGTTTGCTTCCAATACATTTACAATTAGAGAAAATATTGCTTAAATGTGTTTCAAACAGATTATTTTTTATCAGTTTCAAAATCTGTTTAAAAATGTATATTAAATTTGCCTTAATAAAATAAACTGAAAGAAATAAAATAAATATGATTTTAAATGGACTTGTTGTCCACTTAATACTATATAACATGCAAAAGTCATAAATTTGTCCATTAATTAGTCTATCTGCAGCGCTTAAATAGGTCAAAGCATTGAGTGGTGCACTGAAGGCTATCTAAAGCTGATGTTAAACTCTTTCTCGTCCACCCAGTGGCTCAAGATCTGCAGTCCTGCAGCGCTTTCACCGCCAGCAAAAACATTCAGATCTTTGAAGAGTCTGTCAGCTTTCATCTGCCGTCGCCTTTTTCCTCTACTTCACAAACACCCACACATTTGTCATCCCGGCTTCATAAACGATTCCCGTTTTTCATTCCGCTTTCTCAAAAACGCCTCCGTTCACCGCATCATTTATAACCATGTGCCTTTCAGGGTGATGGTTTCAAATTTGGATCCTTTCTTCTGCTTGTTTTTGTTCCTCAACCCCCTCATTTCACTATTTTCAGTCTGATCTCGAGGCTCTGCTACTAACTAGTTAACAGCTGAAGTGAGTTGATAAAATTGACCAGTTTTGCCCTTCCTCGTAGCTAGTTTTCTGTACAGTAAAGACTAATGTGTACAAATTTTTTTAGCTAATGTTTTGATAATGTATGTTTATAGGGGACGTCAGGACCTGACCCGACTACTGTATATGTGGACATGAGAGCCCTCAGACATGACAGGTGAGACTCTACACAGCATAGCTTCAGTGGCAAAGTACTGATAACTGAATAAATTCAAGTGTGCTGTGATTAATTATTAAAAATGTGGAAATAATAGGTTTTCATTTGGCCAATGCTGCGGGTTATTTAAAAGGAGTTGGTTATGTCTAAAAAAGTTGCTGCAATAATGGTTTAATTTGGAATATATTGAGAAATTACCATTGTGTTTTTATTTTTAGGAGTAGGAGGTCTTGTGTGATGTGAAACTGCTTTGCTAGAGCTAGCGTATATTGGTAATGGATAATATCAAATCTTATCTTATCTAATATGTGTGAGGATGAACCAAAAAGATAAAATAATATTTGTTTCTTTGCCAGGTGTTTAATTCATTAGATTTTTCTCAAAACTAGCATGGCAACATGGTTATTAAAAGATTCACTAAGTATTGTTGTATACAGTTGAAATCAGAATTATTAAACCCTCTTTGAATTTGTTTTCTTTTTAAAAATATTTCTTTTAAGTCTTATTTGTTTTATTTCGGCTAGAATAAAAGCAGTTTTTAATTTTTTAGAAACCATTTTTAAGTAAAAATTATAAGTCCCTTTAAGCTATTTTTTTTCTTGATAGTCTAGAGAACAAACTTGCCTAATTACCTATCTAATTAACCTAATTAAGCCTTTAAATGTCACTTTAAGCTGTATAGAAGTGAAAAATATCTAATAAAATACTATTTACTGTCATCATGGCAAAGATAAAATAAATCAGTGATTAGAAATGAGTTATTAAAACTATTATGTTTAAAAATGTGAAATTAGGGAAAAAATTTAACAGGGGGGCTGATAATTCAGGGGGTTTAATAATTCTAACTTCAACTGTCCAATTTATTCTGTTCTATTGTATTTATATTGCAATTTGCAATTTTGTATCTATAAAAATATAAAATATTTAAATATTTACTTAAAATTAGCCCCTAAATTTAACTAAGGATTTGTTTATTATTGTTAAAATCACTTGAATAAATGAACCACACATAATGTATAATCTCTAAAATTTCCCATGGACAGTAGTTAAAATACATAATAATATATGAGCAATTTCACCAGAGTAACAGTGTGCTATTGCTGTATATCGGCACTTTGTGTCACACCGGTGCTGATATACAGCCATATCGCACTGCTACCAGTGTGATATTGTGTTTATACAACAGTTCAATAGCATAATCGTGAAAGGATCAAACACAGAGTCTCAAAAACCCTTTTGCACGAGGCGCTACTTTCTTACGCCATTCATCAGAGCAGCAGACACCATTGCTACTTCACAAATGTCACTTTAGAGCTAGTATTTGAATGATTCTCTGGCTTAATGTCTAAAGTGATGACAAAACAGGTCATATTTGCTCACATTTTAGGATTATACAGCTGCATGAATGCCATCAGTCTACAGGGATTTCCCAGTATTTCTCTGTTGCAATCAGGATATCACAATTATTAACTCTGAAAAAGCCAAAGCAGCGCAAACACTACCAGTTTCTGTGGTATAAAAACAGCACTACAAAATACAAAAGAGAGAGATCGACTTAGAATGTCACTTGCTTGATGTATAATGATTTGTTCAGCTGTAGTTTGAAACTTACATTGAGAAATCACTGTACTATATTTTTATTATAGTTTTTGTATAAACTGTAAACAGTTATGTATGTTTTGTGGCAAAGTGTAAGTATTTAAAGTAATGACAATGGTTTAGTATTTTGGGTCTTTCAATTGTTTTTAACAGTGTCATCAAACATATACTGTTCGACATTTTTGATATATAATCTATTGTTATAGAATACATTTGTAGTGAAAATCTTATTTATTTATTATTTGACACTTTCTCACTTTATAAATGTAATATTGCTTTTTTTTTCATTTGAAAGTACAGAAGTGCTGCTCTTAAAAATCCACTTGTGTTTAAGAGCTGGTAGTTGATAGTCAGAAGATCAGCAACCTGTTTGTTTTTCCTCAGAGTCCGGCTGGTCGAGCGAGGATCTCCTCACAGTCTCCCTCTCATGGAGTCTGGAAAGGTATCCGCAGTCAGTCTTCCTTACAATAAATTCACTGCAAATCCATCATCCATTTGTTTCTAAATTGTAATTATCCTCTACTAGATACTACCTGGAGTTCGAATCATCATCGCTAATCCTGAAACCAAGGGCCCGCTGGGGGACTCTCATCTCGGAGAGGTGAGTTCAGATCACAGGATAAAGAACCACTTCTAATTATCGATGACAGTTTTGTTTACAGCATCACGTGTCTCTCACTAGATCTGGGTTCACTGCGCTCATAACGGCAGCGGTTATTTCACGGTGTATGGAGACGAGGCCCTACAGTCCGATCATTTCAACTCGCGCTTGAGTTTTGGAGATACGCAGACAGTTTGGGCTCGAACAGGATACCTGGGCTTCCTCCGCAGGACTGAACTTACAGATGCGAGTGGAGGTGATCACGAATATTCATAGTTTCCACTGTGTAGTAGTTCCTGGTACCTTATGTCTGTTAGTACCACCATAGCTGAAGTTCTAAGCGAGTATAACAGATCTAAAAAAAAGATCCATCAGTGTGTGTTTGTTTGTCATTTATGATGATGTCATGGCAGCAGAACTATAATGAAATGTCTAAAACTCCGCCCACTTTGAAGCACAGAGTAGCAAGTCATCCAACGTGGTATCATATCCTTATTAACTGGTTGTAGTTTAGATCAGTGTTTCCCAACACTGCTCCTTAAGGCACACCAACAGTACACATTTTCAACCTCTTCCTAATCAAACACACCTAAATCAACTCATCACAACATTACAAGAGACTGCATACCTGGAGGTTGAAAGTCCAAACCTGAAATGAATGGGTCAGATAAGGGAAACATGCTAAATATGTAGTGTTGGTGTGCCTCCAGGTACAGCCTTGGGAAATGGTTTAGATGGTTATGGTAGGATCTGAACCGGATATGAACTGGAGTTGTTTCGTGTTTCCAGAACGGCATGATGCTCTTTATGTTGTGGGAGCTCTGGATGAGGCCATGGAGCTGAGAGGGATGAGGTATCACCCCATCGACATCGAGACCTCTGTGATTCGCACACACAAGAGCATCATGGAATGGTATGAACGTCCTACTTCCTGTCAGAGTAAAAATAATAATAATCGTTGTGTAGTTTAGTGATGCACAGATTTCAGAATTTGGATGTATTCATTATTCAGGAACTAAATGTATACTCTTTATTCATTCATTTTCCTTCAGCTTAGTCTTTATTTATCAGGGGTCGCCACAGCAGAATGAACCACCAACTACTCTGGCATATGTTTAGCACAGTGGATGCCTTTGCAGCTGCAACCCACTACTGCAAAATATACTCTTTATATTGTTCATTCATTCATTTTTTTCAGCTTAATCCCTTTAGTAATCAGGGGTCGCCACATCGGAATGAACCACCAACTTATCCAGCATGTGTTTTACGCAGCAGATGCCCTTCCTGCTGCAACCCATCACTGGGAATCTTTATATAGTTGTCAACATGAATTCACAGGGGTCCCTCACGATAACGCAGTTCACTATTTGCGGCCTCACAGTTTTGCAGATTTTATTCAGCAGCACATTGTGTTCAGTGTCCTGATTGGCTGTAGACCGTTGTCAATCAATCTCCTCCGTGTCTCCTGCACAGTACAGAATGCATTCAGCTTGCCAAATTAACATAAATGTGCGATCGCTAGCAGTGTAATCCGAAAAGATAATGAATGAATAAATAACATGTGAATGTGCGCACCCGGTGTGTGTTACTTCCAACTGTCATGTGCGCATCTCATCCGGTGTGAAACCCCCTAAAGGATGGAGTCTGCTTTAGCATTGCAAATCAGTGACTGCAGCTAAAAGAACATTAAGCTGGATGCCAACGTTATCCACACAAAAGCTAAAAAGCTTTATGAACCTTTTGCTGACAGAGATGAAAAGTTTGCACCTGACAACAGGTTTTGATCTTTGGTTTCATTTTATTATACTGGATTTTTGTACAAAGGTTTGAACTTTGAGATTTTAAACAAGAGAGAAAAGTGTGAAAATGTTAATGCCTGTCTGAAAAAAAGTGTATAAAGTGTGCAGTGAGGGGTTTTACAGCCTTAACACATCTATAATAATTGTCAAAAATAAAGCGGACTACTTCGCAGATTTCAAGGGTTATTATTAGAATGTAATTCCTGCAATAAACGAGGGACCACTGTATTTTAAATAATTATAATATTTTTTATTTTAATAATAAACAAATTCAATCAAAATATATACTACATTATCACCAAAATGTAAAAAAAAAAAAAAAAAAAAAAAACGGTTATGTTCTCTTAATAAAGTTATGCACAGCCAAATTAAGTTTCATTTAAACCATTTATATAATTAAAAAAAAAGTCTAATTCATGCATATATGCTGATATGAGTGTATACTATTTAAATCAGGGGTGCCCAAACTTTTTCATATAAATGGCCAAAAACCAAATATCACTGAGAGCTGTGGGCCAAAGGTAAATATACCAAACTATATTACAATAAAGCTGCCATGGTTAATTTCCCCATTTATTTTATAATATTTCAAAATAAAAAGAAAACATTACTTTAAATAGTTTTAACTAATGCAGTACAACTTTTGAAATGATAACATTTTGCAATAAAACAACCACATTTATAACACAGTGAAGTTCAATACTGAATACAGTAGTCGAGCAGAATCTCCCTTCAACTTGATTTGCTCACCAAAGTCTCTGCATTGTCAGGTGACGGTATGTACATTTTAAACAAAATCTGATTCATTGACACAATTTAATTGAAACATTTAATTTTAGTTAGCCTTTAGCTATAAAACAAACAAACAAAGTGTTACATTACATTTGAATTGACAATCTCAAAACCATTGCCATCATTCTCTCTCTTCTCAGATAAGATGGCGGGCCAAATCAAAGGTTACCATGGGCCAACTTTGGTCCTAGTTTGGACATCTCTGATTTACAGTAAATTAAAACTAAAGTCAGTTTTGTCATCTTCATAATATTAGATTTGTTAATAGATCACATTTAAAAGTATTATAATAATATAATTTGTTTGTTTGTTTGTTACACAAATTGATGCTTAATGAGCTAAATTGGCCATAGTGTATGAGTGTGTGTGAGAATGTGAGAGTGTATGGGTGTTTCCCAGTACTGGAAGGGCATCTGCTGTGTAAAACATATGCCAACGTAGTTGGCGGTTCATTCTGCCATTGTGACCCTTGATAAACTGATCAAAGGAAAATGAATGAATAAATGTATCTTGATGCTTTTTGGTTTAACAAGTCCCCCTGATAAGACTCTGTGTGTTCCAGTGCGGTGTTTCCCTGGACCAATCTTCTGGTGGTGGTGGTGGAGCTGGAAGGTTCAGAACAAGAGGCTTTGGACCTTGTTCCTCTAGTGACCAATGCAGTCCTGGAAGAGCATTATCTGATTGTAGGTGTAGTGGTGGTGGTGGACATCGGCGTCATTCCCATTAACTCTCGTGGAGAGAAACAGAGGATGCACCTGCGGGACGGCTTTCTGGCAGACCAGCTGGACCCAATCTATGTGGCATATAACATGTAGCATGAGTGTACGCGTGTATGTTTGCGTGCGTGTGTTTTGCCGACTGCACATGACCAGTTGGGCAAACTTCCGCGAACGGACACTTACTGGGAGAAACTTTACAACAAAAAGCCAAATGGAAATTCTCAATTGGCAAAAGGATTCGGTCTCCCGATGGGAAGAAGAATCGCCTTTGCTTCTGCTTGTGTGCGTCGCGCTTTGTTTTTAAGTGAGGTGTTGCGACATCTTTTGTTTTTACTCTGCCCTACACGAGCGAAGGGTATTTTTAAATATCTGCATACCGTGGCGAAATGTGCATTTTAAGTTTACAAGTTTGCCGACAATTTGGAGTTAACTTGTTGAAAGAATAAGTAGGCTAATTTCAGACACTTCATTTAAAAAAAAAAAAAAAAGGTACGACTTTGGTACGTACGTCGCTGCCGTCCTTCTGCAATTGTTTTTCAACCTTTGTAAATGTCCTCGAATAGCAGGAAGCAAAAAACAAAAAGCGAAAATACGTCCCCTGCTTTTTCGATTCCTCCATGTTTAATAACATTGTACAAAGCTGAAGGCGAACACAAAGTCAATTGATATTGTGTAATTATGTACAGATAATAGTTCTTATTTATTTTGCTCTTTTTAGAATCGGTGAGCGAAGACATTCGGAAATGTTTTCCTCATTAAATAATATTGCTGATATAAAACATTGTATCATCTTGAGTGAGTCGTATCACATCAAGTCTATGTAAAAATATAAATATACATACAAATATATATATAAAAAAGAAATCTATATATATATATATAAAATAAGATCTACGAATCACCAATGAAACATTTCTAATGCAGTACTTCCCACTTGCATGGTGTCTGTTGTAGAGCGAATCAACTGACCAATCAAACGTTACCCGATACTAATAATACAAACTCTTATGATGATGTCAAACGTGTGTAGCCGGAACTATAAAAATAACGCCCTTATCAAGAGAAAACCCTCAAAATGTGCCTGGAATTTTGTTTACATTTGCTTTTCGATTTAAATCTACACCGTATTTTGCTTTTTTACTTGTTTTTTTTAATCATTACGTGTGATTTTATCATTATTTATTGACACAGGCTCTTTACACAAGTGCGTTTTTGTTTACCGCTCATATTTTCACATACAACGTTTCAATCTTTAGTATTTACGTAGTATTTACCTTTGAACCCCTATCAGCTGATGTGGAATACGCTCTTGTTTTTAAATCGGATTATGTGGGAAATACATGCTAAGTAAACGCCGGCATATTGTTGGCACATGCAATATGGGCAAAGCATGAAAACGTGAGCGACTGGCTATAACAGCACAAACAAATCGAAGAGATAATAAAGAGAGCCGTGCCATTGTTCTCCATTCTACCAGCTGCATTAGAAAGGACGTGTTTTCCGAACGCCTTTTCCATCAAATCCGTTAACGACGAAACTGAATATTGAGGATTTGATTCTTTTTCTTTGCCGCATCCTGCCTCAGCGATCGATGATGGGCATCAGATGATAATCGTGGAGATCTACTGCAGATATCACACCCTTTGGCCTCGCCGAGGTCTGTTTTTAGTTTTATTTTTTAGAATCGGTGTCATAGACGTCAATACTGTGTATGGGAACTGAGTTTACACTTATTCCGAGAGTGACGATGCAATGTTCGCTTATTTTGACGTTTGTTTTTTTTAAGGAAAAAAATAATAATATGAAGGAAAGAAGAAGTCTTAAGCTGTTCGGAAGCTTTAGTGTTGCCATTCCCATACAAGCGGCCATTTTAAAAAGGAAAAAAAAAAACGTGCACATAAACTTTCAACCTGTGAAGTTTTTCTCCCTTATTTTTTGTTGGAAATCTGGACGTGAGAGAGTCTGCATGGTGTATGTAAATATTGTTGGTTAGCGGAAAAAAAAGACAAAAAAACAATTTATTTTGTATGGTGCAGGTGTGTTTGAAATTCTGTTTTGTACACATGATTAAAAGTATTAAATGACACTTTTATAGAAGCCTGCTTTGGCCTACGTTCACAAAATATGGTGCAATAAAGTGCTTTGATTGGTAAACTTGTCATTTTTAGAAAACAAAAAGCGCTAAACTATTACCGGTTGATATGTTTTATTTATACATAGTACTGTTACATAATGAAATGCAAGAAAAGGGAAACGTTTACACCACATTTTAACTCGTATGCACATGTGAGACAGATGTTCGTATAGCACACTTCTCTCTGGGTGTCGGAAATTCTCAGTAGTCATTATTCTGTCCGCATAAATATAAGTTAAAAATGAAATTTGCATTTAAAAAAAAGGGTTACTTGGCATTACAAAGTGGTGTCAGATTACCCTGGAAAACCAAAAAGACATACTGCATCACCGATGACACGCAAGATTAAAATTAGGTACACACAACCTGATTTCATGCACACTGGAATGGAACAGATTACCGTTAAAATCACAAATATTGTTGTTTTTTTTTCCTTTACAGACTGACTTTATCAAATACACAGTCGATGCGTTCATGAAATGTACAGATGCTAACGTGCAAACGTCATCAGTCAATGTTAGCGGCAAACAGTTATTTACATGTAGTGCAACGGTGAGGTTGGGAAGGGAGCGAGAGAGAAACAGAAACTTGAATGTTTCAGACTTGATTTAAGACGCATCCAGAACTTAAGAGAGAAACAGAACAAAGGTGCGCGCGCAAGTATGGTCCTGTGCGAAAACCTCACATTTTCCCCTACATCCTTCAGCTTAGACAAAACTCTAAAGATAGATCTTACTCATTTGTACTTAGAATTTCTTATTGCAATATTTAAAGGTATATTAATCCACCTCAAAATTCTAATTTTAGCATTTACTCCTCATCGTGTCATTCCAAACCTGCTCTTTTAATGAAAAACACAAAAGGAGAATCTTAGTAGTGCGTTCAAGCTGCTCTATTTCCATAAAATGAAAGCGGATGGAGTCTAAGTGCAGAAATTTTCATAGAGCAGCACTTAATATCAGGTTTGGAGCGGCTTGAGGAGATTTTTAAATCATTTTTAAGTTCAAAAAGTGCCACAACTCTCGGTGATAAACCCCTATAGAGATAATTTCTGATTGTTTACTTTACACTGATCTCTGTACAATCTTAAGTCTGATTTCAATGTTGCAATATAAAATCGTCAGGTTTCGTTCATTCTTCCTTAAAGGACTGGTAATATTTCTCCACGCTTCACTAAGATTTAGTATGCAATCTACAGAAATGGACCCTAAAATTAGCACATCATTTAGTTTTTCGTTACTAATGAAAAGGCCTATTAAAAGGTGTATCCATGAAATGTGCATATTCATTAATGGAAGATTGTATCGTTCAGACAGACATGACTTGCCATCTTTAAACCCTGTTCCCCAAAGAAAAAAAAAAAAGACATCACAACTACTGATTAAAAACCAACCGTCGAGTTTAAAAGCACCAACTTCACCATCTCAATGCAAGAGGCTGACATTATTCGCTCATATAAAAAAGTCAAATATCTACATAGCTTCAGATTAAGTTGTGTTTAAAAAGATAACTAGTACTTCACATTTCAGCTAGTCTGTCTTGTAAGCGAGCAAGGCTGATTTCTGTCGTACAGCAAACAAAAAGGTAAAACCGAAAAAGGGATATGCGAAAAGAAAAAGGATACCGTTAAAATCAACCTCCGCAAAGATTGTGCAATCCCGCACTGGCTTGCCCTGTTAGCATTCATCGCAACTCAGCAAAATGTCCCCGATAAAAGTGTTCTGTGGAGCTGGGTTTAAGATGCTGGCTACAAATCAAGAATCCGTGGGCAGGGGGGAGGGTGGGAAGTGTTAAAATCTACCCAATAGCGTGTCTCGTGGTGGGTGGAGTCAAGAGGAAAGGGCGTGTCCTGCTGTAGCTCATCTCTTCCGGCGGCAGGTACGTTTGTGATCGGCGTGCCAGTGCTCCTGCTGGCATTTGATGGAGCAATATGACGTGTTCCAGCAGCAGTGGTACATGGCCTCTTCTTCACAGTTATAACACTGAAACGGACAATAAAAGAGATATTATTGAGACACAAAAACACCCACAAGAGCTGTCAAGTAAAATGTATTCCTGAACTTCCGCAGCTTTGGTTAACCAGTTTAGATCACTTCCACATTTGTGTAGTAGGAGGGAGGGTGTGCTGGTATTAAATACAGTTCCTGGATGACCACAACTCTGCACAATTTAGATTCAGCACACCTGCTCAAACTAATTGAGCCCTTGAGGCTTGTTTGAAACCTACAGGTAATGTGCTGAAGCAGGGTTGGAACCAAACTGCAGAGCTGCGGCCCTCCAGGAACTAGATTTGACACCTGTGTAGGTGTCTGATTAGATGGAAAACTGTAGTGCAGGTTGAGACATATCTTAGGGTAATTTTCTCAGAAGAAACAAAAACATCTAAATGTATGTGTTCTTCTGATAAATATGAATTTTGTCAGTGCTTTGGAACACACACACCTTTTTAAAATCTATTAAATTTCAAAGCTAATATACTGTGTATTGACCAAAACAGTGTTGCTCAACCACATTCCTCAGGGACTATCGGCTCTGCACATTTTTCATGTCTCCTTAACCAAACACACCTGATTCAGATCATCAGCTCATTAGCAGAGACTGAAAGACCTGTAATGGGTGTCAGACAAAGGAGACATCCAAAACATGGAGTGTTGGTAATCCTCCAGGAACGTGGTTGAGAAACACTGGACTAAAAGACTCAAAACTATTACCTCAAGAAGTATTTTAATAAAAAGGTGTGCTTTTTTAAGCTAAAATCTAAAATAATAACTAAATCTGCAAAAACTGCATTGTAAAACCTGAGAACAGTGAACATTACTAAATGAAATAAGTTAGTTTAACTTAATAATTTAAATAAGTTACTTTGACCTTATGAAAGAGTTTCAGAGACTCATAAACTGATAATATTATGTAGAACTCAAATGAGTTATGAATGAGTTAATCACATTTTGTGTGTTACCTTAAATGCTAGAAGCAATACCAAGCCAGCTGAGTAGCTAGTTCTTTGGACTTAATTTGTTCTTTTTACTGAACTTGATTTGATAACTGAACTTAAAATGTTTAAGTAACTTATTCTCTAAACATTTGATGATATCAACACAAATAGATGTTTATAACTATTTTTTTGTTTTACAAGTTTACAGTACTCCAAGTTTAGTTCTCTTACAGTACTAAACCATTTTGTTTCGAAACTTAAGTGGTTTGCCGCAATCAGTTTCCTCAGTTTAAGTTAACTTATCGGGTATTGCAGTGTACATACTAAATTTAGAAAAGTAATTCAAGCAGTTGTTTAAAATGAAAATTTTTACATTTAAATTATTTTAAATCAAGAAAATAGAAACAGTTTGCAAGTTCTAAGTATGTTCTGGATATGTTCCGGTTTATTTCTGGTTTTGTTCTGGATTTGTTTGCATTTAGTTATTGTTATGTTCTGGGTTTAGTTCTGGCAAGATATTAATAAATCAATCGCCTAACTGACACATTCAGTGTGTTAACTTACAACCGATATCCCTAATGTTCATATATTTTTTATAAGACATTCCAGCCTTTGTTTACATGAATTGCCGCTAAGACTTGTTATAACATAATGTTATGCGTTTTTCATCGCGAAGCCCACTGACCGGAAGTTCTGTGCGCGCCCTTTTGTCGCCTGAAGAGAGCGCGCGTAAGTCTTCCGCGAATCCTATTACGCTTCTAGTAACCATTTTAATATCATGTATATCCCGCTCTTTATTTCTCATTCACTCGTGTTTTTATCACGTGTATACTTAGCATTAGGCTATAAACATGGTGCTAAATACCACCTGTAAATACAGTAATATATAAATATTTCAACACAAACAAACGGCACAGCTCGAGGATTAACGTTGCCTTCTAGTGAACAAAACCATGGCTACCCAAACACAAGGTAATATTTCAGAGCTTCACTAAATGCTCTGGTTCTGAAAGTTTCTTAATTTATTGCGTAAAATAGTCAGGGTTGCCAAATAAATCCTGTTTTGTTCATCGACAGAAGAACAACACGACGGCAGATCACGGTTATTGACTCAGTAATTGCTCTTCATTTCCTATTTCTGCACTTGGAGCGGAAACATTTCCCAGTAGTTCAGGTAAGTAATAAGCTGGAGAACTATTTCTCATCTCCTAGCAACTGCTAGAAGCTATAAATAGATGGTATATACAACAACATGGTGGGTTAAAGAGGTCTTCAGGGGACAAAATAACAAAAAAGTTAAATAATAATATTCTATATATACATAAAATATAAAATTGCTAAAATAAAATAATAAAGTTTAAATACAAGATTTCAAGGAGATGCTCTGAGTAATATTCTGAATGAGAGTTTACCGGACTCAAACAGCAGACTATTTTAGCATTAATTAGACTTTATGATGCATTCAAAATTTGCATTGAGTTTTGCATTGGATCCAGTATAACATAAGGTTATAAAACTAAAGTGTTAACTAATATCTTGATAGCTTTATAATAAATACACACAATAAATCATTTATTAAGCTTTAGCATATGGTGAGTTCATTATTTGCTCAGCATTAACTCTACAATAATAGACGCAAGCGGTTTAACTGCAGCCGACTTGTAAGCATGTGTAATGTGTTTATAAATTGTGTTTTTATTCTTTGTGACAAATTGATTTTTCATTACTAAATCAAGTGTTGCATTATTTATAAACTAGTTATTTAAGAGTAGATGGTTGTTAATACACGTATTTAATAATAAACTATTAAATCAACGCTTGTATATTTTATTATTCAGGCATATAGTAGTGGTTACTGTGTATGTTAGTAAATGCTTTATTAACACAACTTCATGCAGTTTTGTGACCTAATCTAAAGTAAGGACTATTTATGTGTCAAAATCCCTTATAAATGACAAATAAAGGCTCCGTATCAAATGAACAAAAATCATTGCAATCCTATCTAAAAAATGTCAAAATACAACATAAAATTGGATTAAAAGAAAAAAAATCTATAATATGATGCAACATTTCAATGCTATTTAGCGATATTTAAACTGTGCAGTCATTTTATTTTAGATTCGGTTTCATCTCTGCATCTTCAAATGAAGAGAAATGAATAAAGTCATTTATGTTCTTCTATTCTGTTTAGAATTTCAGTGAGCCTTTAGTTATTAGGTATAAGGGATTTACAAATCATAAACATTCCTGAGTTTAGATTAGGTCACAAAACTGGATAAAGTGGATTTAATAAACCATTTATTAACACAATTAACTATTAATATATGTCAAATAATCAGATATATCAATGCTAATTTGAGTAGTTTATTAATCACTTTCTTATGCATTCAGAATGATCTTTAAAAACCACCAACTATTATTAAATAAGTAGTTTGTAAATAATGAAAAACTTAATGTAGTAATGAAAAATGTTTCATTAAAGTATGAAAAGTCAATTATTAATCACATTGTATATGTACTTATATGTAGGGCCAGATGAAATCTACTGACATTTCTTGCTATTTCTGCAAAGAATTTTGGTAAAAATCTGCAAATTTCTGCTGAATTATAAATTATTAATATGTGAAATAAAAAATATCTTTTTAACTTTTATTTAATGTTTAAAATGCAAACCCAATTAGATTCACTTTATTTGGTAAACAAAGCAAGTCTCTCATTATATATCTATTAAAAGACAAAAAACATTACTTTACAAACTGTATTGTACATAAATCAGATGAACATTTTCACATTAGTCAATAATATTACTGTAATTCATTAAAAAAAGAATAAATATAAATGTACACACATTTACTCAAGTAAATAAACAGAATTAATGATTTTAATTAAAAGAATTAATTAAAAATCTGCAGAATTTTGTGCGCACTGATTCGGTGTGGGCCTAAAAGTTTAAGTCAAGAAAATAGCATGTGTAGCTGCAGTTATAAACTGCTCACTAATGTTTATTAATGTAGAGTTAATGCTTACAAGATGATGAATTCCGGTAGGATGCCGGTAGGATGCTTAGAACTTCCATTTACAGCATTTACGACTGGTAAATCTTAATCCGAAAATGGGTCAATATTTTGGTGACTTACATTTGTTTGAGTTGCTTAAAAAACAGAAAATGATCACTTTAGTGATGACAATGCTCCATTTAAATGGATGCCTTCTGACGGTAAGGGTAAATGCTTCTCAAATGTTGTTTTTCCATTCCTATTAGATTGCATTATTTAAATGATCAGTCCAGGAGGTGGCGCCGATCAACAACAGTACGAGTTCAAAGATGTTAAAAGCAAGTAAAAAGGATTTAAATTAAGGTTTCAAAGATGTCCGAATGTGCCTGTTCATACGCATCAAGCTGCCGACCGGAAGTTTGAAGCATCCTCTTTACGCATACACGCAAAGCAATATAGGTTAATGTGGCATTTTAAGAAAAAGGTCTATATGATTATACTATACATGGGATGATAACAGTGTTCCCAAGGTATACCACGGTTTGGAAAAGTCAAGGTTTTAAAACCGACAAAATTTTCTGTAATACCGTTCCTGAGGTATGAGTAAGATTTATTTACTTTTTTGTTTTTTAGAAAAAACAGTATCTTCAGCAGAAAAAGATATCCAAAGATGCTGTTTTAAATTGTAAAAAAAAAAATCTGTGTTTTTAAAAAAATTATTTGAAGACAGCAGAAGTCAATAATTTATTTGAATTATTTAGCCTGACATGTCTACTGCTTCAATTTTTTTTAATCTTTCACAAGTTAAAATAGAATGTGTAAAAAGGGGAAAAAGGTTTGTTTTTTTACCCAGATATTTAAAAATAATATATTTTAGAGCAGTAATCTTAATACCGTGATATTTATATCCAAGGTTATCATTCCGTCAGAATCTTATACCAGCCCATACCGGCCAAGATCATACTCTAATACTTAAAAAAATTTTTTACAAATTATTAATGATTTGTTTTAATTGTTGAAATGTTTTGAAAAAAAGATTTATTTTCATTAAAAAATCTTTTCTTTTTCTTTTTTTTGGTGTCTACTAAGTTTGTATCAGCAATAAATGTTCACTCACCCACTGCTTCTTCTTGGTCTGTGAAAGAAGTTGTTTATGCTGAGACACCATCTTCTTCATCTCCTCCATGAGCTCCTCTTTGCACTTCTCCTTCACCTGTTTGCACTTTCTCTCCATCTCGGCCTGCGTGCTGGACACCGCTTTGTTCACCGCCTGCCTTTTCTCTTCCTCCATCTCTCCTCGCAGCTGTAAGGACGACCACACTGCTGAGTTTGCAGCAATTGTTTCACCCATTTCCATCAATGGGGAGGGTTTCATCACAAAAAATCTGGCCACAAGAGGGAGCCAAATGTAGGTCCAAAAAAAAAAAAAAAACATTTCTCACCTTGTCCAGAGCCTCTTTCAGGACTCGTTCGGTCTCCCGTTTGTTCTCCGCCTTCATCATTTCTTTAACGTCGCTGAAGATCTTGGAGTATTTGTCGTGGCACATGTTTTGGCAGTTGCCTTCATTTACTGTCTGTGTGCCTTTGTGGATCATGCGAGGGGCCGGAGAGGAAGAGGATGAAGGGGAGCTAGACTTTTTGGTCTGCGTGGAGACGGACATACGCTCCGGCTGATGTGGAACAGCTGTTGGAATCTCTTGACTAGAACTGACTGCTTCCATCTCGGGCTCAGGTTCCTGATAATACAGGAGGAGACTGTAAGGGGCTGTTTACACCTGGTCACTTTATACATTCTTTTCTGATCGGAGAGCTATCAGATTGTGAAAATGGCCTCTGAAACACACTCTAGATGAAGCTGGACATGTCTAAATGCATCTGGTTGTTGAAACCGCTTATGTAAATTTTATTCCACCCAAAATGTAAAGAAATAAACGTGAGAGCATGTTATTGGCTTTATGGACATACAGTTGATGTCAGAATTATATTAGCCATAATAAATTATTAGCCTGCTGTATATTTTCCCCCAATTTCTGTTCTTTTTTCACCACATTTCTAAACAAAATAGTTTTTATAACTAATTTCTAATAACGGATTTCTTTTATTTTTGTCATGACGACATTTCAAGACACTAGTGTTCAGCTTAAAGTACAATTTAAAGGCTTAATTTGGTAAATGAGGCAGGTAAGGGTAATTAGTAGGGATGTAACGGTATTGTAAATACCGTCATACCGCAATATTAATTTTTTTCGATATTACCGAAGTCGCATGACTCGGTAAAACTATAGGTCTTCTGAGAAAATTTGCTCAGGCGAATGAAGCGACCGGGAGGTAGCTTAAACTACATTTCCCATAAGCCCAGGCGTGGCCATAATCCTTTGCGGTCTGTTGTCGCTACAGATCCAGTAATGCGGAAATGGAGTGTGCTGCTAGTAGCGGAGATGAAAAAAAGATGGAAATGATCGAACCTAAAGCGGGTGTTGTCGCCGCGCGCGTACTGAATAGCAGTGTTGTCGCGCGCGTTCTGATCAGCTGTGTTGTCTCGCGCGTATTGTAAAGCGCCGAGGGGGGGTTGAGCGCGCATACTTAAGACCGTTGTTGTCTATACTGAAGGGCTGGACGGAGGTTGTGTCGCGTCGCGGGGGCACTTTTGATCGATTTGGAAGGGCATTTTCTATCCAAGACTAAAAAGGGCATGTGCACTGCACAGGTTGAGCCCTATGTGTGCACGTGCCTGCAAGTTGGGGAATACGACTAATAATCAGTCATGGGGACTGCAGAAACAGAGCACACTGTTCAGATTGATGCAGACATTGACTTGTACCGCAAAGAAACCTCTATCTCACTCATGGTTTGTCTTCTCAAGTGGGGGAAAGACAATGCACAACGTTACCCACTGCTGTCAACATGGGCCAAGTCATATCTCTCTTGTCCCAGAAACCTCAGTCCCAAAGGAGAGGGGTTTTTTCTGTTGCAGGGGACATTGTAAATACCCAGAGATACCAGCTTTTACCAGATTATAATTATATGATAATTTTCCTTTAAACCCATCTCTATCTAAGTAAGTGAGTGAGTGATTAAATGTTGAATGTGATGAGTTTTCAACAATACTAAATTGAAACTTTATTTTTTTACATGGTTTAATATTTTTTTGTTATTAAAATTGAAGTTCCTGTTTCAAAGCTTACAGATAGATGGCTAATTTGTATGTCATTGACACTTTTGGCACTTTTTGGGAGTATTTTCAAAAGTTTTGTTTTTCCTGTAAATGATTCAATAAATACCGTACCGTGACATTCATACCGAGGTATTACCGTACCGTGAAATTCTGATACCGTTACATCCCTAGTAATTAGGCAAGTCACAACACTGGTTTGTTCTGTAGACTATTGAAAAAACTATATTACATAAGGTGGCTATTAATAATAATAATAACCTTAAAATCTCTTTAAAAAAAGTAAAAACTGCATTTATTCTAGCTGAAATAAAACAAATAAAACATTTTCCAGAAAAAAAAATAGAAAATACTATGAAAATTTCCTTGCTCTGTTAAACATCATACAGGAAATATTTGGGGAAAAACCAAAAATAATAAAAAAATAAATAAAAAAATAAAAATAAAATAAATAAATCACGCAGGGCTAATAATGTTGACTTCAACTGTAAGATCGCTAATGCAACAAGCAGCAACAAAATATGCTGTTTCGTTTGTTTATAAAAGTTTTTTTTAGAAATAAGGTTGTACACAAATTAAACATAAACCTTTTACAGTTTTAAATATGGTCTTGCGCATATATGTACAACAAAAACAGACACTCATGGGCCGATCACACCGAACACTCGCACACAATAAGTAAAGTCTAGATCGGATATGTGGCCGACTGGAAGTGCGATATGCACATCAAAATAGCAGCATTTTTTAAGACACCATATACCAATAATTTATATTTTTACAGTACTGTGACGGTTAGGGTTGGAGTAGGTGTTAAAAAAAATACAGTTTATTGAGTAATTTAATAGATAGCATAAATAACAGTCTGTACAACTACTGTTTTTACGTTACTGTGACAGTTGGGTTCAGGGTTGGGATGGGGGTAGACATTAATAAAATACAATAAATGGGAAATTTATAAATAATATAAATAACTCTCGTCAACTTCCAGCCACAACCACATACGATCTAGTAACAACCCACACAATACACAGCTGATTCAGTCTGATTCAGCTTTTTTCTTGTCAACAAAAAAGGCAGTGTGATGTGCCTCGCGTTTTTGGAACGTAAAACATTCGATGTGATCGGCCTCTAAGGCTGTTTGACCACTGAAGCATTTTGTGCTGCAGAGAGGTGAGCACTGTTCTAAAAATGCTCAGCTGTAAGCATTTTTGCAAGCTGCGTTTGTTTCAGTCAGTTGCTATTAAACAGAGTTTCCCCACTGTACCATTACAAGTCGAAAGTCTTTTGCCGTGTCCTAATTTACATACCATCCATCTTAAATAGTTTGTGAAAATAGATATGTTGAAAAGAGTATGCCAAAGGATCCTGGATGGTCTACTATTTCAGTAAGAATCTCAAAGTGTAGAACCATCCGTACTCACATCGCTAATATTGCCCACATTACATTGCGTCTTGGATGTGAATTCGATTAGAACTACAATCTCAGAGGGGGAAAAAAAACAAACTACAAACTTGACGGTTGGTCTCGCACATCAGCCAAGTAGAGAGGCTTTGGTAAAGTTGTTGGAATGACTATTAATATCTAGCCACTGAGACAATATTTAAATCATGTTTTTCGTATTATATTTAATCTGCAACAACGATGCCAACTCATATAAAGACATGTTTGGACATTAACTTCTGATTTCTGCATAATTAGCTAAACACCTAAGGAGATTTTTCTGCATGAATGCTAGTGAATGGCAGATTAAACTGCTGCTGAATCTTCAATAAGGTAGCTAATTAAATGATTGACATGCTCATAACCAAGCAACATAACGGTCCGCTAATGAGGAAGTAGTATGTCCTAAAGCTTGCATACTCTTCTGTTATGCGCTTTTCTTCACAAAAGTAGTACATACCTTTAGAATATAGTTTAAGTATGTGGTCGGGACACAGCATTTAGTAGATTATTTGTTGACATTTGAGGGGCATTGTCCCACCCATCCTCCACTGTGATTGGATGGCTAGTTCAATAGTGACACTGATTGGCACTGCACATTTCAACTTGGAACAGCTGGAAAAATGTAAAATGCTTAGCGCTGACTGCAAAACGTTCCGCTCAGAGTCTCGCTGCACTGCAGGCACTCAAAAATGCAGCGCTATCATTGAAAACAACAGAAAACACATGCTCTACTAAAAAAAAACCCCGCTTTGGTGGACATGCAACCTAATCACGCCACCTGTCTTGTGTGATTGTGATGATGTTTGGCACATGAGTGAAGTACAAAGCCTCCTATAGCCAATATATAAAATCATTCGTATGCTGAATAAGATAAAGTAAGTTTCTGTAAAAACTAATATATTATTGAAATAAATCACGCTGTATCTGATGCTTTAGTCAACATCACCTCATTGAATTTGTCTAGGGTTCTGGATTTAAGGTTCAGAATCGTATCCGTTTAGCAGAGGCGCATTTACTGTATGTAGCCAAATGTAAATGGAACCATTTTCATAAATCAGATCGCTATCTGATCAGAGAAAACACATGACGTCAGCCAGAGTAAATAGGTCCAACATATATATTTTAAAAATAATTATGTGGTACAAACCTCTTCTTTGGGCTCGGCGACTTGGGAACGACGGCTCTTTTTAGCCTTGGGCTCTTGGTTGACTCTAGACTGTTGCAAAATTCAGAAGGATGTTCAATAAAGTCTTGAAAGGTGAACAGTGACATTTTCCATGCAGCAGAAAAGTGCTCACCTGCTCATTGGATGTGGACGAGATGCTTGACTCGGCTTCTTCCTGTCGTTCTTCCTGCCTTTCGTGCCTCTCTGACCTGTCGTTCTTTTCCTCCGGTTTGCCCTTCCAGGTTCTGCCCTCCCTCACAAAGCGCTGGTGGAGCTCCAGCTCATCGCAGGCCTTTTTCCAGCCTGAGCTGCGCTTTACCTGCAGCTGCTGCACACTGACCGTGATGTCCTGGATGTTGTCAGAAGGAATCCATGCCCTACAGCAAAACAGACACAAGCTTGTTAGTGTGCTCACATTAAGCTTTTGGTCCAGGTCTACAATTAAGGAGAGTCAAAACTCAGTAGCGTTGGGCAATACAATAACTTCACAAACTTTTGACTTCTAACAGCATATGTACAGTAGTCACCTATTGTGTAAATATGATCAGATATTTAAGTAACATTTCAAACATTCATCTAACTTTAGATTTAAGATCTTAACAAGCAATTCTAACTTGCATTAAACATCAAAATTAATATTTGGATTATAAAAAGAATTAAATTGTCGATGATGATAGCCTCATTAGCATATAGCACAGCTAATGTCCAGAGTTCCAATCCAGGGATAAAGACCTTTTCTAATTCCATCCTCTCTCTCCAACTTCCTGTCTAAATACTGTTATATGCTAATAAAGTCATAAACCACCAAAAACAAATTTAATAAGTGATTACATTGTGTGCATAAATACGAACCATGCAATATCAATTTTTACTTCAGAAAACATTTTAATATTAAACGTCACATACACTTCTCTGAACATTTCTGAATGATTACATACAACTTACTATTCAGTGAAATGGATTATTTCACTTACTAGTGCTAATAAACCATCATAAACCATCAAGATTAATATAGTAAACTTCATAAGCTAAAATTATCATCATACTGATTAACTTTATAACAAGATGGTTGGTGGCAAAATTAATATCAAAATAGTGCACTGCTAGGCAAAATTACCAGAAAGAAAACCTCGATTATCTGAACACTTTGCATCAATTTAAATTTTTGAATAATTCTTTTATTTTTTTTTATTATTATTTTTATTTACAATTATTTTATTTTTTTATTACTTAGTTACTCATTATTTCCATCCCTTCCCAACCAGTAGCTCATGTTATCATTTGTACAGTAAAAATTCTCAACTATTATAGGTGGGACATCTTTCTAATAAAAGCACATATTATTTGTGATATAAACATAATTGAATGAAACAAACAAATTATTGTTATTTGTTGAATTCTTTAAGCTCAAATACAGATATCATCTGAAAAAGTCACATTTAAATTATATTAGTATCACACACACATGCACATACTGTTTATATACATACATAATATATACATTGAAAAATACATACAATTATGTAGTATGTAAAGAGTATCAAGACATTTGTTTTTTAACAATAAGCAAAAGAATAATAATAATGATAACGATTAAAATTGGTTTATTGCCACAAATTTTGGAAAAATATTTATCATATTGACGTTACAGAAATATTAACCGAAAATCGGAGGAAAAAAGGGGAAATTGCGTCAGTTACAGGTTATAAATTTTGGTTTCTTTTCCATTAATTAATATATATTAATTAATATATTGTGAATATTTGATATGTCACCCAGATGTAGCTCAGTCATTAATTTAGTTTAGCTTTTGATAAGGCTTCTGAAACCTCATTACTCTAGGCAAAACAGCCAAAGCAACACTGTGTGCTTGACCTTGTTATGATGCGTTCGAATTTCCAACTGCAGCTTTCACACTTACTCAAATAAACCGCACTGAGTTATAGAACAAATGACTTCATTTGAACATACCCTAAACCACATATTGTCAATCACCCTAATATAACCCTAAACTCACCTTTGGTGCTGGTGACCAAAAAACCGGACATCCACCTGGTTGCCCTCCCTCTGCATCACCTTGGCAGGCCAGTAACCAAAGCCCTTCATCCTGGCCCAAACCAGCTCATGGTTCGGAGACTGAACACAGACAAACATCTCTTTTTTTAGACTGGCAAATGCAAAACAACAGGCGTAGACGTGAAGAATTAAGTGTCTGGATCTGTGCTTACACATGGGTAGCAGAACCAATTGTCAGGTCGCGCATTTGAGAGATAAAAGCAGGTTCTGCACAGCATTAACTCATTCAGCTGGAACATATAATTTATATATTAACATAAATCTAGAAGGAAAAGCACTCAACAAGTGTTGCTCTTTCTGACCTCATGGCATGTGTCGTTATAGAGAAGTCTCGCAATTTCAGTCTGATCGCTGTTGACTGTTGACAGAGAATGAGGAAACGGTTGACACCTTGCTCCACAGTGTTTTATTTATAAATCACACCAGTTTTAAACCTCACCTCCGTGCAGAATGGCGGTGTTGTGAACTATAAGTTGAGCATCAGCCCTGAACTCCTCAAAGCTCTTGTACTTCCCATCTGAGATGTTCTGTAGAGGAAAATAAACATAAGAACATGCCAAAACCGCTGGGAGATCTTTATTTTTTAATTCGTTTTTACCTCTTGTATGTTTTCCACATCCAGAGGCGTGTGGATCAGTCTTTTGTATATGGGCTGCTTTGCCTCTTTGCCTCTCTTGTGCAGGTCTACAGCCTATCAAGATCAGATTAGAAGACAACATCTAAATCTGTTTCACTTTTTTATTTTAACAGAAAATACGCAGACGATTAAGTGTGACGTAAAAGTGTGAAACGCACCCTTTCCTTCATGCGTCCAAGAATGAACTTCAGGTATGTTGTCATTTCCTGTTTGTTCAAATTCTTCCTTTTACTGCCCTGTTAGTAAATATCATCACAAAAAACAAATGACTCATTAACCACATCATCTGCACTAAATTACTCTCACAATGGTTTAAGGTTTCAAACGAATAAATTAAAAGCATGTTTGTGAAATACTTCAATTTACATTCCTGAGGATTTCATATGGGTGAGTAGTTGTTTGACCTTTCATTGTCAGCATGACACAAATCTATTCTACATTATTTGGTCGGATGTTTGTTAGGGCTGCACTATTAATCAAAATAAGATTGCGATCTCGATTCGACCCTACACACAATCTTTATTCTGCTTTTTCTAAGATTCAGCCATTTATATTTTCACCGTCAGGAGAGAAGCATCAAGGCGGTTGCACAAGTCTTCACATTGATTTATATACATTGATCAGCAACATGGACACCTCCAAATGGTGTTTAAAGAGTCATGTACTGTATTAATAAGGTATAATTCACCCAAAAATGTCATTACTGTCTTCATGTAATGATGTATTCGTAGCCGCGAAATCACACGAGCTGACCCTGAACTGTGTGTTTAAGCCATACCTGTCAACATTGGGATGTGAAAATAAGGGATATGCCCACCATAATAAGAGACCACAAAAATGTGGTAAAAAAAAAAAATGCACACATCCAACATTATAATGAAAGCATTCGATTGCTTTTCTAACTTATTACGCTAATTTAAGACGAAATTAGTTGTGTTTGAAAAAAAACCCACCAAGATCGACATCATTAGATGTTATTATTATTAATTATGTGTATATTTCTGTTTAAAAACGCACCCAAAAGCCAGACTTTCGCTCTGCTTCAAATCGCATGTACAGAATCTGTTTGGGAAACAGCGTCTATTAGACTCTATGGAGCACGTCAGCCGACAGTCATGCACCATTTTATGACTGTTTTAAGTATTGCATAGGAGGGGTGACGGCACCTGTAAAGAAAAGGAAAGGGAATCGCACTGTTTTTATAGGCGTTTTCTTGCCTAAACAAAGCGAAAGCACAGAACAGACACATATTTAAGAGCAAGGGGCGGCCCCTGGTGGTTCGGCGGTAAGGGTTGTGAATAAGGGAGGCTCAGCTCTTTAATGTCTATTTGCCACCCTTCAGAGAAAGACTGAAAATACAGGAGAAATACGGTAAAATACCTTTACGGGATGATAGCGGGATAGAACTGTAAAATACAGGAGAATCCCAGGAAAAACGGGAGGGTTGACAGGTATGGTTTAAGCTACCACAAAGAGAATGTGTGTGAATGCAGTCTACTTTAGTAAACAGAACCTGCGTAGGCTGTGAATAACATGTAATAATGTTTATTGTACAGGACAATCGTTTGGGAGCCGTGCGGGAGGTATGATTTGCATGTATGTTTTTTTCCCCCTTAGAATGACGGCAGCCATGACATAAAACGCACTCAGCAGTGAAAGTGAAACCGAAAATGCGCACATAATTTAAATGATCATATCGCATTTTAAAGCTATAAATTAAAGACCAGGACAAAGTTAAAGTCTATTCAAGTCCATCATTGCAGGTCTTTACAAATTTTAGCATTTTAAACAAGAGTAGATCAACACAGGCCTAAAATTATTATTGTTGTTTTACCATATGTTTGCGAAATAACAATAATAATAATAGCTGACTTGTATCAACTTTATTTTACATTTACAGAATTGTGAGAAAATCATGATCGTAAAAAAGAAAATCCAGCCAAAAAGAATTTAGCCAGAAATTCTCATTGTGCAACAATATATCAATTCAATTCAATCTTCATATGTATAGCACTTTTACAATGTAGATTGTGTCAAAGCAGCTTCACATAAATAGTCATAGCAAATTGGAACAGTGTAGTTCAGTTTTTTTTGTGTTTAAGTTCAGTTCAGTTTAGCTCAGTTCAGTGTGGTTTCAAATCATTACTGAGAGTCCAAACACTGAAGATTGTGATGATTACTCTTTTTACAAGAATAAATTACCATTAAAGGTCCTGTGAAGTGCTTCGAAAATGTCTGACGTATACTGAAAAATGAGAGGACAGGTCAGAGTAGCTCCTCTCCTTTTTAAAAAGCAGCCAATAGCACGTTGTTAAATCACAGCTCTGCCAGTGAGAGTGGTTGAGCTCAAGTACATCAAATGTGAAGCATCTTGAAGGGGGTGGGGCATATCAGACACTAGAGCATTTGATTGGTCAAGATTTGATGAAAAACTAAAGTATGAGGTGATCTGAAAAAAAAATGTTGATCCATTTAGCCAGAAGTAACAAACTACAAGGTTTACATATTTATATTGGTTTTATAGCTTCTAAATGCAAATTGTGTCATTGTTTTTACCTCACTAGCTTATAGATATCCTTGAAGACTAATATACCGATGACTAACATACTGATACTAACATCTAAAATTTCACTGGGCCTTTAAATGTTTGTTTTTTATGGAAAGGTGGATAATTTCGGGGGACAAAGTTTATATTAAGTCAAAGAGGACTGACCAAAATCCCTGCATTTTGATTGACATGTTCTCTGTAATTTAGAAATGTGTTTCCCACCAATTTCATGGATTGAAAGGATTCATTTCATGGACTGCAAATTAATTTTGCGGAAAATGAAAAGGAGAAAAATAATTAGGATTAATCAATTAACTGTCATTGTGAATAATATACGTTTTATAAAAAGTAACTATTTATTATCATGTGATTTTCTCTATCGTATTGTACGGATGTTAAAAATGTATTACAATTCAATTACAAGTACATAATAGGAATCTAAAGGTGCTTTAGGAGATATTGGAAAACACTAATGTTAAAGGTATATCTCCTGAATGCATGAACACTAGACATCACTAGAATACATCATGTAACATTCACCAAAGAGAAAATAGTACAGATAGTAATTAATTACAATACCAACTACCTAAAAGAAGGTAGGCTGTCGATGTTTGGCTGCCATTCTCTGTCTGAATGCACCGATGATGTAAAGTTTTCTGCAGAGGTATGCAATTACAGATTTTGACAGGCAAGTAGGACAGCCAATTGTAATATTCGGACTTTACGTTTTGATTGGATAAACATATAAACACATTTGGACCACTTAATTGAATGTGCAGAGACTTTTAACCAGCATAACAAAATAGTTACTCTACAAATCACCTACTGCACCTTTAAGTAATCTAGATTACATACAAATAGTTTCTATAATTATTATTCATAGAGATACACAAATAACATGAACTCAAATTCAAAGGGGAAAAAACTAATAACAGAAAAAAACCTATAAAATTTAGTCGATGTAGCCAGATGTGTGTGTCTGTGTGTGTGCGCATTAGGCTTGGGCGGTAATATGGTAATATGGTATACCACGGGATCTAAATATAGCAACGGTTTCAATTTCAATACCGTTAGACCATCATAAAAAACAATGCACTTAAATAGTAGACAAGTATTAAATAATAAATATTATTCATTTAATGCCTACAAATGCGTATGCGTGAATGTCATCACGGGACAGTGTGGAGGAGAGAGAGGGAGAGGGTGAGGTGGCAAGTCGAGCACCAAGTGACCTGCAGTTTAGCAGTATTTTCGGTTTCGACCGAACGAAAAGGGAGATGTGGTAAATACAAACTAGAGGTCTGCATTCCTGCTGCTGTACTGCGGGAGCCGACCAAATTTTTTGTGGTGCGGTAATGAATTCCCTAATAAAGCGCGGGAGCGGTCGGTAACTCTGGTGTAATTTGAAAGGGAGCGGGCGCGCGGTCTAACAATATCGCTCCCGAGCAGGCGAGCACGCGCGCATCTGCGTGGATGCTGTTTATTTGTGTGTGTGTGTGCGTGTGTATGTGTGTGAATGAGAGCGCCCTGTGCAAATACCGGCGCATATACGGTATTCAGTTTCTGAATGGTTTAGGCACAAGCCAACAGTTTGGTGACGCTGTCTGAGCCTTACGTCATAATTGTTTTATTATGCACAGTAATACCAAATACCGGGGTAAAATAGGGAGGAGGTTTGACGGTATCAAAATTTGGATACCGCCCAAGCCTAGTGCGCATGTAAAATTAACTGGGTGTACAGGTCAAAGTTTATATCTAAAATAAATACATAAAATGCACAATATGCATAACAATAAAAGCATTATCCATAAAGGTCAGAAATAGTATCAAAAATTAAGCAAGAATAATATCAGAAATGTTAGCATTACAATGAAAATTAAAGGTACTACACAAAACTTTAAATACTTTTCACCAAATAACAATTAATGTGGTTATTTTCCTAACGATGGGCAAAATAATTGCTGCCAAGCACCACAACAGAACTTGGTCAATTAATAAGACATGAATGGGTCAAACAGCATTACCCAAATCTTTTAGTTTTCTAAACGCGTCTATACTCACCCTGCAGATGCCGCACTGCCAGTGGGAGGTCGTGTCCCGCGGCCGGTGGTCTTCCGACACACACCGTAGGTGGTAAACACGGAAACAGCCGTCACACTCCATCACGTCTCCAGGAAGGTGACACTCAAAGCAGTACCAATCATGACTTTCTGCCTCCCAGTCCTGAAACACACACAGTACAGTAATGCACATCCCCGCCCGCCTGGGCCAGGAACAAGACCACTGATCCAGGAACACTTTTCCCTTTCATAACCTGCAAATAAAACCTTATAAAACAGCTTTAAGAACAGCTCTCTTACTCTGACTTCTTTCTTTTTTGTAATTGTGTAAAATGTAGAATTGCTGAACATGAGAAAACAGAGTATGAGGGGTGCTCTTATATGATTAGTGGTTTTTCTGATTTTTCCAAAATCCACTCATTAGTAATTATAAAGAATCAAACTAACATTGTTTAAAGAAGTTTAGTAATTGGTGATGTGAGAAACATAAGCATGTACATTTTTGCATTATGGTTCAATTCAAATGGCCACTTTTTCCATGTTTTTACAATTCAAATTAGATGCATATGAACTACAAATGCTTTACAGAGGAATTATTTAAAACTAAGGCAAGTTAAACTTGGATTAGCTAAGCTACAGTTTTAAAACAAAGATAACACCATCATTGACTTTTACACAAGTGGCCATTTAAATCAAACTTCAATTATGAGATTTTTTTTAAGGAAACGGTGAGCAATCACATTCTCACATGCCACAATCACATTCACCTAATGTTAATGCTATCTCCTCAGTAGGGATGCACCGATACCATTTTTTTGGAACCGATCTGATCCCGATACCAAAACTCTGAGTATTGTCTGATACAGATCCGATCCAGATACTGTGCCGTTTTTTTTTTTTTTTTCATAAAGCTGCGATCACACTAGAGTTTGATAATGCAAAATTGTCGTGCGGCACTGCGAAAAGGGGCCGAATTAAACAAGATTATTAGACATTAAAAAAAGCAAGCATTTGCTTTATTTTTTAAGTTTCTGTCCAGAGAGATCATGTTTTGATTCTCAGTTGGTCTCACGCAGTCAACTGATATGATTTCACAGGTCAGTTCACAAAGCTTAAACTTTGCACCGCAGCGACCTGTGAAACTTGAAGTATGAACCTGTGTTTCCGGTCTGACGCATTTGCATGTGTATGAATAGAAGTCTATGGTGAGAAAAGTCCAGTGTCACCGCAGCTTAATACAGGTTCTATAGTTGTTTTGATAAACTCAAATAATAGATCTTCTTTAGTAAAATTAACCGACCTGTAGGCCTACTGTATTTGGCAGACGGCACAATCTAACTAAAAACATGATGCTTGCTGTAAACTAGGCCACATTATTTGAGCATTCATTATGACATTGATCTGTTTTTTTCCAGCTTATGGTTCCTTTTTGACTATTAAGATTTTTCTTTGAAATCTATATTAGGCTACCACTATTGACCTTAATCAAAACACAAACTGGTCTATTAAGTAAAATGTTAACATAAATAAAACTACAGAGAAATATTCACAGTTTCAGAGTAGAAAAAAAAAATTCTGTTAATAACAATCCATATTGTGCCTGTAAGTTTTACTTTTATTAATTTAATCAACTACTTAGACCACAATGAGCCAGGCTTTACAAATTATTCACAGCACTGAAAGTATTCCCCTTTGAAGAACAAACTCGGTCACAGAAGCTTTTAATATTACAGAATAATTTTACGGATTTTACGGATTTTTTGATGCATCACTGAGCCTTTTCTAATTAAAAATTTCAGGTCGGCCAACTTTGTGTGTGAAGAGCAGGTTATAACCCTCTCTACTCCAGTGTTGCGAATGTGATCTTCTGATCTAACAGACACAGCGCAACATGATGTAGAAACAGCAATGAACTCCATGTTGCAGGTCAAAATGAACCCATTTAATCCAAAACTAAATGCATTTCTCAACTGATAACTTATATTAACAGGAACAAATAGTCTTGGAGAAAGTTTTTTTGAGCTGAAGGGAAGTGCTGAATAGAACATGACTTTAACCACTTTAAAATTCATCTGTGCTTCACATTAAACTATAGAATGGCATCAGAACAGTTGTAATAGACTTATAATAGGCAATCTTCGTGGCTTTTGTTGGCTTATAAATTACACAGAATATAGCGCACACAAGATCGGATTTGGATCGGTACCAGCTAGCCGATACCCAATCCAGCAAAAATATTTGGTATCGAACTGATATCCGATCCAAGTATCAGGATCGGTGCATCCCTACTCCTAAACTATTATCAATCTACAGCACACACCTCAAAACACACCAACACACACCATTCACATTCACTGTTCTGGATACAATACAAAATCTGCAGGCTTTGAACAAAGTTTTTCGTTAAAATGTTGTTTCTTTCTGTAAAATGTTTTATTTTTATCTTTAAAATGGGACAAAAGCAGTGCAAGAAGTTCACAGAGGTTTGAAAAATAGATATTTATTGTAGGTATTTTTTTCATAAAAGGTTAATGTAATTTTGCAGCTAATAGATTTAGACTAGATTAAGAATTTCTGTTAAAGTAAACACCTTATAAATTCAAATGTAGAAATATGAAAGTGCAACTATTATCCTGAATAACAAACTTAACTTCGGACACTGCTCTTACCCCTAGTAAACGTCTTGTTAACTTGGCAAACACAGGTCTAACAGGTTTTGACATTGAGCTGATCTTTTACATTGACATAAGAATCTTGCAAAATAAACTACATTTTGATTTGAAAACATGGAAGATTAATATGTGTGAAGCATACGCACATCTGGAAAAAGAGCTTCAGAAGGCAGAGATGGCTAGAGAAGAGAGAAATCACTAATAATGAGCACTCAGTGACAAAAAGGCGACAAAACCCTTGCACAGAAAAGCAGTGAAGCGATTTAAAGCTTGTTAATGCCAGGTTTGCTTTAGACACCATTACGTGCATTATGACAACATCTTGGTTAAAAATAACATAGAAATCTATTTAAATTTGAAATATAAAGGCAAAAGCTCCATTCAATTCAGCTGCTCTCCCATGCACAGGTTATACATATTATTGACTGAAGGGTAGTTTACAGTATATTTGTTAATTAAAGAAACTCCAACTGGACTTCAACGTACCTTGCTTCCCTCTGACATCTGCTCCTGCGATTGCAAGTGATCCAAAAAACATTGTTTAAAATCCTAATCTGAGAGCTGGGGTTGGTTGAAACTAACCACAGGCGCTCCGTGTTAGGGACTCGCAGGTGGGTGTGTGTGGTGTGCAACAAACAGCAAACAATCTACACTGCTAATAGAATATTAAATATGCGTTTTACATGCGATACTGGTCAAACATTTAGGGTCAGTATGATTTCCCATGTTTCTGAAAGTCTTTTGGCCCTTTTCACAAGACTTTTATGACGCGTTTAATGATCATCATAATTTTAAATCCTTAAAAGTTTTTGATTTTTAGATTTTTTTTTAAACTATGATAAGAACATTGATATATATTTATGCAAGTATTATATCATCTTTGCATGAAATTACAAAAAACGAATTACCGCTTATACGAGGCGTTTCTAATACAGCGTCTATGGGCTGGACAGTAAATTTGACGTTGTTCTCTCTTCTGTTGGCCGTTATCAGTCTCATGGTGCGTTCACACCAGTCACAGATGAAGTATCAATAGCAAGTGATTTACATATTAAGTCAATGCAAAGATGTGAATAGACATCCTGTGGCACGATTTTGTGCGAATGAGGTGGCATGAATGATGTGATCAAGTTGGAAATTCCAAACTTTAGCAGACATTCGCGCCATGTTAACCAATTAGAAGCTTTCTCTCGTATGGCCGTGATTATGACGTTGCGTTTGTAGTGCGTGTCCTGATGGAAAATCCTCCTGCTTACCGGATTTACTTCAGAAAAGATCTAGTTGACGCATAACGAATCTACGCTGTTTTTCAGTCTTCCTAAATCACAAAGCACAGCTAATCTCTCGATAAAAAACATGTTAGCTAATTTGCAATGAAAAGTCACCGAGCAGACAGAGGCTCCACCCATGACGTGAATCCGTGTCTATAGAGTGGAGGAACTAAGGCCCCGTTTACACTAGTGCGTTTTAGTTTTAAAACGGCGTTGTAGAATGAAAACGATCCGCGTCCACACTCGCGTTTTACCCAGCGTTTCTGAACAGCTCTCCGTCCACACCAAAACGCTGAAAACGCACATCACGTGACCACACACACACTCTCGGGCAAGCGCTCCAGCTTTTTAACCCAGATGAGAGCTCTGCTTGTCGGACTGCTCATCAAGCATTTCATATCATGTTGTTGATGTTGTCATATCATATTTCATTCATGTTGTTGTCTTTATCTAACGACATAGGCCAATTCCCTGACGTTGGTCATTGGAATCTATTAAGTTACTTGTTCTCGGGTAACATGTTTTGGTTAAGCGCAAAGATAAGTTAATGATTAATCCAGGTACATTGACTGATCGCTTGCCTTTATTTCCTACAATGTATTATTGTATGTTATACTTTTATAATTATCGATTAAAACTGATATTCAGCAAAACAGAGGCTGTGTTTCGTATTTTCACTGTAATTGAAAGGCGGCAGTTGTTATCGGCTCCGTTTAGTTATAAATATCCACACAGTGAAGATTACGCTCATATATGCAGCACGACACCTCAACATTTCTGCTGTCTGTTAAGTTGCTAATATTAAAAAGAAAATAGGCAGTTCCTTAAATCATGTTTACGTTTTATTGTTGAGAAAGTGAAACAACGTAGCAAAGGTGATGTGAATGAAGTTATAAAGTACACTGTTCCCTTTGAAGATTTACCCGTGTCCTCGGTATGTTTTCCATATCAAACTGAGAAGGGGGAGACTGCAGCCTTGATCAAAACTTGCGAAGTCTTAACTTACAAGAAGAGGATGCGAGACTGAACTGTGTGTGGGCTACTTAATATTCAGGAAAAGCCCCAATCAGTGAGGCGAACGTTTGCAGCCCCGCCTCCGTTTTCAGATGTCTCCGTCTTTCCCCATCCACACTGAGACGGAGCAGCAGCGTTTTAAAATGAAAACGGCCTCTCCAGCGTTTTCAAAAAGCTCCGTTTTCGGCGCTCGAGAACTCCGCCGTAGTGTGGACGGATGGCGTAACCGTAGCAAAACTTATGCGTTTTCAAACTAAAACGCACTAGTGTAAACAGGGCCTAAGATGTCAATTTGTATGCAAGAACACGGAGGTTCCCTCATCCCAAAGTCAATGGTTTTTTTTTTATGGGATTTGGGTTAAATCGCTTAAATAAAATTTGTGGCCAACACAAACTCAAGATACTTTCACGTTTTATTCTATGACATAAAGCACATCAGTTACATCTCACTCTTGATTTTTTCAATCGGTTACGCTTCTTTAAAAAGACGGTTGCTATTAATTTGCTAAATGGGACTACAGGCGGTGTCAGAGACGTCATCGAGCTGCACTGGTCTGGAACGCAGCCCACTTGCGTTGGGCATTTGGATTTGTCTGTTATTAGGTATTTCCATGAACAGTATTTTATAGTTTTATAAATATGTTTTTATATAAGAACATTGAATGTTGTTTTCTATCAATGATGGAACTTCCAGGCATATGGACTAGTCCCTCATGCCTCATTTCTGTCATCTGTTGCGAAGTGGGCTGTGTGCACGCGAGCTACACACTTATTTAGTCTTACGATAATATGTAGGCACATTTATGCATACAGTTTTAAAACTTTTACTAACAACTGTAAAGCAAAACAAAATGTATTTCCCATGTAAAAAAACTATGTAAAAGGCACGTAGGTCTATGTGTTTTTGCATATTTGTTTATAATATATAGCGTGGATTATAATACAATAAACCGATAAACTGAGAGTAAAGTAAATTTTTGTCAAGGACCATATAAGCCTTTAGGAAATTCCTATAGGCATTTTATTGAGGGAACCAGTTTTATGCTAGCAGGCGATAAAGCCTACAAGGTGATGTCATAGTTCCTCCACTCTATTGTGAAGTGAATTTGAAGTGTGAATGAAGCAAATTTAAAGCGCGAATGAAGTGAGTAAAATTAAATTGTTCACGCATCTATTTACACGCAAATAGAGCAATTTATTCATACAAGCCTAATCTAGTGTGAACACAGCATTACACTGTATTTTTCCTTTTTCTGAAAGTCTTGACAACACTATCGTTGAGCTTTTCTTATTTTTTTTAGCAAATAGAACTGTAAAAAATATATATTTGTTGTACTCTCCCATTTACTGTGCTCTAAGTTTAACCAAACATGACGACATCCGCTACTGAGAAACTCGGAAATGTAAAAAAAAGGGCTCCATTACACTCACCTAGTGCCTATTTTCTTTTTTAACAGTAATACTGTTTAATATTATAAATATTGAAAAAAAAAATCTGTACTACACGATTCTTCTGAAATCATTATAATATAATAACGACACATTTTAAGCAAGTAAGAGAGCAAATCAAAAGAATTTACAGTAGATGTCAAGTAAAAAAAAACATAGCATATTTTATGCTTTTCGCTACAATGCAGCAAATTATGAACTCTATAATGACCATATGTATAATAGAGAGATAGAGAGAAATGGATTTTAGTAGCTGTTTAAACACGTGACCAAATCTGTCTAAATGCATTTTAACAACCTTTGGAAGTGGTCAAAAATAGACTAGCTTAAAATATTTTAGACCTCCATTTACACGTGTTTTTAGTGCCATCTAGTACTAGTGACTAGTTGGTGAAAACATCTAATACCCAACGTAAACTGGGCCTAATGTGAAATTCTTCACGGTCACATTAATTGTTTTTAATTAATTTTCTTTCAAAAGCAAAACATTCAGACTGACCTCCAAATGTTGAACAGTAACGTACATGTCAAAAACGCTTTCATACAAATAAATACTCAAAGACTTTTTTTTTGAATGAAGGCCCCACACTGCTGCTACAGCCTGGGATGGAAGCATACATTTGTAGCTGTAAGCCATACCCCAAAAACAAACAGTACTTCCCATCAGGCATGCTCTCTCACACAGCAGAGGAATGTCTCTATGTGCTGCTGATGAAGCACTGAAACATCCCTATCTACCATCACTACTGTGTATAGAGGATGTTTACAGCTAAAAACTTATTGTCGAGAGTCAAAACCATCAACTTTACCAATAATAAGAGGAACTAATCAAATGTGTCTTAATGGTGGCTACATTGACCCCAGCAGCATATCAACTCTTTATTTCACTTCATTAATGTGTAGTAAAACCAAGCCATGTTTACCTTTAGCATTTTTTATCTAGGAGGTATGTAGATAAAAGTATGTTATGTTTAAAATAGACATGCTCTGGTTTGTGTCTCACCATCTCATCTCCTGGGAGCCAGTAGCCCTCCTGTTCAATCCCGGCCTTTGAGCCTTTGCAGCCCACTGTGAGCGTTTCCACCACCAAACCATCTTTCACAGCCAAAACCAGCTGCCTGGCTGTGTCTTTAGGGTGCATACCATACACACGACTTAAATACCTGCACCAAAAACACAAAGGCTTTTTCTTAGACATTGATAATGAACACTTTTAAATGGTATCATCAATGTGAAGGGAGTAGAGTTAAAGCAATTACTTTGAGATTCTGTCCATGTTGGCGATTTGTTTCTGATTGCGAATGACTTCGATGGCCGACCAAACATACTGAACCACTTTGGGGTCCGCTTGCCTTTTCTTCACCACCCTCGACATCGTGGCCAGTTCCAACCTACAACAAAAGAACAAGGCATTGAACAAAACAAATCATGCTATGAAGCACTTGCATATTAAACAGCAGATGCAAATGTTGGATCGCTTTAGCATTGATAAAGTAATGTGTTTATATGCAATAGTCACATCACAGGATCTGCAGTTTTATGTTGGGATTAATAAAGCTTGACCAACTCTAATAGGTTCTAATAGTGTGAAAAACTTTGATGTTATGAATTTTTAAGCCCTGCGACTGTTAGATTTCAAGCAACTGTAAACCATTTGGCCACAATAAAGTCTAAAGTTTGCCACTTTAACAAAGATTGATTAAGTATTTATACAATGAAGACTATACAGAGTTAATTTACATTTAATTATTCCATTTCTGAGCCTCAGTGCTGTTAGACTCCACCAAAAACTGTGCTGCTCATTTCATTTTTATCTTTGTTCTGTTGTTTTCATCTCTGCTTTATTTGGCATATTTTTGTATAACTTTGCATATTTTATGCAGATGCACTTCCCTAAAATTATAATTACTTTCCAGAAAAGAGTTACTCAAGTCATCTTATTAAATTCTATTCAAATTTAAAAGTATATTGCAGAAAAACAAAATATCGCAACAGCAATTTTGCCAAGTAAGATGCGATCCTGGATTAACATCTATGTTGATCCTGGAACATCATTTTTGTTGAAAAATGTAATCCACACCTTTTCCCTACCCCTAAACTTAGACATAACAGTAAATTAATACCAAAATCAGAGGGGAATAATAGCCGGATAACAATCATGTAAAAGTGCAAAAACCTAACCATGAGCCTAAACTTAACAAAAAACAGTAAACGTATGCTTTAATTCTGATTGGCTTAATGGAATGTTGTTTCAGGATCAACATAGATGTTAACCAAGAAACATGTCCTAGTTGGTTAAAAATTGCATAATTACTTTGAAGCGAATGTCACAAACTCTACTTTGACATTCAAAATCCTTCTCGAGTTGAATAGTTTACTTGCTATGTTACTTCAGTTTTTGTTCTTGCACTCTAAGTCAGTGGTTCTCAAAGTGGGGGTCGGGACCCCCCGAGGGGTCGCGGGGCAATGAAGGGGGGTCGCCTGGTGATTCCCAAAAATCTATTTATTTTATTAAAACATAAGAATTAACATATGTTATCCATAACTATACTGAAATTAAAATTGTCGTTTATAGTTACTATATACTATATAGTTACTATAGTAGCTTATAGTTACTAGTTCTATTGGATTGCGACCCCTGGGGTAATTACATTATATTAAAGGCAGCAATAGCGTCAGATGCATTTTGATTTTATAACATCAGGTTATACTTTCTGGCACATTTAAAGCACTGACACAAATTTAATTGGTGTGTCTGCGTCATTGCATGCAAGGTTTCTGTATTTATAACCACCTCAGTGGATATTGGGGGTCGCGAGTCACTGGCATTGTTATTTTGGGGGTCGCGGGCTGAAAAGTTTGGGAACCCCTGCTCTAAGTAACCAATCAGACCTCTCTCTTCAGCCAATGGAGATTCTACCTGCTGAATCAGGCCAACAAGCTCTGACATTAACCCAAAGAGGAACACACCAAACATTTATAAAACTCATGGAGTTTCATTAGATGGAAATTCTTTCAGATTCTTTATATAAAAAAAGACCAGGTTAAACATTAAGCTTTCTTTTAAAACTTTTCAGAACAGCTCCATTAATGTCAGAGGATACCAAAGACAGTAAATAGAAAAACTAAATCTAGTTCTCTTCATCACTGTTTAGATTAATAGTCAAAATAGCATATAGAAAGCAAATGATTTTCAATAAAAACCAGGGCTCAACAATAAGGACTGCATGATGGCCAGGGGCCAGTGTGCGAGACACTCGGGCCAGTGTACAGAATGGTTACTGGCCGGATTGGGCCAGTGCTGCCTTGTCACAAAAGTTTGGCTGTGACCGTCTGTCAGTTGCGTGCAAATACAATCTTAGAGTGCTTTCACACATAAGACGTTCATTTCGGAATCTGTCTCGTTTTCCTGTGGTTAGTGTGGTTTGTTTGGCATATGCGAGTCCAGCAATCGCACTCGGATCTGCGCCAATTTAATCGATCCGAGATCGCCTGACTGAAATGGTCTCTGCTTGATTGAGCTGATCAATTGTAGTGAGAAAGCAAAACGGTCCAATGAACTAACGACCCAGGCTATATGACAGTGTCTTACGATTGTGTAATAGTCATATATACGGCTATATGAAGAGAGAATGATAAGCAGGGCAAGATGTCATTCCTACGGGCAAATGTGCACGTTAAATGTCTAACTTTAACATTCAATGAACTTGATGAACTGAATCATTTTTTTTTTAAAAACCTGTGTATAAAACTGACCCCAAACTCAATTATGTTTAGCTTTTGAAACATTATTTAAAATATTGTATGTGGCTGAGAAATAGCTATTAACATCTCTTGTTTGGTGAGTCCAGTGAAAATTTTGGCAGGGCAAGTAAAAATCTGAACCACTGGCCCAATCGGGCCAGTAAAAAAAATCCTTAGCGTTGAACCCTGAAAACCCTCTCCACAAAGTGCCTGTAGTTTTCTTATGTCTCCATGTGGCATGAAGAAGAGATGAAAATGACTGTCACATTTATTGCTGTTGTGCATACTGTAAGTTACAGCTTCTACAATCATCTGCCAGATGGCTTTTACTAAGAAGACCAACTGAAACAACTCCTGTATGCTGAAATCTACTAATGAAAGTGCAGGAATGTCAAGGAAGGTGAGAACAACTAATGTTAAATAATAATAATAATAATATTATATATATATATATATATATATATATATATATATATATATATATATATATATATATATATATATATATATATATATATATATATAAAATCAGTTGTGAATCCCTGGGGTCAGGCTTGACAGTTTTTTTATTTTCATAAAAGATATGCCTGTAAAGAATGTATAAAGTGTGACACTTAATGTAATAACATTAAATTGTTAATTAAATAGAAAAAAGGACAGTTTATCCAGAAATGTAAAGTCACAAAGTAATAGGTGACTTTTTCAAAAATAGAACATTAGAAGGGATATAACAAACTATAGTCCTTGGTAACAATAAAAATGCACACGAAAGGTTACAAGCGCATTTAGAGTTTTTAATTATAAAAAAAACATGAACGCACAAAAAATTAATAACTGTCTCCTGACATTACATTCTGAGGTCTTTTTAAGCAAAATAAATTGTCTGTAAAAGAAACAAATCATTATGTACAACGTAATAACCTTTAATTCACATACTCCAGCAAACAGCAGTGCTCTAAAGCATGAGCTTCATATCGCATAATCACATTATAAGCTGTCAATGTGGGAAAATCTAGATTTCTGATTGAGATAATCTGTAACCCAAGTGCAACATCCAGGATGTGTGAAGACTGTCCAAACTTTCCATTGAGGCAGTGGATTAAAAGTTATGATGTAAATATAATGTTCAGTTACTTGTGCAGACCTGTTTTGCTTCATAAGACCCTTACGCATCATCAGAAGCCATTGACATTGCCTAAATATGTTTTTGTAATCTTAAAGTTAAGGCATGCACCAAGGTTCACCGTTTCTGCTTTAATGCTCCACTGAAGAAAAAGGCAACCTTCTTGGACAGCCTATGGTTGAGTTTTTGGTAGAACTCACTCTGTTTTGGTTACACTGGCATCATATGATCCTATTAAGATGAGTATTGCTGGTTCGCAACAATCCACTGTAATAACACTACTGAACATGTAGTTAAACATGATTAGAATTACTAGCAACTTTGTCAGTTTTATGACTGGTCACGTGATATCAACATGGCAGCATCCATGAAGTGGCGACCCACTCAATGTGGAATTAAACCGCTTTTGCAGCAGACTAATGTATACAGTACAATTCATCTCATGTGGATTTACACGAGATTTATGTCATTAATTTTTTTTAATGTGTAAAGATCTTTAAAGTCACCGATTGCGGCTTGATGTCGCTGAGAAGACCTGTTTGTTTTATTGCGCAATAAATACATGCGCAGAAAGGAGGATAACCGATCGATTCCTTATCGAACATTACAACAACATTGGAAGTTTTTGACAGACATAACTTTAGTTTACACTGTTAATGTGTAGAAATGTTGCCAGTAATTTTTAAAACCCCGACGGATGCCTCTACAACAGTTCATGTGGTTCACAGCTCGAGTGCTGGAATGTATGGCGCAAAATCATTAGGAACCCGATTATGTTAAGTAAACGATCGAAATAGTGTAAATCCAAAAACCATGATGACTTTGGCAGCTGTGTGGCATATTAATAATCAATTAAACGCAGTGCAGTGCCTAAAAGAAACAACAAACGGTGAAGAGTCGCTAAACTATAAACATCAAGACATCGGAAACGCGCAAGCTGTTTTTGACGCGAGCTTCATATAGAGCAAACTGCTAGAAATCACGATTAATAGCACAGCAGATTGCAAATGGAGGGAAAACCCTTCATCGGTGCCTACACATTCTTGTTGGTTGGTTGGTGAGCTACATGGACGCCATGTTGATATCCCTCCCTCGCTTCTAGACAAAACCAACCAGTTGGGAGTGGATTTTTTGTTCCTCTTTGCAGCGAATGTCATGAAAACGACCCGGTTTATGCGCGTACTTACCGCTGTCCGACAGCTGATCAAGCGCCTCGCCGTTCCGTCTCACTTTAGGATGTAACGCAGCGCTGCTTACATTTGTGTTTCCGGAGTTAAATGTCAGAATAGTGGTTGGTTGAAGGAGCCCGGCCACAGTTGAAGCTCGGAGGGGGTAAACACACACACATACACATACACACATTCATACACAGTCACAGGCTGTGGGAGAACTCTAGTGGCAGGGCGCAGGAGTTGCGCGTTTTACTCTGCACGTCTCACCTTGAAGCTCTTTTTTCATATTCATAAGTTTGTATATCTGTCATATTTCTTGAAATATTATTTGCATTTTAAAGTCGATAATAATTTAGCCTATGTGGTAATTGAATGTGTGTGTGTGTGTGTGTGTGTGTGTGTGTATACTGTATGTATATATATATATATATATATATAAAAAATCTCTGTAATGCATGCATAATATAAATCTAAAATCAGCATGTGGGCAAGAATTACATGCTCACCTCTTTAAATTTTCATTCACTTGTTTTTTTTTTTTTAGAATCAAGGTTATTTTTAACTTAGACTAAAACTATGGTTGAAATCTATTTTAGTCAAATGATTCTTATTTTCTTTTAATTTAGTTTGAAGTATTAAAACAAAACGAAATAAACTTACAGAACCTAAATTAAATGAACTAAATTACTGAACATTTAAAGGTAAAGGAAAACTGAAAACATAAAAAATCAGTTTCTATAACCAAATAGTACAAAAACTAAACTAGTATAGTAAAGTAAAACTACTGTACAACACGGATACATTTACAAACAAATGTTGGTTAATGATTGATAAACATCAGCATTAAAAAAAAACATTTTAAAAATTTGCATTAAAAAATAAAAATGTACTACAAATCATTATTAGCTTTTACTGCAAAAACTTGTTTTAATGCATGCATAAATGTGTTTAAATACATAACTGTGTGTTTGTTTGAAAATGTGTATGATTAATAATAATAAGCAATTCTAGATCAACAATTCTCCATAATTTCATTGTTTAAACAGGTCAGTCATAATAGATAGATAGATAGATAGATAGATAGATAGATAGATAGATAGATAGATAGATAGATAGATAGATAGATAGATAGATAGATAAATAGATAGATAGATAGATAGATAGATAGATAGATAGATAGATAGATAGATAGATAGATAGATAGAGAGAGAGAGAGAGAGAGATAGATAGAGAGATAGATAGAGAGATAGATAGAGATAGATATATGTTTTCTTTTTAATCAGTAGTGGTAGCATTACCAATTGATTATTGCTAATTCTCATTGCTCTTAAGATGAAACTCCAGCAGATGGTGCTAAATGAACACATATAAACTAACCGAAAAATCAACACTAGAACAATCAAAAGGCTGAACAAACAGCAAGACCTGCCTAATATATGATATAACAGAACATAGCTGCAACCTATAAATAAAGATAAATATGCTCAAAAAGGCTTTAGTATGACAATCAATTTGCACTTTTTAGTTTAAGTATTAGCTTGCATATTGGCTGTTTTAATCATTCTTATAAAGCACATATTAATGCCTTATTCTGCATAAACATGTTCTAGATCACTTAATCATATCCCATATGCTTCAACAACTACCTTAGTAGCTATCATATAAACAGTAAAATACAAGTTTATTGAGGCAAAAGTGGTAGGTCAAAAAATACATTTATGTGGACGCCATAATAAAGTGTTATCCATAGGTGTTAGATATTGCTTCATGTAGTCTTTTTATTACACAACATGGATTGAAGTATTACATAATAGGATAAGATAAGTCTTGGGCAGTGAATGTGTAGTTTGAGCTTGACTTAGCCATGTAAAAGTCCCCATGAGCCACTGTGTCAAAGATCTGAACTCATAGTCACAAGTAATTTCATAAAAATGTTAAATATTCAACTGTTTTACCATTACGAGGGCTAGACTGCTGTGAAAACCAAATGTTCACAGTTCTTTGTAAGGGTTTGCATGACCAAATTTATTTATATCTGCTGTGTGCTTACATTTTCCCTCACTTTAATATCACAAAATATTGAAAAGTCTAAACACATCTCAGTGCTTAACAAAATGTTTGTCATGAGTCTTATTACTCTCGCAAAGTCTGCTTGTATGTCCTTTTTAAAGGAAGAATTTACCAGTAACGAGAACACTCAGAAGACACTAAATAATACTGTTCCATGGATCACTGCTGAAGTCCTATTTACGCAAAGACTAACTGTTGATGCTTATGTTAAGCGTAAGTTACCATCAGTGAGTCATGTTTATTTTCAGTTTTAAAAATGTGTAATATTGTAGCAGTGTTCATCTTGTTGTTAGGTGGAATGTAGTGAACTTTTAGTTTTTTTCAACAAAAAGCTTCAAAATAGAGTACACACAATAAATATTTGTTTAATTCTAAAGATGTTAAAGGTATAGTTCACATTAAAACTGAAAATTTGCTCACGTTTTACTCTCCCTCAAATGGTTCCAAGCATTTTTGAGTTTCTTTCTACTGTCGAACACAAAAGAAGATATTTTGAAGACAGCTGAGAACCTGTAACCATTGACATTACATTGAAAAACAAATATCATGGAAATAAATGGTTACAGGTTTACAGCATTTTTCAAAAAATCTTATTTTGTGTTTAGCAGAAGAAAGAAACTCTTCTTGAAAGGCTTCAAACAAGTAAAGGGTGAGTAAATGATCATTTTTTTGGGGGGTGAATATCCCTTTAAATATCCCATAAACAGATTATTTATTTATTTATTTATTTATTTATTTATTTATTATTATTTAATTTTTTTATTTTTTACATGCACAATACTTATAACATGGAAGTCCATCAGGGCCAAAAGAGTTTAAAATATGTGAAAGTTGAATATCAAAATGTCAATCACAACAGTCCATGAAACTGTATTTCAAATTTGAAGGATGTTGTAGTTGTAATGGCATGCATATATGCAATCATTAGACGTATTACCTTTTGTAAAAAAAAAAAAAATCATCATCAACCTGTGTGTCTACATGTACTAAAGAAACCAAAATATCTAGTCAAACTGCGGGTGACGCGGTAGCGCAATGGGTAGCATGATCGCCTCACAGCAAGAAGTTCGCTGGGCCTTGGCTGGGTCAGTTGGTATTTCTTTGTGGAGTTTGCATGTTCTCCCCGTGTTCGCGTGGGTTGCCTTTGAGTACTCCGGTTTCCCCCACAAGTCCAAAGACGTGCTATACATAGGTGAATTGGGTAAGCTAAAATTGACAGTGGTGTACGAGTGTGAATAAGTATGTACAGATGTTTTCCAGGGATAGGATGCAGCTGGAAGGGCATCCGCTGCATAAAACATTTGCTGGATAAGTTAGTGGTTCATTCCGCTGTGGCGACCACGCATTAATAAAGGGACTAGGCCGAAAAGAAAATGAATGAATGAATGAATGAATAGTTAACTGCACTGTAAAAGTTATTAGTTATTTAACTTTAAAACATGAGTATATCTGCTGTAACTGTTAAGTTGGCTTAACTTAAGTTTTATAATTATGCAAGTTAATTTACTTAATTTTAAGGCAACATGTTTCCTCACTTTTTAAAGTAAAGTCAATTAATTGTATTTTACAGTGGCTGGGTGTTGACATTTAATACATTTAAGGTCGTGTTCATTTTTCTTGTACTGTATGTGAGTCAGCATACAGAGTGTGTGATGTGAATTTCATAGTCAGAATATTTTGAGCGCACTGTACATGATCCAGCGTATTTTTGTAATTGCACAGCGTTTGTACATGCAGTTTGAACTTGTGCTTTTCTGTTCTCTCTTTTTTTAGCAGTTATTTAATTCAGGGATGGGCAACTTCAGTCCTGGAGGGCCGTTGTCCTGCAGTGTTTAGCTCCAACCCTTATCAAACACATCTGGCTGTAGCTTTCTAGTGATCTTTAAGGCATTGGCTGTTTCTCAATATGCATTCTTGCATCCAATATTAGCCTGTTTAGGTGTATTTGATTAGTATGGGAGGAAAACTCTGCAGGACATTGGCCCTTCAGGCCCAAAGTGGCCCATTGTTTACACCCTCGTCTTGCGGATAGTCCCAGGGTAGTCCAAAAATACAGAATAAAGTCTCCCTCAAGTGGTTCCAAGCATTTTTGAGTTTCTTTCTACTGTCGAACACAAAAGAAGATATTTTGAAGACAGCTGAGAACCTGTAACCATTGACATTACATTGAAAAACAAATATCATGGAAATAAATGGTTACAGGTTTACAGCATTTTTCAAAAAATCTTATTTTGTGTTTAGCAGAAGAAAGAAACTCTTCTTGAAAGGCTTCAAACAAGTAAAGGGTGAGTAAATGATCATTTTTTTGGGTGAATATCCCTTTAAATATCCCATAAACAGATTATTTATTTATTTATTTATTTATTTATTTATTTATTTATTTATTTATTTATTTAATTTTTTTATTTTTTACATGCACAATACTTATAACATGGAAGTCCATCAGGGCCAAAAGAGTTTAAAATATGTGAAAGTTGAATATCAAAATGTCAATCACAACAGTCCATGAAACTGTATTTCAAATTTGAAGGATGTTGTAGTTGTAATGGCATGCATATATGCAATCATTAGACGTATTACCTTTTGTAAAAAAAAAAAAAAATCATCATCAACCTGTGTGTCTACATGTACTAAAGAAACCAAAATATCTATAGTCAAACTGCGGGTGACGCGGTAGCGCAATGGGTAGCATGATCGCCTCACAGCAAGAAGTTCGCTGGGCCTTGGCTGGGTCAGTTGGTATTTCTTTGTGGAGTTTGCATGTTCTCCCCGTGTTCGCGTGGGTTGCCTTCGAGTGCTCCGGTTTCCCCCACAAGTCCAAAGACGTGCTATACATAGGTGAATTGGGTAAGCTAAAATTGACAGTGGTGTATGAGTGTGAATAAGTATGTACAGATGTTTCCCAGGGATAGGATGCAGCTGGAAGGGCATCCGCTGCGTAAAACATTTGCTGGATAAGTTAGCGGTTCATTCCGCTGTGGCGACCACGCATTAATAAAGGGACTAGGCCGAAAAGAAAATGAATGAATGAATGAATAAATAGTTAAACTGCACTGTAAAAATGATTAGTTATTTAACTTTAAAACATGAGTATACCAGTTGTAACTCTGCTAAGTT